TATCCTAGTTGCTATAGTCTCTCTCCTCTTATTTATCTCCTACTATTCTTAGTAGAGCCTTAATAAGTTATATAGGTTCCAAGATTATGCAAAACCTAGGCTTATAACTAGTTCAAATAAGTCGTGCAAAGGGTGCATAAAATACTCTAGCTAGCGTAGGGAAGTAATCCTAGAGCCTATAGAATTAACCGAAGGTAGAGACGCGACCTTTACTAGTAAAAGCGTGCTAATAGTATATAGCGTAGTAATTAATTAAAGAGAAGAAGAGTATCTATAGGCGCAATCTATTAAGAGCATCCTACTCTACTAAGGCGTTAGGACGCTAAGCTAACCTTGTTATCCCCTTACTTGTTATAGCCTATTATAGACCTATCTATAATAGAACTTTACTATATTGCAATAGAGTTGCAACTCCTCTAAGTGTGCTAGGACTGCACTATTTTCAACTACTTATTAATTAAAGACACTACTAAACTATAGGATACTAATAACCTTTGCCTAATTATACTAATCTACATGTTTCGTAAGGTATTCGAATGTCTCTTACTCTCTTAATTCGATTATAACGGATAGGCTAAGATCTACCCTATATAAGCTAGCTTTCATAGCTACTATTTAACATATACTAATGCTATAATAGTTTACTATGCTCTTTCTACTAGCTTACGTAAGATCGCCGTCTTCCTAGATTTTAAGTCTACGTTTAATGTCTTAGACTATTCTATACTCGAACGTGTCCTTATCGAGCGTAGTTATCTATCCTACTTGCTTACCTTAATTAAGAGTCTTACGTTCGATAACGTCCGATCTAGGGTCTTAGTAAACGGCGAGGCTTCGGACTAGTTCTAGCGGACTTATAGTGTATTATAGGGCTCTCTAATCTTACCTTATCTATTTAACTTCTTCGTAGATAGCTTAATTATAGAGCTTAACATTAACTATTTATACCTCGGAAAAGACCCTATACTATATACTCTATTCTATGCCGATAACGGTACTTTGCTTCCTACTAACTATAACGAGGTATAGTAGCTTCTATAGATTATAGAACGCTAGTTAGATGTTAACGGTCTAAGACTAAACGTATGTAAGTGTAGTTATATGTTATAGTATCTAATCCTATAGGCGCTCTTTCTTAACTATAGGATAGAGTAGATTCTGCTTATATAATAGTACGACTACCTTAGTTTTCTAATGATAGTATAAGGCATTAACTTCGAAGCATATCTTACTTATTATATTAGTGCGGCTATAGCGCATACTAACTTCCTATCGATCTCTTTAGATTTATAGGGTCCTATATATAGACTACGCGTATTTAAGTAGTACCTTACCCCTATATTTAAGTATAGTGCACCTCTAGTTGTCGCCTAGGCTAACTCTTACTTGCTAAATGCTACTAAGTTTTAAGCTTACCTTATAAAGATATAAGACTTAATCTTCTAGATTACTAATTCTAAGTTATTATACCATATTATAATAAATATATATAGTCTTCCTCTACTAGAGTCAAGATTTTAGCTATTAAGGACCTCCTTCTAACGCATCCTTAACGAATTACCTATGTAGAACCTACTTAAACGGATTATAAGCATGCTACGATTAAGGCTATTTTCTCTAGCATTTGCATACGCTCTATCCTATAACTTTAGTTAGAATGCGTTTGTTATGTAAAACAAAATCGACCCTACTATAAGACCTTAAACATTTAAATAGTACCTTCGACGTAAGCTCTCCTCTATTATTCTAGAGGAAGCTAGTTAGAAATACCTTACTAAAGTCATTGCGCCTAAATCGAGAAAGGTGCCTAGACTATTTATAGTAGACATTAGTCTTATAGCGCCTATCTCTAAGTAAGATAATCTCTTCTAGTATTAGTAAGGAAGTTTTATATTTGGCTTTCACTATAAGTGCAATCTAGATAGAAGTTTTAGAAGAGGCTATAAAAGCTATTCCCTCTTACTATATCTATCTAGACTTATAAAGGCCGAACGCAAGTAAAAGCGAGAGCTAACGGAGCGACTCGAGGGTTCTAGACTAGTTATAGACGTAGACATCCTATTAAACAACTAGCAACTAGATCGTGCTACTAAAGTTCTTATGTCTNCTACGAACAGATTTTATAATAAATCTAGACGACATCTTAACATTAGGCCTAGATAGTAGGACTACGTCTCCTACGTCGCTAGAGCCTAATACTACTAAGGGAGAACGAAGGATAATAGATCTAGGCGACGACCTTAGAAAACTCTAACTAATGGAGACCTTATTAGGAGATTTATAAGCAGGACGTTCTAATAAGCGATAATTAAATCCTCGGATAGGAGCTCTCCTAAACATTTAATAGCTTATGCTAGTAGTAGCTCTAGCATCGCGCTCTTCCCCTAGCTTACCTATTAATAAACTCTTAGAGATACGGATTCTCTATTATACTTTAGTCCCCTAGATCGACTTCACTAATAAAATTTAGAACCTCTATATATAGAGGGAATAGAAGGACTGCTAGCGTACTATAGCGCGCTTAAAAAGGACTTTACTCTATTCTATATAATGTCCTCTACTTTAGAAGGAAAGGGGTCACTTTCCTTTAGCTAAGACGGCCCTATTAGGGACCTATAAAATCTAAGAGATGTTAGCGTCGCCTACGCTAATTTATTGCATCTCTAGGATAATATTTTAGGTCGTATAGAACAGTAAGCTACTACGTCTCTAGTCTCTTCCCCCTAGGTAGGTTTATTAAAACAACTATAAGTAGGACGATCTAAAGGACGTAGTCTATACTAGTTTTCTAGGCTCTTAAGTTAGATAATCCTAGAGGAAAGACTAACTAGTTATATATAGATAGACCTCTCTAATTAGTAGCGTATTAGTAGAGATTCCTTTAGGGTCCCTTTAGATATATAATATAGTTAAGCTAAGAAGTAGAAGGAGTAGATCGAGGAGGAGTTCGTATAGTATAAGTAGCTTTAAAAGTAGTTTACTATGCTATATCTGAGCTAAGTTAGACCTCTAGAAGTAAGCAGGTAGGCTCGCCCTTTAGATATAGTTTATTCTATAGTAGCCTAAATACTAAACCCTCTAAACCCTAACCCTAAGGAAAAGGCGATACTATAGGGGGATTAGAGACGTCGTTTCTAGAAAATAATAGTATAATATAGGTAGTACTATAGAAGGAGTACGTTTACCTACTAGTGCTATATTTTATTATTCTACTTCTATTTATGTTCTAAGTCTTAACGTTACTAGGTAGGTCGAATTAAGAAACGCCCTTAGTACGCATAGATAAGCAATAGTGCGATAGGAGCATAAATAACTATGTCCTCTATTAGTATAGCTATAATTATGCGGATTCCTAATTATAAGTGCTCCTCTACCCTATAGCCTCTTATTCGTAGGCTTCTTATATATTATAAGTAAGATTACTAGAATAACGACTAGATAGACTATATATTAGGCTAACAATTTAAGCTAAGGTTATCCTTCATTATACTACTATTACGTATAGAAAAGACCGACTAGTATACTATAGAACAAGTAGACATTGCTAATAATTAATGAACATAAAGAAGAGAATAAAGAAGTCTAGAGAAAGATAAACAAATGTAAAATAGCATAGGAATAACTAAATGATAGTAAGCTTCGAGTATTATATAGCTTTCTAGATAGGTTATAAGACTAGTTTTATTTAGCTTTCTAGATGTTAATGCTATTAATATATGCATCTTTTCGGAAGTAGCATAGTCGTAGTAGTTTTTAAACATGTACGGATATCTTAGAACATGTAGAAGGTTCTATACCTCCCTACAATAATCTAGAACGGCTTGGATATTTATGAGCACACCAAAACATGTTAGAACGTCCCGAAATATCTCAGAACGCCCCGGAATATTTCAGAACATGTCGAAATATTTCAGAACATATCCACGCGCGTCCCTTCTTGTGTCGCTCGAGCGAACTCCGCAGCAATTACTCTACAAGAGACGATGCCCGGTTGGAATGCAAAGTGCGAGTTGGCACCCGAAGTCAACACACAACTCACTAGTAGCTAGGGCTAGTGCAGCCAACCAGTCTACTCGGGCGGTAACCGCAACAACCGCTCTACAACAAGAAATGATCACTTGGAAGGCGAGGTGTGAATTTGCAGTCGAAGTCAACACAAAACCCATCAGCAACTGTGGCCATCTCATCGGCAATCTTACTCGAGAAATGCCCGCAACAAATGCTCGGCTAGAAGACAAGGTGTGAATTGGCACTCGAAGGCAACACAAGATTCAAAAGCAACGCCGTCGACATTGAGGATGCGAGAAGAAACGGTTTGTTTCTCGTAATTGCTCGCAGGAGTCGGTACATTCGCATCTTCCAAGCAATAAACTGGTTGCATGCTTAGCAAAAACTACATCTTCGTTCTTGCATTGTTTCTGAGCCACGTTCCTTTCTTCATCGGACTGACCATCCATTGAACACGAGTTCCCATTGCCGCCTTGAGGATACCGAAAAGTCTCTTGCTTGCAACATCTGTGAAAGCACTTTCGGTTTCTGCCTTGGCTTTGGTGATGATGGTTTCGGTTTCTGCCTTGGCTTTGGTGATGATGGTTTCGGTTTCTGCCTTGGCTTTGGTGATGATGAGTTCGGTCTCTACCTTGGCTTTGGCGATGACAACTTCGCTCTCTACCTTGGCTTTGGCGATGACAACTTCGCTCTCTACCTTGGCTTTGGCGATGATGACTTCGGTCTCTGCCTTGGCTTTGGCGGTGGTAGTTTCGGTCTCTGCCTTGGCTTTGGAGGTGGTAGTTTCGGTTTCTGCCTTGGGTTCGGCGACGACGGCTTCGGCGATGATGGCTCCGGCGGCCAGACCTTGCATCTTCTCCTTGACAATCCTGGTGACTTTCGCTCTGATCTGCACATCGTACAACAGAGCGACTAGACTCACCGGTCTTGGAGCGGCGTCGTTTTTGTGTCTGCGTGCAAGACTGAGCATAACCCATGGCAGATCACTTCTGAAAATCCTACGACGAATCAGAAATCATATTTATTCGCTTCGAACACGACCGACATTCTTGTTGTGTTATTGGGGGATGTGTTGGAGCATGTCAATGAACCGGCAGCTCTCTAGTCTCCACGGTCAAACTGTTGCCAACCCGAATATCTCATCAGTACCAACTGCGCAATGGCCCACTCTATATAAGCAACAATTGTTTGACTTCTTGGGCTTTCCACAACGCAGTTGCTCCAGAACTCGACGCAGATATGCACTCCATCGGGCCATTGTTGTTCTGGAGGACTCACAATCCTGGTCTTTCTTAAACATGTCGAACGGTCACATCGTCTGTCACGTCCTTCTGCGGATGTGTTCTTATACGCAGATGGGAAGGGGAAGATACATGACACCGTGTATGTGTAGACATTATTGGAAACATCGATGGTGGGGCATTCTCTGTAGTGTAGGCATGCGCAGTCTGTTGAGCATCGTCTCCCTATTTGGCGGTCGTCATGACAGTCTGAACGTTCAGGTCTTTCCGGCGCTACATGATGCAGTGTTCTCCCCTCAGAACATATACTGACCCGGTATTGCGTGGCCCTCGCTCGACGATATAGATGTATCCAGGGAGATTGGCTGGTCATAGTCTTATAAGTGGCAGAAGGACATTCTAATCTTCTTCTATAGAAAGCACAGCTTTGACTTCATCGAGACGAGCGTATAGTTACTACGGACACTTAGAGGACCAGTCTTGTTACCCCTGTTACAGGTCGGTGCCAGTCTATGATTAGATCACTTAGGAACGAACGAAGTTCCTTCCCTAGACAATCCATATCTGACATTGCGTAGATTGTAGAGTTATATTCAATCCTAAACCTTAATCCATCTTCTTCATTCTCTAGCACCTCAATTGCAAGCTCGAAGGTGCCCGGAATGTCTTGCATACATATGTCATCCACGGTAAAATCGGAGGTGCGGAATGATGGCGTACGTCCGACTGCTACGTAGTTGACTACCAGCTGCGCGAGCGGACGGCTTGGGTCAACAACACCGGCGCGTGTGAGCTGCTGGAGTATGGCTTCGAAAGGTATGGTGGTATGTGACTGAGCTTCAAGGATTGCCGAGCGTGTGGAAGAAACGACATCTGAGAATGGCAACAAAGCTTGATTCTTCAAGCCTTGAAAGCGAAGAGGGATAAGATTGACAAAGTAGCCAAGTGTGTCATCGAAAGCGGGATGTACTCGGCTACCATCTACCATTAGTATGACGAGTTCTTCGTGATGCGTGTGCGATTGTAGAAAGGTCCGAAGCGCTGCAAGTATGAAGTGAAATGTTGATGCTCTTGCACGGCTAGCAAATCTTCGCATACGTCTCAGCTGCTGCTTCTCAAGGCAGAACTCTATGGTTGTCCTGGCTGGTTGATGTCTACGTGGCGAGGTGAGCTCGAAAAGCCGTTTCGGGTCTGGCAGGCAAGATAAACGTTTCGACCACCAAGACAAGTCTCGTGAGACATCATCTGAATTTATCCTTTGCTCAAGCCACAGGGAAAACTGGATGTAGGACATTGCAGGTCTTGTGAGGCGGTTCAGAGTTCTTCCGCTCACAAGTGCATCGTAGATATCTGTGAGTTGTCTGATGAAGGATGCTGTTGAGCTTTTGTCACTTGCCAGATGATGCATAACCAGCAGTAGTCGGTAGTCGTCCTGCGCGATCCTGAAAAGTGTGATCCTCAACATCTCGCCGCGCTCAATTTCCAGAGTAACCTTGCGTCGAGTTGATATCGTGCGGCGTAGACTAGCGATTGGATCATCTTCTTGTCTCAAGTCCATTTCATCATATGAGGGACCCTGGACCGGGACAATGGACTGCCACGATTCTCCCTTGTCTGAGACCAGGTAAGCAGTGCGGAGAGACTCGTTTCGCTGCATCAGCTCAATGAATGCATGCCTCAAAAGATCTGCGTTAGGTTTGCCCCGCAGGGTTGAGATAAGCACTAGATTCAGTGCTGATCTATCCTCAAGCGTCAAATGAGAATTCCAGAGCCGCTGCTGAAAACCTGTCAAAGGGGCTGTCTTGATATCGGGAGCGAAATCCAGAAAGAGGATGCCGGGACCAGTGTCCGCACGGGACTGAAAGCCGGTGTTATCGACCTTTTGCTTCTGTGCAATTCGTGCTGGGTAAATCGGCGCCAACTCAACATCCTTTTCGACCACTATTGCATCATTGACTTGCTTGACTAGTGAGTCAATTGACTGTGCGCCCATGATTTCGAACAGTGGAACGTCAAGCCCACAAATCTGGTAGAACCACTTGCGTAGTTCAACAGCCACGATGGAATCCAGTCCATACATAGACAGAGGATTGTCACTACGAAGTGATGTCGCGGGAGTGCCCATGACATTGGCCACTTTGTCTAAGAAAGCTACGATCAGAAGCTCTAGTCTTTTCTGCGGGTCAAGCGTACGTCGCAAACGTGCAAGTGAGTTTTGTGACGTGTTGTCTGCTAGAGCCAAGACGTCGAGGCCAGCGTATAGGTTGTAGAACAGAGGCTTTCTGGCCCAATAAAGGTCAGTTCTCGCAAGATTGATTCCACTGATTGTTCTGTGAAACTCGGTGTAAGGAACACAAAAGCTCAGGTCGAGTTGACTTGGTGACGAACTGCAGACCGCTTCTTCGACCTGGCGAAAGACGTCTTTCTCGTCGACGGTATCATAACCCATGCGTTCAAGCACCCTTTCCAATCCAGCATCCAGAGCAACGACGCCCATTTCACTAACCACACCCAAATTCATCGTGCTACCGCACAAACCGGAGCTACGGCGGTAACGCATCAAGGCGTCCAGGTATGAGTTAGCCGCAGCATAGTTTGCCTGACCTAACGATCCTACAACTGCTGAAGACGATGAGAAGCATGCAAAGAAATCAAGTGCGTGGTGGATGGTTGCTTGGTGTAAGTTAAAGGTACCATGGACCTTTGGCGAGATGCAAGTTTGCCATTCTTCGACCGTCATTTGGTCAAAAAGGCCGTCCCTCAACACCATGGCAGCCTGGAAAATACCTGACAGACGATGACCTATTTTCTGCACGCAATCTTCAACAAATTCGTTGTCTGCGGCATCTCCTTGAAAAACTTGAGCTTCAGCACCGCGAGTGACTAGCCAATTAAGTAGCTCGCGCGCCTCAGGTTTCGTGTTCCCAGACCTGGAGAGAAATGCGAACTTTCTAGCACCTCGACGGTACATCCATTCGACAAGGGAACGTCCAATGCCACCGAAACCTCCTACGAGAAGGTAATATCTGCCAGCTTTGAAGATGTCTGTGCTCCTCCGAACTGGTTGGAAGACAGGCACCATATCGTCAACAGCCGGCACCAGGACGATTTTGCCAAATGTCTTCCCTAATTGCAACGTTCTGAAGGCCTTTTGAACATCAGCATAGTTGTAGACATGTATAGGAGCTGGTGGCAAGATCTTTCCATCAGCTACCAATGAAAAGCATTTCCGGAAAAGGGAGCCCAGCAGATCTTTGTTCTTGTGATACATCGTGATGAGGTCGACCGAAGCGTAAACCACATTCGCGCGAAATGGATCCATATCCAGCTTCGAGTTTTCGTGGATATCACGCTTCCCAATCTCGATCATTCTGCCGAATGGAGCAATACACTTCCACGTGTTTCGCAGAAGGTCTCCAGCTAAACTGTTCAGAGCCAGATCGAAGCCTCTCCCGTTGGTAATCTGCATGACCGCTGGAACGAACGAATCGTCTCTCGACGAAAGTATCATGTCATCAGTCAAACAGAAATTTTTCTTAAGGAATTCTCGCTTCTCGAACGACCCGACTGTTGCAATCACTCTTGCCCCCACATTCTGCGCCAGTTGAATGGCCATCTGGCCGACTCCGCCAGCAGCTGCATGGATCAAACAGTACTCGTCTCTTCGCAGACGGCCGATCTCAATGAGCGAATAGTAGGCCGTGATCAAGATCCCTGGGAACGATGTGGCTGTCACGAAGTTCATCTCGCCAATCTTCAAGCATAGTCGTGCATCACTTCGAACTATCGATCTATGGGCACCTTGGCCTGGTCGGACGACAGCCACGCGATCTCCAGGCTGGAATTGATCAGGCCGAATGTTGGATCCGGTTCTTGTAACCATACCAGCCAGTTCGTCCCCGAGTTTGTGGTCATCTATGATACCAACTGCGGCAGCAATATCTCGAAAGTTCAGTGCGGATGCCTTCGTTTCGACCTCAACTTCATCACTTCCGAGATTCGTCGACAAAATTGTGTCTTCGTCCTCTTCGAACACTAAAGAATCCAAGAGCCCTGTCTCTTTGATTTTCAGAGCCAGATTACGAGGACCCTCGACGGTTCGAAATGGCTCTAGTTTAGCTTGGCGAGCACCACGGCTTGGTTGATAGCGATTATTGAGGTTAGAATTGATGGAAATTCGTGGTATAAGCAGCATACCCTCTCTATGGGCAAACTCGTTATCGAGATGATGGCGACGTAGTATCGTAAGAATAGTCGCGGCACTTTCCTGGGGGTCGAACTGCAGTCCGAGATCAAGCCACATGGTCCGCTTGTTCTCGTGTTCACTTTGGACTGTGCGAAGCAAGCCAGAGATCATGCTCTGCTCCGGGTGTCGTGTTTCATGGGTTGCACTTTGCGTGATCCAGAGGATTCTCGCACTGTCAAGCAACATCTGTAGTTTCTCGAACTCATGCTTGGTTGGGCAGGACAGGATGTCCTTATCGAGGCTAAGCAAAACGATAAGGTCTGTTGTGAGCGGCTTGATCTTCAATTCCGAAAAAGTAATCACTGCCGGATTTCCGCCATGTGCAGCCTGGATATTTGCAACGAGATCGAGGGTACATTGACTAACATTGTCGGCGATGACGATCGCAGCCGAAGAACCATCACTTGTAGTTTGCACGGCAGACTTTCTCCAGATCGTTAGGCGTTCGTTGGAAAGGAAGAGTTCTAGCGTGGTTTCTTTGGCATTCGTACTGCTCGAGATAAAGAAGCCATTGTCATGTAGCAAGTTCGACAACTGTTCCGGCTCTTGACTCGAAGTCAAATCGACTATCAGTCGAAATCCCTCGAGCCCGTTAAGTGAGTCCGCGAAGGTAACGAGCTTGAATTGAGTCTCGATTGTAGCCTTCTCGTCTTTATCCAGGAGAGTGAATGGAACGATGATCAGGTTGTGGCACAATATTGTGTGTGTCGCATCGATGGCCCGCAAGAACATCCTGATTTCGTCCATATCCTGCGCCAATAGCAATATATCCGCATCAGGATACTGATTAGTATACAGTTTAGTCATCTGTATGGCTTCTGCCCTTTGCAAGGAGTCGTGTTCCATGCTTTTCAAGCAGTCAAAAGCCGGTTGCCACTGGAGCTGGAAGAATAGGGGGCGAGGCAAGACATCAGGAGAGACATCATTTCCTATCGCAGTCATCCTAAGCCCATGAATATGCGAAAAAGGATGGCTCTGGCCACTTCGGCAAAGGGAGACCGAACTTTCCACAGAGCGCAAGCTGGAGGATTCGATTCTGGTAACGGAATAATACCTCTGCGAATTGAGGGCATCAGCCTGTTCATCGTGATGCACATTTACAGTCATGGATTTGATAAACGTCGGCACAAGCATCTCTTGCGAAGGACCGTTAGATGTGGATTCGACAGCAGCGAATATCGGATGGAAAGAAGAGTCCAAGAGTGCAGGGTGTAGAATGTAAGTATCAAAGTCCGCCCTGATTGCCTTTTCTGGACCAAATTCCAATTCTCCTATCGCGATGCCTTGCCCACTCTCGATGCTGTCGGTCAAGAGCTGGAAGCTGGGGCCATAGCAGAGGCCGATAGCATGCAAGCGGTTGTAATATGCTGCTTTGGAACACCGGGTTGAGGTAGTCCTTTTGATATCTTCTGTGCAAAGAATGGCTTCTGAAATGGGTACAGCAGCTTGGAACATCGCCACAAAGACACCATGACAATGCTCCATGGTGACTCCATCCTTGGTGAATGAGGATATTGAGAAGTGAAAGGAGTTTTGCGAATAGTTGAGCGCAGATGTGACCACAGGATTGAAGACCGTTATGATCTCAGTGCCTTCATCGACTGTGGAAAGAACGCAAGCGGACTTGAAGACTATGTCTTGCATGTGAGCTCTCTTCAGCCGTGGAAAAAGTCTCACGCCAGCCTCGAGAACTATGCTCAGATAGCCTGCAGCTGGGAACACAATTTTTGAGTCTACGACGTGCTGGTACAACCATGGAAGTTCGCTCTGACGGAGGAAATTGCGCCAAAAGCCACAGCTCGCCGGCACACCTGGAACAGGGAAGCCGAGAAGGGAATGACGGTACGGTCTTAGTCGATGATCTCGTGAAAGGCGCGTTTCGGACCAGAATCGAGATTCATGATTCCAGCTGTGACGTGGTAGACCTTCTATTCTGCTACCTTTGATAATGTGAGGTGGAGAATCGTGTGGTTGATCAGCCGAGCACACGCTATTTATGGCTCTGAAGTCTACAGGATAGCCAAGCTTGAATAAGCGGCCAGTCATCTCCAATAAGCTGTCGTAGGCAGGAAGTTTGCGATCCAGTGAGCCTAAATAGACAACCTGCAGGTCAAGCGACTCCAAGCATGACCGAATGGGCGCTTGGAGAGTGGGATGTGGGCCGACTTCGATAAGGATATCGACCCGCTTTTCCTCACGATCATCGAGGAGCATGTCCGCCAAAGCATCGTAGAAACGTACTTGGTCTGTCATGTTGTCTGCCCAATACCTCGGATCCATGCGACGAGCGCTCGAGTCACGGGCAGTGACACTAGAAGACATTTTGATCTGAGCTGTCTGGGCATTGAAACGACCGCAGAGCGACAAGGAGTCTTCAAAAGCACTTGCCAGTGGATTCATGTGATGAGAGTGGAATGCATGTTCCACAGAAAGTCGCCTCACGAAGATCTTTGAGCTCTCCAAATCTTGCTGTATCGCAGTGATTGCATCCTCATTGCCAGACAGAGTCATGGTTGTAGGCGCGTTGATAGCAGCTAACGTCACCTGACCAGGATAGCGCTTGATTAACTCATGCACTTCCAACTCGTCAAGGCCGACTGCAAGCATGGCACCTGGGATGGTGGCGTGGGACATGTGAAGGCCTCGGTAGTAACCGCAGATGATTGCGCTTTCGAAGCTCAATATTCCAGCTGCGTATGCTGCTGCAATTTCACCAGATGAATGGCCGACAACCGCGATCGGTTCGATCTTCCAAGAGCGCAAGAGCTCAACTAGTGATAGCTGTATAGCAACACAAAGTGGCTGTGAATACTTGGTTCGATGCAGCAGAGATCGAGGTACCGGCTTCAGAAGTTCATCTACACAGGACCAGTCCGGACCATCAGGTAGTGACTTCAAGTACTTGTCACATCTGCAAAGTGATTCTCGGAAACATGGAGAGTGCTGAATCAGTTGTCGACACATCTCGGGGTATTGAGCACCCTGCCCTGTGAACACAAAACCAATCCGCAACTTACTTTCCATTGTTCTTGGCTGAGACCACCTTGTTTCATCCACCGCAAGAATGTCCAAGCATCCGATGAGATCCGAGATGGAATCACTGACTGTGAACGATCGAAGCTGATGCATCGATCGTCCTACACTCAAGCTATGACTAAGGTCATACAGTGGAGTCTCCTCATGATCTTGAAGGAATTCTTTCATGTTGACAGCCATGGCCTTTGCAGCATGGTGCGAATGAGTTGACCATGGAAAAAGAAAAGGACGGCTGGAAGTGACAGGCGTGACCGAGCACTGATGTTCTGGTTCTGTATCAGGGCGATACTGTTCCAGAATCACATGTACGTTGGAGCCTCCGTAGCCGAATGAGTTGATGCTTGCACGACGCAAGTCGCAAACCGGCCAATCCTGCAATTCGGTGGGGACTCTGATTTTCAGGTAGGTAAAGTCGACGAGCGGATTAGGCGTGTCAAAATGCATGTTTGGAGCAATCTTCCCTCTTTGAAGGCACAAGACAGTCTTAATTATACCAGCTATGCCAGAGGCACCTTCTAGGTGACCCAGGTTAGACTTGATTGACCCTACTATCAGGTCATCGGTTCGATCTGAAGCAAAGACCTCCCCGATAGTGTTGAGCTCGATTGGATCACCTCTAGCCGTGCCTGTGCCATGAGCCTGTAGAGAAAATCAGTGTCTGAGTTCAATTGCGATGCAATGCGAAGCTACCTCGAAGTATTGTGTATCCTTAGTGGTCAACTGAGCAGAGTCGTAGGTATCTTTGATGAGACAAGCTTGCGCAAGCCCATTCGGTAGTGTAAGACCCTCTTTATGTCCGTCGTGATTGCTTCCGCTAGCCCGCACAACAGCAAGCACAGGGGCATTGATTGTCCGGGCTTCGCTACGACGCCTTAACACGACAGCGCAGACACCCTCACCACGAGCATAACCATTCCCATGAGCGTCGAACGTGCGGCATCTTCCATCACTCGAAAGCATCTCGAAGTCGGTCATAGTGATGAATGTTCCCATATCAAAATGGAGAGCACTGCCTGCAACGATGGCTATATCTGATTCGCCGTTTTGAATTGATGTGTTTCCCATGTGAAAGCACATCATGGAAGAAGAGCACGCGGTGTCCAGGGTCACACTGGGTCCATGGAGGTTAAAGAAGTAAGAAATCCGATTAGACAGGATAGAATTGCCTATGCCTGTCACAGTATGCTGGGGGTACTGCGCCAGATCCCTGGATATCATGGTGCTATAGTCATTGGAGAACGAGCCGCAGTATACCGCAGTCTTGGTACCACTGATATCTTCCAGTGTTATGTTAGCTGCTACAAGTCAGTCTCAATCGTATAGTACCGGTAGCAGAAACCGCACCATCTTCCAGAGCTTCGTAGACGACTTCCAAAAGGATCCTTTGCTGAGGATCCATAGACTCGGCTTCTTTACCCGAGATCTTGAAGAATTCATTGTCGAACTTCGAGATATCCTCATCGAGAAAATAGCCGTATCGCGCATTCGTCTTGGTTTTGATCAGCTAACTCATTTGTTCACGAGTTCAATGAGGCCACGCTTACAGTTCCTTTGTGTCTACCAGACGGATGATAGAAAGCATCGACATTGAATCGATCTGCTGGAATCTTACTCCGCAGATCTCTTTGCTCACAAAGAACCTTCCAAAGATCGCTAGGGCATTTGGCCCCAGGGACTCTACAGGCCATGCCACAGATTACCGAAGGGTCCATGGTGAAAAGCAGGATGGCATTTCTCTGAGACTTGACGTCTTTCGGGATGTCTCTTCTCATTTATACGACGGGGAAAACATCCTTACCCATCAAGATCGGCACTGAAGTTTGCCACTCAAAGATTAGAGTTCCTTCGACAGTTGTGTCAGGATCAGATGCAGGTTGTGGTGCGAATGACCCATGAACTTTTCCCCCTTCCTCGTACAGACGTGATCAAAACTGCAGATGATCCACTTGGTGAGCAGCCATGTTGAGTTTGCGACGCGATATCTTGCCAATAGTATTATCGTCTTGCCGAAAACGCGCCTAGCTCGTTTCCTAGCTACAAATCTGCTGTTCAAGGGCTCATTACTTTCGTTAGCATTGGCGTCGACTCCTCGATGTCGTATTCTCAGTCACGCCGTTGGGGCTCACGCCCTTGATGAAATTGGGCTAAATTCGCACGGCCCCTGGTTCCGTTCGGTCGCGGACGGATAGATAACGGATCGTCGGCTCGGAGTATATCCGGAAAGCTATGCGGAGTCTAAAGAACGCGCGACAGCGCAACGGCTAGGCACTTAAACTCTCAAGCACATTTGCTAACGTGCGAAGGGTCCGGTGGGGTGCTCTGTATCCCAACCGCGAAAGGGTCTCGAGGTTCATGCCACGTACTGTCGCGGTCCCACACCTCTCCACACCCTGTGCTCGTGAGTCGCTTATGGCAAAAGTGTCGAATAGGTCCAGCAAATTAACCTCAACTGGTTGGATCGACGCAAGCACATTTCTTCTAACTTCAGCAATGATTGTCGTCACAGGTAAGACTTGGGACAACGACGTCAGCTGTTCTCGCGTCTCTGTACAATTAATTTGTTGCTGTCAAGTGTCAGGGTCAGAGCGATCCCTTCGCAGAAGAATCAAACGTACCTCTTCCTTTACAGAGATGGTTGCAGGTACGCAGGATTGCGCAGAGTCACCACAAGTCAACACCCAAGGCCACGTTCATACTCATGAAGAGCCTTCAACCCCGTTCAACCCCTCTAAGGGTTTCTATCTTGCATTCTTGGTTCTCACTGTACTCGCCATGATGGTCTCTTTGGATGGGACCTCAGTATCCGTTGCTTTACCTGTCAGTCAAGTCCTCCGACCAGACTTTGGGGTTGACAATCGCGTTAACCATGTTAGATCATTGCCAACACCCTCGATTGCTCTACCATGGAGACGTTCTGGATATGTACAGGATTTCTGCTGTCCTCGGCGACTATACTACTGCCCTTGGGCGCTCTTTCGATTGCCTTTGGCCGCGTGCCGATACTGGTCATCTGTGCTTGTTGTTTCCTAGTTGGGATCATTGTTTCGGGATTTGCTCAAGGTGCTAGTGCCATGCTGACCGGTAGGATCGTACAGGGAGTAGGTGGCGGTGGGTTGATACTCTTGAACGATATTGTTATCACGGATCTTGTTCCGCTGAGCCAAAGAGGTAACTACTTTGGTATCATTGGGAGTGTCTGGGCATTGGGATCTGTCTCCGGCCCAGTCATAGGTGGTGCCCTGGCCTACAAAGCTTCTTGGGTATGTGATCCCATTCTTTGATATACTTCAGTTGACTGAGTGTGTTTGTGGTAGCGGTGGATCTTCTGGATCAACATACCATTCGCAGTTACAGCGCTTGTCATGCTGCCCTTGTTGTTGAAGTTGACTGCGACACCTGGAACGTTCAGAGAGCAGCTAAAAAGGTTCGACTATGTCGGGAGCTTCCTTTGTGTCTCTTGTGTGGCAGCAGTGCTCATACCTATTACATGGGGCGGTATCGAGTTCTCTTGGTCTTCATGGCAGACTCTATTACCTCTTGTTTTGGGACTCGCAGGTCTTGCTGGATTCTGTTCATGGCAGATTGGTCATGCAAAAGAACCTATCTTGCATCTGGGACTTCTGAGGTCATACAATATGGGTTACTCCTTGTTTGCGACGATGATCAATGCTCTGATCGTCTATGGAGCACTGTATTTCTTGCCCTTGTACTACGAAGCTGTGAAAGAATACACTCCAGTCCTGGCGGGTGTATCGCTGTTTCCCGCAACGTTTACTGTCGCACCCTTGTCAATAATCACCGGATGTATCGTCACGAAAACGCAGGACTATCGTGTTCTGACATTCATCGGGTGGTTCACCACGACATTGGGATTGGGCCTTGTCTGCTTACTCGATGTTGACACGAGTGTCGTTCAATGGGTCTTCTTGTCCCTTGTGCCGGGGATTGGACTTGGTATACTGTATACATCTCTTTCGTTCGTCAACCAGGCTGCATCCACTGACACTGACATGGCGTACACCGTCACACTTTTCGTATTTTTCCGGACCCTGGGGCAGTGCGTTGGAGTCGCAATTGGAAGCGCCATCTTCCAAAATTGCATGTTTGAGAATTTGCGAGGTAGCTCGTTCACATCATCGGAAGCTTCGAACCTTGCTCGAGATGCCGTGCGATTGGTCGAGCACATCAAGACGCTGGCAAAGGGTGATGAAAAAGCAGTGCTTGTTGAAGCTTTTGTGAGATCTCTCCAAGTTGTGTGGGCTGCCATGTGCGGCATGGCAGGACTAGCTTTGATTGGGAGCGCTTTTCTCAAGAACATTCCACTCAGGGCTTCACATCACACCGACCAAGCGCTTGCTTGCGCCGACTAGATATCAATGGCAGGAAGATGATGCTCGCGGAAGAAGTTTGAGGGATACAGTAACGTACTTCCTACAGCTCTAGCATACACCAGGAAGTACGACAAATTTCTTGAACTTGTAAGAGTTCGGAAATTCTCGTCTATAGCGTAACTCCTTCTTCCAAGCCCAAGCCCACATCTGTGCAACAGCCACAGTCATGAACAAAAGCACTGCCCAGCTTCTGCTAATGACAAGGATCCCCAACCATGCGATAGTCTCATACAGGTAGTTAGGACAAGTGACCCAGTCGAAACCGATGCCATGCGGGATCTTTCTCTCTACAGTTCCTTGGGATCTGAGGCCGCGCAAAATCAGATGAATGTAAAGATTTCCTATCTCGCCGACCGAGAATATTAATAAGCCGAGAAAGTCACTACCTCGAAGGTGGGATTTTGCAGGATCGACGGGCGCATAGAAGACCCATGCCAACATGACTCCCGAAAGGATCCAATAATGAAAGCTGTTTTTGAAGATGTTACGCAAAGGCATTGTTGCATTAGAGAAACGGTGTACGAAGACCGTTTCCAGTTCGCGTTTGATGAAATGTATGATGATAAGGGCAAGTAAAAGCGTCTGAACAGAGGTAGGATGCGAGAGGCGAGCCACATAGATGACAGGGTGTGCGACTAGCGCTCCGAGGTATTCGATGATGTAGACATCCCGCCAAGATACTTGAGGCCCTGTCTCGATAGCATTATTAAGAGCATGTCTCGCTGTGGTGGGATGTCTGAATGGCTTACCCAGATCTTTTACAAAAAGCTCCCTTGTGTCGCTCAGATCCAAACTATCTTGAGCAAGCGTGATGGCACCGGTGCCATCGGGCCTACTTGAGATTCGCAAACGGTGGATGGGAAGCCCACTGGCTGCAGAAACTTGATGGTACAATTCACGAGCAGAAGTCGGCGCGCAAGGTAACTCGCAGGGCAACCTTGATAGATGCTTGCCTATTCGGCTGTCAGTGTACTGGTCAAACTTTGGAAGCACCAAGATGTCGTACCCCTGGCGACGACGGTGATGGTTGTCATTTGTCAGGACCCCAAACGATACAGTACACAAGAGGAAAATGAAGGGACGGGGAAGGAACGAGTCATTATATGGCTTCGCTATCATTGGTCACGTGAAAGCTCTTGGCACATGATTCACGGGCATCGACATGTCATTTGGCATCCTGACAAAGCTATGAACGGTTGGTGGACCGGGGCGGACTAACGAAGACACCAGGCAAGGTGTCCCAAGCACTTTGCGGGTTGCTTGGCAACATACGACAGAAGCAAATGAGCGGAAGCAGTGGGTGTCGTTTGTCAATCGAGAAGACTAATCGCATTCAGTGGACGTCGTGCGATGACACAAGCGCGCGCCGAAAGATCTTCGATCGAGCCTCTCTGGCAAGTGTCAGCGGGCCCACTTCCAAAGGTTTGGCATGGCATACCTGAGGTATTAACTTAACCACCAAGGCCGCCCTTGTCGTCAGCCTCGATGCGGAGACGGATAGGGCCATCGAGGGCTTGAGTGGTATCGAACACATGCTCGACAGGGGTATCTTGAGAGACACTCAAGAAAGCTTTCCAAGGCTGGGCCTTGACATTGATGGCTTGGGGGTTCATGTTGATTTGATCGTTGAAAGTGTTTTGCGGACTGGAAATCGGAACAGATGGATTGAAATTTGGTCTGATCGAATGGTCGCGAGCAGTTTATAAGCTATATTCCTCTCCTCTCACGTGATTGCTCGCGCTCACTCCTTCATGCATCACGGAGGGATGCTACAGCAGATCACATAGTGCCCCTCGTGAAAAGCGCGTCCGCTCGCCTTGGGAGGCCCAAGTCTTTCACATGCCAAACCGTCAATGTCGAGCTTTCATCAAATCGGAAGCTGGCGCTCGAGTGCCCTGACGGCCGTAACAAGCTCTCATGTCCTCCTCGCGCGTCCTGGCGATATGCTCAGCAAGGGTCGGATAACCTGATTTGTGACCCTCAACACTACGGAGAATCCCTGGTGGGTCTGATGATGCGTCGCCAATCACCCACTATCAAACCAACGCTCGTGATACATTTTGGTGACAATCCTAATGTCAAGCGCGGATCTAGGTTCGTGCTGTCCTGATCCTGCAGGAGTCCACTATGAGAGCCAATGTCGTGTCGGTAAGTCTTGCGCATCGTACGATAACCGCGTAAAACGAGCGTCTATCACCGGTCTTTTGAGACAAGGAAACATGGATGTATCACGGACCCCGCTGGTGATCGAATTCTGTCTAGCTTGTGCACATGATTGCCATAATCGAAAAGCAGTAGGCGCTACGTAAGCTCGTACAGAAGATGTTAGTGGCTGTACGAGACCACGCAACGCAGGAAATAACTGCTGTAGGACTGTATCTGGGCTCGATGCATGCGTTCGGGACTGATACCCGGATCCCAAAGTCGAAGTCTGGCTAGCTGTACATCCGCTCGATTTGACATTCACTTCTAGTCGATGGTAGTTTGTCGCCGTGGCTTCTGGACAAAAAATATATCGTGTGACGTCCTGCTCGCGACCAAGTAAGTGCCCATGTTTATTGATCGTCTCTTCATAAGAGGAACTATGTAACTGGTTGCTGTCCAAAAGCTCGAAGTATAGAGTTGTGTATGCTTGAATCAAGTACAACCATTCTTCATTGCCTACCGAGTGTTATCCAGCTCTTGTAATCACAATTGAGCGAACCTCTACACTGTGGCGCTTGATAGTGTCCCCAGTCGCGTCAGGGTGCTTGAACGATGCATGCGCGCAGACTGGGGAAGAGTGTCAACAGAAAATGCCTGAGTAACGATTGATCTGTGGTGATACTTACATTTGGGTCCTTGAGGATGCGAGTCATAACTCAGAAACAGTGCTATCTCGTCTGGGGTCTGGTTACTGAACCAATGCCACTGCTGTCCCTGATTATAGCGAAGATAGTACACTTCCCCCGCATACTGCTCCGACACACGATCGGCAGCAATAAGATCAGATGAATCGATCGATTTGTAGTCACAAAATGCAAGAGGAGAATCTTCCACCGGGTGATCCAGAGGCCTCCAGATGCTGTACCGCTGTTAGCTGAAGTTCGACTCAATGAGCTACCATGAGCTGGTCTAAGACTGACTTGACGATGCGGATGCGCCAATCCCCATTGAGATATTTACTAACTTCCTCGTCGGTCATATGTCGCTGGGCTCTGCGGAGGCCGCCGTCGAGGGTTTGATCTAGGTGATCAGCCGAGTCAACACTTTCCATCTCATATTTGACTTACCAACGTGAGGGCTTGCAGTAGAAGAGTCCGGCTTCACTCTTGTGCCAATGTCATGAGCAGTACCCTCCCATTCTCCTTCACTGCCTGTTTTTCGATACTGATTGTGTCAGTCATGTCTGCAAAGATATCCTCGGACCATAGCGTAAGCTTACTCTATACGCATAGCACAGAACTTTCTCTGCATTGAATCTTTCTTGAAGCCATTTGGAAGTCGCAACCAGATAGTCGCTAGTTAGATCCTGAACGGAGTAATCAAGGCTGACAGGAACAGGAGTGGGATAGTTGACAAGCTCGAATCCATCTTTCTCCATTCTCAACTTGTCTTCTCTTCCTCTGAGATCGGTGACTATCTGGTCGTAAGATTGATATTTTAAATTTGTTCGCATACGTTCATGCGCAGCGTCGAGCGGGCCAGAGATGTAGTAAGGCTTGCTCTCCGCCCACTCTGGACAATCAGCAATGTACTGGAATTTGACTTCGAGACTCATGATCGCTCGCCAGTCAGCAGTAATAGATGTTGCAGCTCCTGAAGGTAAGATTGAAAACTTGCTGAACGTGGATATTCCGTTGCTTATGATATCTGGCAGCAGATGGTTCCAAGGGAAGGGGATGCAGCATGTCCACTAAGCCAGTAGTCGCGTTCCATCATCGAGCACTGATCAGTTGCGTAACGGGAATGAGACCACCGAATACCTATCCACAGTAAAGAGATCCTACGACAAACGTCGTCGTATCAAGCACTTTTGTTGGCTCGGACCGCGATCAAAAGGGTCCTATCGGCTGCGCTTTCCGCTTTTGTCGATCACCACATGGGGCTTAAGGTTCAGCCGGGTGGCGCCGAGCCTGTAGACACAAGTCTATCACTCTACCTACTTTATGATACACGCTGAATTCTGCTCGCAGATCCCACTATCGCGTGTCCACGAGGTGACTAGAGCCGACGTTGCCGGACTAGGACCCTGCGCATATCACCTCGTTCGCCACATACGCATTGTAACGTGCGTAGACCTCGCCGCGGACTGTAGCTTGATCCTTCGTGTAGTTCCTGGTATGACAAAGTGCTTAGCACTGAGGCAACAGATGTTCGTCTGGAGATCTCGAATTACCCCGCTCATGACGCCTGGGAAAAGGTTTAAGTAAGACCTGGTCTACGTCGAGCTTAGGAAACCAGCGCAGCACTGGATCTCCTACTCATGATGCACCACGCAACGCAGCATGATCGATTTAAAGGATCTTTTCATTTTCTACAAAATCTGCCGGAATACCAAACGGAAAAGCCATACGAGATCTGGCGAGAGTCGCCGGAACACATCCCGAAGTCGAATTGCAAGTTCGAGGAAAGACATGGCATCATCTTGAGGAACATCCGGGAGTGTGATCCGCGTGATTTCGACTACGCTACCACAGGCTTCAAGCCACTATACTCTCCTTGCATTGAACCTCTATCGAGTGAGGATTGCACGTCTTTGGAGCCAACAGGTCGGCTTCTAAGATATCTCGAAAATACCATAGAGCTTGTCAAATCTCAGTTGAAAGCAAAGGAGGTCATTTGCTTTGATTGGCGAGTGAGTCATGCTCTTTGTTCGACGTAACAACTTTCTTACTCACAGTTCATAGTACCGAATGTCATCCGGTGTTAAGCAGATCAATGTGTACGATTATACAAAGCAGGAGAGGTATAACTCTCTGAATCCAGCTCACGTCGTGCACTTCGGTAAGGAAATAATCGCTATATTGAATGAGTATTCTTGATGATTGGATGCACAGATGATTCTCCCGATGGAGGAATGGGAAGACTTCAAAGATATCTTAAGCCCGAAGAATTGGCGTCTTTCAAAAATGACGAAATCAGGATTCGTTTTGTGAAGTGAGCAAGAACTTGGTTCAGTAAGATTTGCCACTAACAGGATACTTTGCAGCGTTTGGCGACCTTTAGTTGCGGTGGTTGAGGACTCACCTCTGGCGATGTGCGATCGTCAATCAGTCTCGGTCTCTGACATGTTCGAGTGCGACAAAATTCACGAAGATCATATCGGAGAGGGACTCTATCTCATTCATAATGAGGAGCAACGCTGGTATTGGCTTCCCGATATGACAAGCGATGAAGCGCTTGTCTTTGTCACTTGGGATTCTCAATTTGACGAAAAGCATCCTGGTGAGTATGATTAACGCAAAACCATTCTGGATGATGAATCTTTAGATCTGACTAATTCTGCATACAGTGGGCCCCCCACATGCCGCCTGCGATGATCCTAAGCCACGAACAAGCCCAAGCCCGAGGGAGAGTATCGAGGTGAGACTCATGGTCTTTACGGAGAAATAGTAGTTGCTATCAATAGACTCCTGTTTGCTGTCTTATGATAAGACTTCGGTTTTGCTTGTTTCTATACAGACTTGGAACCGAGGCATAAAAAGATCCATTGATGTTCGAACCTGTTTGCTGATAAATAAATCATTGACTAGAACGAGTAGGATTGATGAACAGGCTTGCAGAAACTGTCATGCTCATGATCACAGCCATGATTGCAAAAGGCAAGCCCATCCAGTCTCGCCCAAGTCGCATGCCTCGGACCAGGAGCAGATTCATCAGTGGCGCTATCATGCTTTGAGCTCCCATGTCCATCATGGACGCTGCACTGTAGATCAGACACACTTGTGCTGGCTGGACAGCCTCGCCCAATGCACCTAGCAGTTGCCCTGTCGCACAGCTCCCGAAGGCAACAAGTACAATTCCAAGCATCACTGTGCTGAGTGTAGGGGCAACACTGATGATCATATGACCCGTCGCCGACAAGACACCCAACGTCAAAATTATCAGATGATCACGCCGCCAAGGACTGCAGTCAAGTACTCGTACTATGCTTATGGCTGCCAGGGGAAGGATCCCAAGGCTGCATATAGCTTGAGCAGCTGAGGAGATGGAGAGCATCGGATTGACCGTGCTATACGGCGAAGAAAATTTCGCGGCGGAGTATTGGAATCCAACGATCTCAAACAAGTTTTTGGCTGTTGATTGTGGTCCGATGATGAGAAGGACCAAAAGAGCTTGTTTGTTGGATGCGAGGAGCCTAAGTAGAGATAGCGGAGACTTGAAGGCGCTCGTCATGGTCGATTTGATCTTTGAACTGGTGGTTTGTCTTGATGACGCTTGTATTGCCTGGTTCAACATTGGCGGAACGCCAGAACGGGCTTCTTCGAGATTATCGGATGTATACAGAGTTTCGGGAACAAAAAAAGGAACCACGAAAGCACCCAGAAACAACGAGGCCTGACCAGAAACCAGTGTAAACCATAACAGACCGTGCTTCAAGAGCAAACTGCTGAGAACTGATCCAAGAAAAGCCGAACTGATGTCAGCCGCGAAGATGTAGTTGAATACTTGCGCACGCTTGGACCCGTGTACCGCATCAGAGATAATGGTGTGTACAATACTACTACCGACACCATCACCACCACCAAGTAATAGAAAGGTACCGCTAAGCCATATCCAGCGAAGTGGCACAGAGTTCCAATAGCAGATGATCAATATCCAAGCGGCCGCAGCGAATATGCTGATAGCACTCAGTATGAGCATCGGCCTGCGTCCAATCCGCTGCGAGAGCAATACGTATGGTATGGTGCACAAGAGCGAAGCAATGAACGGAAAAAGCTGCAAGACTCCCCTTATGATCGCAAGCTCTTGTTGCACGCGGCTCGATTTGCAACCATCAGCGTTGTCATGAGGGAATACCCCAGACGTCCCTAAAATGTTGATACAAATAATATCTTCGAACACCTGTATGAGTGCGACTGCTTGCAAAGTGATGCCAAAGGACATCGTAAAAGCAAACGAGCAGAGAGGAATCGTAACATGAACATCAGGCATTCGAACTTCTGTCGTGCTTGATATGATGCACTGTGTTGCTAACAGGGCAGATATCTCTTCCCTAGTACCCTGGGTGTCGGATTGCACCATGGCTGGTTTGCTCGATTGGAAAAAGATTGTTGAAGCGATGTGAGCTAAAGATTGATAGAGTCCCACTACGGGTTCGGAATTTTCTTTCGAATGCCAAGGCTGGAGAGCTATCTCTCTTGCCAAGAAGCCACACGTGGTTCTAGTATTATAATTACTCGGCTGTCGCAGGCTCTTTCTCCAACTAGTAAGGCAGACCCGGTACATCTTTATCTGGATAGAAGTCAGCATGTATAAGCAAATATCTGAGTTCTATTGTGCCGTACCTCGAGAACTCACTTTGATGATCGACATCGTCGTGTAAAGAACACTTAGCAAAGACAATCATTGGAGAGAACAAGTGTCTTTTATCAGGTAATAATATCACATGAGAACACCTTGGCGCATCCTTCGAAGGTGTGTGATCCGACTTCTGCGATCGAGCTTACCTGAGGCTATTCAGTCATCCGAGCCGGAGACAGGGTACAGAGCTCTCAAGAAGTCCTGGATTGCGTGATAAATTCACGGCGGTTAGGGTCATGTTTGATCAATCGGATACGAGGCACAGAGCACTCGTCAGCGCGCGGCTCGATCGTGGTTGCCTAATCCGACGGTGTTTCGAGTTCTTGCTGCCTCGGGTCATATTGGCCACAGTTCGAACCCCCTCTCATCTCCTGGATTCGATCTTCTCATCTGCTTGCTACTTTACGAGCTACAGTAGTAGATTTTGCACGACGCGTTGTGTAACATGGATCAAGCCAGACGTACGCCAGAACGACTCGCTTCTCGGCAACCACGCCAGTGCGATGCAACGTCAATATCTTTGAGCTGAACTGGAAAGACCGACATCCGTATGCCGATGCTGGATGTAGAAACGTAATTCACAGCTCTTTTCGTGCTTGACAGTAATGTTACCGTCGATGTAAGATTGTGGTCGAGCAAATCTGATCCAAGGTAGCTTGTTATACTGATACGCTCATCAGATGATCAATGGCCTTTTGGAACAGGTGAACAAAGACTTGCAGGTTTATAACATCTGGCTTGCAGACACCGCGATTCCCGACGGTCTGACAGAAGAAGATGGAGAAGCAACTATCCCTCCGATGAATGTATCATGACAATCGCCCTTTGTTAGCAAGACAGTCGAAGAGGTTTTCACATTTCTTGCCACAGTTCCTCTTGGAAGATCCCTGAACAGAACATATATCATCGTTATGACCAGAAATCTCTATGAGCAGAACAATTGAGTTGTGCTTTACCGAATCGATGAAGAGGGCGAGATCCCTTTTGTTCCTTGCGCAGCACACATGGGTAAATTGAATCGCACGGCTGTGATTGTTGGCCAGATCACTCGGAGGCATGGCGATTCTGTGAAATTGCTGCAGACAATCTCCCATTAGATCGCGCCACATGTGCTCATCCTGCATGACCCCAATTAGTACTAGTAGGGGTTCTTGAAGGATACCAATGTCTCTTTGCCCTAAAATATGAATGTCATGGTCGACAAGAGATGGAGATCACGTTATGTGGGCCACCCTGGCATACCGTTAAGCAAGACAGGGGAAGATAAAAGTCACTAGAATAGAACAATTCAATACAATCAGTAATTCAATTGCATAACAGCACAAGAGAGAAAGATATGATTGTACACAACCAAATACTGTCCTTGAGCATGACGAGTTGTACAACCAAGAAATCGCAGTTCTAAATGTGACGTGTAGTTGAAGTTGAAGTTGGCGTCGGCACGGACAGACCGGATCCACATCGGCCTGACGTTTAGCAGCGGGATGAAGCGCAGCCAATCGGATTAACGGACTCTGAAGCCTCCACCCCGAGACTTTGATCTATTTAATCATACCTTAATTCGACTTCACTACACTATGATCAAATAGCTGGAAAATGAGGATAGGTTTGCCTGGACTACGTGCATGTCCCATGCGAGTCACGACGACGACACTGCCAACACGCGGTCGTGCGACATGTACCTACCAACTTGCATCTGTGGACGTGTCGAATGCATGATTGCGCGCAGTCGCGAGTTCCGATCGACGCAAGGTGGAAACCGCGATCCTCCTCTGCACTTTCCCGTTGTCGCCATTCGCGACCGTCCCGACTGTTCCGGCTCCTATCATGCAACAAACCAATACGCGACCCATACCAAGCGCTACTCTTTCGGCAACTCTTCCGTCTTGGCAATCGACCACCGGTCTTTGCTCCAAGTCCGCGCCACCTCCACCTTTACCTCTACTCAGCATGCCTGCACCTTCTCCGCCTCCCGCCGACGAACTCCAGCAATGCGCTAAACCAGGCTGTGGAAGATTCTGGTACAAGACCGTGTTCATGAAGAAAAATCGCGCAGTCAAGAACTGTCCTCACTGCCTGGGTGATTCCGACATTCTAGCCCTCTACTGGTTGACCGACAACACAGGAGTCAATCCTACAGGCTACAGCTACGATTGGCCGGCACAGACACTCACTATTCTTGCCCCGCTCCCTGCATCCACCCCTGGGCAGGATGCTCAGCTCGGGTCCAATGTACACACACCCGTCAAAAAATCTGCGGTGCTGGAAAGACTCGCTGCCCAGATGGGTAGTGTTCCTTCTCCGGATCGTGAAGAAGACGCCTCTGTGACTGGCTCTCCTACGCCTTTGCCAGGGGGTGCTGGTCACGCCGAAACGCTTCCTTCTCTCCCCTCTCAATCGAGCAGTGATCTTTCCTTGGAAGGACCATTGCCAGGATCAACAACTTCAACCAGGCAATCAATCATCTCACCCGAGAGCTGTGCAGAATCTGTCAGAGGTATTGGTTTGACATGAATGTAAAGCGACCACTCCTTTCCATCGCTTTCCCCTCTCTCTACCCTATTGGAAGTGCCGAGTTTTGTCGTCCTCGTCCTCAAAGCATTTCCTTTCCTGGGTACATATCTCATTTAATCCGTCAGAGTGACCTACGCTACATTCAGCACCCCCAATGGCTGTATGTTTGCTTCAACCTGTTGCTCAGCCAGCAGATACAAGGTCGTACCAAGTATCTCGCCTCCAGATCGCCGGCAACTCTTACACAAGCCGACACTGAGCAAGCCATTGCCGAAGAGGAAGACTCCCCACTGCTGAGATATCTTGTCAATGATTTGAAAGTCGTCAGCGGCTTGACTCCTCTCTGGAAGATGAAGCGTCAACAACTCAAGGCTATGAGTGATGTCCTTGGACCTCCCCATCTCTTTCTCACCCTTACAGCTGCCAATCATGAATGGACATCTCTGCTTCGCCTCCTACCAGACATCATACCAGCCAGTACCCATGCCGAGATCCGTACTGCCGTCATTCGAAACCCTCACATTGTCCTTCATCACGTTATGAAGAGAAAGGAGTTGTTTATGGATATGATCTTCTAGCGAAAGTTTGATGTCAAGGAGATGTGGTTGAGATATGAGTATCAGTCTACAGGCGCTGTTTATGCTCACGCCCTATCTTGGAGTCACAATGCTCCGCCTTACAGGAACCCTGACGATCCCAACTATGACCAAGCACAAGATACGAATTCCCTCAACAAAATCGAGCCCAAGCCGGTCTGGGACTGGGACGCAACGGCAGACTTGTCGTCTACAAACCTCGTCGGAATGACCCCATGTTGAATCAATTCAACCGAGTTGTCATCATGTCTTGGAGAGCAAACACTGATCTTCAGCCCATGACAGACAGTACTCATGCCATTGATTATGTTTCCAAGGATGCTACCACCTCCAACCACTACTCTGGTTCGGAATTGACCGGTGTTCTCAATTCCAATGACCGTCGTGTCATCCTCGCTTCTTCGATTGTTCGACACGTCACCGACCAGAAAGAATATCATGGACAGGAGATTTGTCATCAAATCCTTGGACATCCTCTTGTTGAGTCGACAAAAGGACTTGTCATCATTGATTGTCGTCCCGCAGCAGAACAATCCGAGGTTCGCGGTAAAACCTTGCTTGAGAGATATCTTGAGAGGCACACCAGACACGAAACTATGACTCTGCATGATTTCGCGACCAGATACGACTACAAGAATGGAATGGTCAGATTGCCGGAACCACGTACCCCTCTCTTCATTCCACGCTATCCTGTCGACACCGCAAACGAAGACTGTTGCCGAGCTAAGATGATGTTGCGACATGAATTTCGTAACTCTGTCGATTCACTCTTGACAGCCTTCCCTCCGCATGTCTTTACAAACTTTGTTGATCTCTTCAACTGGTGTCGCGATACCCATCCTCATCCAGCACATACCCTCCCTTTTGACACTCTTGATTCTCGCAAATTCCGTCATACCGACTACCAAGACGAGGCTGTCGAGAAGGATTGGCGTGTTCTTGTCAACAAACTCAGCGAGACTGCATTCCAGTCAGACCTTGGTACTCGTCCGATTGACCTTGCCCAAGTTTGGCCGGTCGCAACTTATCAAAACCTGAATCCAAGATTCTGGTCAAGCATGCCTCGAAGACCACTCATCCCAGCAAACATGATTGGACCGGATGCTGCCCTCACTCTCAACAGAGAACAGCAACAAGCTCACCACAAGGCCATGCAGCACTTCCAAGCTCTCCTCAATGGAGCTCCCAACCTTCCACCTTTCCACGTTCAGATTGATGGAGCAAGTGGGACTGGAAAAACATACCTCATCAATGTCATCTCCTTCCACATGGAGTCCCTTGCAAAGCACATGGGTCGTGGTAATCCTGTCCTTCGTATTGCTCCAACAGGAGGTGCAGCTTGTGAAATCACCGGCAACACCATCCATTCAGGCTTGCGAATTCCAGTAGGACAAGCGTTCGAACTTCTGTCCGATGGTGATTGTACTGAAATGAGACACGATTATTCGAGTGTTGAACTCATCATCATAGACGAGAAGAGTATGGTAGATCTTTACCTCCTTGCTCGTGTTGATGCGCGTTGCAGGCAACTGTGGGATAGTGAAGAATTCTTTGGTGGAAAGTGTGCTATCCTCGCTGGTGATTTCGCACAACTTTGCCCTGTCATCGGCAAGCCATTGTTTGCAACTCGTGGTCTTACTGACGAGGAAGTGGAATGGAGAAAGGTGTATCTCAGTTTTGACAAGACTGTGAGACTCAAGCAGATTGTCCGCTAGAATGGGGATAATACTTTCTAACGTATTCTTAGAGACATTCGTAATAGTACAGTCTCTAATGCAAGCTATAATGCGCTCGCAGGCAGATCTATGGCTCTTTTGAGTCCTGCCGATATCCGCCAATTCGACGATGCCATTCGTATCTACAACACCAATCGTCAAGTTGACTTGCTCAATCACTCTCGAATGAGGAGTGCAAACCTTCCTGTTTTGAGAATTGATGCAACCGGCAGTGGTCAGAATTGGGATCAAGCCGCGAGTGACGAATCCGGCGAGCTCGAACTTACCCTCTTCCTGTCTATCGGAACTCGCATCATGTTGATCGACAACCTGAGTACAGCTACTGGCGCGAAGAATGGCACGACAGGTGTCGTCCGTCACATCGAGTATGCTACAGGCAAGAAACCTCGTCAAGACTTGCCGCAAGCGATTCTCGTCGAGCTGAATGGATATACTGGTCCGACCATCGCCATTGCTGGAGGATACAATGTCGTACCCATCTTCCCCGTCACTCGCCGGTACATGTTCAAAGGAGTACATTGTACGCGAACTCAATTCCCGTTGACAATCTCCTATGCCATCAACGTTTATTCATCACAAGGAATTACAATCACTGGCAAGGCTGTCTATGATATCTCTCGCCGAAATTGGGCGCATGGATTGATATACACTGCGTTATCGAGAGTGAAGAGGTTGGACAGTATCATGTTGGAAGTTCCTTCCGGGAGGGAGAGGTTTGCAACCACGGTTGCGGAGAGAGAAGAGACGAGTTATCTTCACCAGAGAAAGTTGGACGAGCTTCACCGTAGTCATCAATTGTGGTGGTAGGGGATTGATTGGATGTTTTGGGTCAGCATAATTCTGTCACGGTCCAAGCACTTCCATGTAGATACTTGGCTGTCATGCGTGGAGCCCAGTCAAAGCACCGCCAACCACGGATCACCACCATGGAGTACGAGACGAAGCTTGAGTCTGTTATATTCTGGCGGGTCTTTCTGTCGTCGATACTATGGTCTTGTCAGATCGGAAATGTGGAACTGGAGTGTATGCATACTCAAAAGACGCTCACCTTTCCGCAGCTTCCATTTTTTGCAACCCCCAGTTTAGTGGAACGCGAGAAACCATCTCTCTGCGCTCTCTTCAGCGCATTTTCAATCATTGCCTTGCCAGCATTGAACGAGTAGAGCCATCCTCGGTGCCTTGTCAAAGCTTCATCTGCCTTTTCATATTTCGCCATCATCAACAACAAACCCACCGTCAATCCCATGCTCCTCACACATGCTCACGAGTAGCCCAAAATTCCCGATCCGAGCTTTCCAATTCATACAACTTCACAAAGCCATTCAACCCTCATGGTGTCAGATATTGAACATGATTTTCACGGATGCATCATCGTATGCTTGGGGAGAAGCTTGCAGGACGTGCCGACCCAAAGTTCAAAAACTCCCGCAGCAGCTCGATTGACACTTCTGGAGTCGTGATTGTATGGGCCCATGTCTACAGAGATCAGAACAGCGGTGATCTAGCGGACAAAGTCGACTCGCTATTCTCATGCATATGGATGGTCCTGAAGCGAGTCAACGCGTTGGTTCAAAACAACAACAGAAATGTCATCAATGCTGTTATTGATGACAGCCAAGAGCAACAACAACTCCACATCCCACCGACATGCCAATCTTGATGAGACAATCCTGGAACAGCAACAAAGTGCCACGCATACTCAAAACTATGGCGGCATGCTTCTGTACAAGTTTTGCAAAAGCTCAGCTATCACCGTCTCTGACGCACACACCACACTCTCGGATTGCCCTGGTCCTGCTTCCTCTATTCATCGTCTTGAGTCTTCGGTAGCCCTGGCCTTCTTCCATGCTCGCCACCAAGCTCTAAATGCCGGAGCATGTCTTTTAGGAATCACATGGTCCTCCAAAGGTGACCGGCCTCCGCCTTTGTGCATCACTTGAACTGCCCATCAGCATCACGCTCTCCGACAGTCCTTTGTCGGGATGGACATACCACGCACCCATCGGTCTCTATGTCACGAAATCTCTCGCGCACTGCCTTGCAAGTCATTATCTACTGCAAGTCTCTGTTCAACTCTTCGTCAAATCTGCATCACAGTCGTGGAATGCGAGCAGTATTTTTTGGGTTTCTCGTTTATCCTGTAATCATGACAGGTTGGCTTGAATTTTCTGAACTGCTCATGCGACTGTTTTTCCTACCACAAAGCTTACACTCCATCCACTCGCATTCACACCACCAAGGAGTCATCTTCTGAGCTCGCCCACGACGACCGCAATCTCCTTTCCGTGTCACTGATACGAGCGGGGGATTTGCGCTCTGTTAGGCGCTTGATTTTCTCTGGCTATGTCCGACATTTCGATGACATCCGCAGCTTGACCGCCCGCCGAACCGCCTTGCTTACCACGACGACCCTTAATCACATCGCATCCTATCTTTGGCTCGCCTGACCAAAGAGGACCGTCGCCATGTACTGGGCGTATGCTTGTCTCGTGATTTTCTCGACTTTGCGACATCGTAGGCGCTTTCCGGTTATCCACCCTACACCTCGCTCAGTATCTCCAACCACAACGACACGCCGTCTCGTCTTCAAGTCGGCCAATCGAAAGGATAGTCGCATTACCACTGGCGCACAAGTCTCCGCCATTCTGTCCGCCACTATAACGTTACGCATGCTTCTCCGCTGCCCACCGTCCACCTGTGGTATCGGAACAACCACCGAGCACCCCCGCTTTCGAATTGAAACTACTCATTCATTGGAGACAATCGAAATACACCAGCCCGTCGCTCGAGATCGCTACAGCAAGCCAAGGAACATCAGCTATCAGCTCAGGCTCTGTGATGCCTCAAAGCGGCTGGAAGTAACCTCAAGTTGCGCGAAAGCCCACTTCGAAACCTTGGCTTGTGTATGTCAGAGCCTATGGCGTCAAGACATTCGCCAAACGCCAACAACATGGACTCTATTGCAGCTACAGTCGGAGACTGCTGTGGGCGCTATCAACTCCATTGCTCAAGCTAGACCATCCATCACCGCAAAAGCTTTGCCTGCTTTCGTCAATGGCATGAATTTATGTCAGCCGTTTCTTCCATTGTTGGTGCTTTCGGTCAAGCAACAAAGAATGGTGTGGCTATTGCGCCCAGCGGAAATGCTCCAACATCTACATTGATCGGCGCCGTACCTAGTCAAACTGTCAGCGATGATCTCAAGTACAACGGTGTGCTTGCCACTGCTTCCAAAAAGGTCGCACCTTCTGTCGACACTGCTCAAGCAGCAGCTCCTCTCATTGAACCTTGTATCAACAGTTGGTATGCCTACTTGACTCAGGGCCCAAGTGGAAGCATCGACTGGGCAAAGTGCGAGTACCCCCAGGAAGACGCAGCTGTCAAAGTCCAGAAACCCCACGAATTGACCATGCTTCTCACCAACGCGGAACAGCATGAGAAGTCAGTTCAGCTGGAGATCGAAAGCCCAACGAGCAGCTCAGAGGTGCAGTTGCGAAAAAGATCAAGACAACCAGGTCCATCAAGATCGAGGTTCAAAAGTAGTCGGACCTGGCATCTGACAAGACACCGGTTAAGACTATCAGAACCTGGCGGGATGATATGAAAGGCGTGAAAACTACAGGTGTCCAACTCGATATTACACAGTCTGAAGGTCGACGTCCCCAGATTCAACCACACAGCCCAGAACGCCGGCCACAGAGAAGCTTACAATCAACCAGAAAGCTCTCGAAACTGCGCAGCAGATCTAGCAAGCTGCTACAGACAGCGCGCTTAATGTACAACAAGACCTCAATGAAGTTCAAGGGCTTAGTAGTCGAGGGTCAGACCTTGGAAAAGGTCAAGGAGATCCTTGTTGGCTGCATGGTCACGCTCGTACAGCTCAAAGTACAGATTGATAGGCTTAAGGGGTTTCTGGAGCACTTTCCACCATGGTACGAGTGGGGGTTCAGGACAAAGTCAAGAAAATCGTCGAGGACGTGTCTAGTGTTGCAGCCGATGCAGGCAAGAAGCAAATTCTTCGTCTAACAGACATGGATATCGAGATCATCAGAAGAAAGCAGCTTAGCAGCCTCTTCCTACCCCGTCGAGAGAGGGCTATGTGCCTACAAGAGGTCATGTTTTGTGTTTCCAATATTGCAGTGGTCGAGTCGTGCTACGCAAGGTCATGCTCGGCAACCCCATGATCACAACCAGAATAGAGCGCAGGTGTGATCAGAAAGTCGTCGAATTAAGCAGTGAACGGCTCGCAAAGCTAGCGCCGATGGCAAAAACGCCATCGGGCATGCCATGACTCGACCTCTTTCCGGCACTTCAAAGTCCGCAAACCCCGAACGTCGAATCACTGATGCGCGGAGTTCGAACAACATCCAGATGCGATTCACCTTGAACATGGACTTCTAGATCGCCTTAGAACAGATTATCAAGTCACGAAGCATCGTCAGGTCTAGACAGATATCGCATCCATTCCAACATTGCTCCAAGCGTCAAATCGCACCATGCGCAATCCATTCACTCTTAACCGCCGTCCCGCATCGCACTCTACCCCGACTAGCGAATACCCACCGACATGAGCATCTCCGCCTCGTTACCCGCCCGTCAAGACGCACACACCAAGGAAACAGCGAATAGCCATACGAGCAAGAGCATGGGAGAAGATTGCCTGAAGGATCGGATATACATACCTAGGAGTGGTAAAGCATTTTCTCTAGCTTGATCGTCAGTAGGAGCGCCCACGCAACTAAAATCACCGCCCTGACATCCATGGAAGCTTCTTAGCACATCCGCCTGGCAAGTTAAATCTCGAGGCAAGCGCTTCACGTCCACGCTGCCGTCTCTGCCATGCCCATCAACAGGTCATGATATTACGAATGCCTCCTCGGGTTGTCGCTGCATGTTCTCGGGGGTTTCAAGGACTAGCAATTTTGCAATGTTAATCCGCCCCAGCTAAGCATCTCTGTCTTCCTCCCTTGAGTCAGCAGGCAATACCGCAGTCACTGGATCGAGCTCTTGCCATGACTCTTCGACCGACAGAGAGAAGAGGGTAGGGCAGTAACAACCTGGCTGCATTTTCCTTGGCGGGGAACGCCAGGCTAACTCCTTCTTCTTGCTTGAGAAGCGCGCTCGTAACACAGCACTTTGCAGCACATCTTCCAATGTACTACCCGCTCTACAGAGAGCCTGCAATCCCATTCGCCGTCTTCACTCACCCGGGTCTTTTCTGGAATCAAGCTAACACCGCTTTGCCAGTCGCAATATCACCGGACTGGCAGATCCTTCCGCTGTCGCAGTGCCATATCGGGTTGTAGCAGCAAGAAATCGCCTGCCGAGCAAGGAACGACAGATTGTTCAATCATTCGGAAAGTCTTCCACATCTGTCAGCACTCGATGACATAGTCAGAATTGGAGTAGGCATGAGCCGCATGATAGGCATGATGGACCACTAGTTGCGACGATCTATTTCCTTTTTAGGTAAATGGACTCGATCGACTCCAGAAATCATACGTCATGAACAGCTGGCGCAAGCAGCTCCCGGCAGATCGCCATAAAGGATTGAACGCTTCCTATTGCCGGAACCGACTTCTTGGTTTGACGGACTGCTTAGCAACACCCACGCACCGTCATACATAACCTTCAATATGTGAGCTCAACGCTATGACAATGGCACGATTGCGGTCCAATTGAGAGCTCTGGCGAGTATATTCCCTCATGATACCCGCCATGTTCGATGGACCCAGTCCACTAATTGCTACGATGCGTGCAACAACCCTGTGCCTCACATCTCTAGCCCAAGTGGCACTGGCTTCTACGCTGTACAGCAACTCTTTCGGAGTACCTGGACTCAATGCCACCTATGACTATGTCGTAGTGGGTGGTGGTACTGCTGGGTTGACGATTGCTGCACGACTCGCCGAGGACCCCAACATCTCTGTTGCCGTCATAGAGGCGGGAGGTTTCTACCAGCAAGAGAATGGCAATGGAAGGTCAGTAACAACGACAGCCTACCATTGAGATCAAGAATGCGATCAACTCACTGCTCATCAGCGTCATTCCCGGGTTATGCACAACGCAATTCACAGGCTCAGATCCCGACGACACCCAACCTCTCATAGATTGGGGCTTCACAACAACACCACAAGCAGGCATCAACAATCAGATTTCACACTATGCCCGTGGCAAAACGCTAGGCGGATCTTCTGCCAGAAACTACATGGCTTACCATCGAGGTACAAATGGCAGCTACGGAATGTGGGCTGACCAGGTCGGGGATGAAAGCTACAGGCTCTCCAACCTCGATCAATACTTTCAACGAAGTATCAACATCACAGCCCCGAACGTTGACCTTCGCAAAACCAATGCTACCGTCAACTACAAGGTGAAGTTGAACCATGCTCAAGACGGTTACTATCATCCTCTACAGCTTTCGTGGTCGAACTGGGTAGCTTCCATCTCAACATGGACATATGCTGCATACCGAACTTTGAGTCTCATCCCAAATGCAGCTGGATTTGAGAGTGGAGACTTGGACGGATACTTTTACAATCCTTCGACAATCACTCCGGATACTCAGCACCGTTCATCATCGCAGACCAGCTTTCTCGACTATGCTATGCGGACCACCTCAATCAAGGTGTACACCCACGCATTGGCCCGCCAAATATTGTTCACACATGACAAGGTTGCGACTGGTGTGCTTGTACAGTCAGGATCCAAAAACTACACACTCAGCGCTACAAAAGAGGTCATTCTTTCCGCAGGAGCATTCCAATCGCCTCAGATGCTGATGGTATCTGGTATCGGACCAAGGGAAACCCTTCAGAAGTATGGCATTCCAGTCATCGCGGATCTGCCCGGAGTGGGACAAAACCTCCAGGATCAACCGACGATTGGATCAGTGTACCGCGTGAACGTGCCGACTTCCTCGAAGTTGGTGAACGATCCCGAGTATGCAGCCGAAGCTGCCGCATCGTACTTAGCTAACGGCACTGGTATATACGCTGCACCTCCTGGTATCCTCGCATTCGAGAGGATCTCCGAGTCAAGGCCGGAATTATTGTCGAATGACACATTATTGGCCCTCAAATCAATCCCAGACGATTGGCCACAGCTCGAATATCTCACTCAAGATGGCTACGTAGGCACGAATAGGAATTACCGTACCGCCGATCCAGGAGATGGCTACAACTACGCCTCCATATCGATGGTCGTCGTTTCGCAATTCTCCAAAGGCAACGTCACCATCTCGTCCGCCGACGCATCCGTGCAGCCAGTCATTAACCCGAACTGGCTAACCGCGCCCGAAGATTTTGACTTGGCCATTGCCGGCTTCAAGCGCACGCGCGAGATTTGGAGCCACATTAATGTTACTATTGGCCCAGAACACCTTCCAGGACCGAATGTTACTACCGATGCACAGATTTTGGACTACATCCGGGACGCCGCATTCACTCTATACCACGCTTCGGCCACCTGCAAGATGGGTCGAATCGATGATAAGATGGCTGTTGTTGACTCCAAAGCTCGCGTGTATGGTGTACAAGGCTTGAGAGTGGTGGACGCTTCTGCTTTCCCATTCTTGCCGCCAGGTCATCCCCAAGCTACTGTTTATATGCTGGCCGAAAAGATCGCGGAGGATATCAAGAGAGGATATTAGTAGATCAAAAACCTTTTTTGACGCCATGGTGACTGATCTGCGGCTACTTGTCCGCTTTCCTGCCATCCAATGTCTAGCCGGTTTTCTGTCTCTGTCGCGAACCTAACTAATTAGAGTCGCACGTCTAGCAATTAACTACACGCTGTCATTGAACTATAATGCATTTAGCAAAACTTCAGTCTATGAAACATAACACTGCAGTCATAGCCTCCCTCGGTCACTGGAGTAGGAAGTATAACATATAAAGACATGTCCAGCTTGGCAGTTCTCCTTAGACCTATCTTAACACCGATACCCAGCCGTTGCACAATGCGCGAGAGGATCTGACCTTGTCTCTAGCTTGTATCCAGAAGACAGCATCACTCTCCCTACTCATCCAAGATTTGAACCTTAATTGCCTTGGCCTTAGGATCCGAAGCAGTCTTGAACGTATCCTCGCCTTGTTCAAGTGTATAACGATGTGTAACCAGCGGTTTGAGATCTGGAAGACCTGCTGCGACAAGCCCAATAGCCTTGGGATATGTATCCTTATAGCGGTACTGGAACTTCAGATCGACTTCCCTTGCAGACATGTATGAGAATGGCATGTTCTGGAAATCCTTTCCGCAGCCGATGACAAACACAAGGCCGCCGAATGTGCATGACTGACAGATGTTAGTAGGTTATGTCAAACTTTCGTTTGAGGATTTACTTACGTAGATGGCGGATTGAACGCTTGACTCGACGCCTGTGCATTCGAAGACAATCTTGGCCTCAAAACCAAGAGCCTCTTTAATTCGAGCAGCAGAGTCTTTAGGAGTCTCTCCCACGACGATCTTCACCGTGTTGACGCGAGGAATGAGCTTCTTGGCGGTGGCCAGACGGTTCTCGTCCAGATCTGTAATGACAATTGGATTCGCACCAGCAGCATGCGTAGCGAGAAGTGTAACGAGACCGATAGGTCCAGCACCGCAGATGACGATCGGATCACCTAGTCGCAGCATGGAACGATCGATTCCAGCAAGGGCAACCGAGAGTGGCTCGAGAAGAGAGCCTTCTTCGAATGAGAGCGTGTCTGGAAGCTTATGTAGCCACTCTTGAGGGTGTACGTGATAGCGAGCAAGTGTACCATGATAAGGAGTGGAAAAGAAGACGACATCAGGGCATGCATTGTACTTTCCAGTACGACAGTAGTAGCAAGTGGCCTCCATGCAAGGAATACCACATTCCAGTGCGACGCGATCGCCTAAAATTTGAAATGAGAAGGTCGTTGGAAAAAGTGGTCAATAGTCATACCTAGCTTGAATCTGTTGACTCCCTCTCCTACTGCGACAACAACGCCAGCACTCTCATGGCCCAATCGATTCTCGCCCACGACGATCATATCACCGATGTGGCCACTCTTCCAGAAGTGAATGTCAGATCCACAGATACCAGTCGCGCGTACATGGATCAAACATTCTCCTGGTCCGGGAGCAGGAACTGGTCCGTTCTTGATGTAGAGCTCATGCTCAGGATTGGTGAAGACGCCAACATTCTGTGACTTGATGTGGGTTGAAGACAACGCGGATTCGCTACTTGTCCTGGTTGCTGATGGTGCCATGGTAGTGATTGTTTAATTGAATGAAGTCCTCAGTTTTGTTGAAGCGTAGGTGAGTTGGTCTATTATTTGTACATGCTGCGCGTCGAGTCGGAGGAGACTGGTGAGCAAGTGGATCCCCGATGACCCGATCGGACCTTGGGACCGAAGTCGTCTCCATCTTCGTTTTTTGACACGCCAATTATCATTTGATGGACCTATGATGGTTTGACGGAGGAGGCTTGAGGCTTCGCGGGCTCGGGACATCGCCGAAAGCTGGAATTCTTGGTCGACTCGGTGGGTTTTGTGGAGATTTCGTCGGCGTCGGTCCCGAGCATCACTTCTCGGCGGATAGCATTGTCGGACGAGACGAGCTGATCGAGTAGCCATGGAGTGTTGGATGAATTCAGAGATGTACAAAGTTGTATCTTGATGTATTGCCGGGTTCAATCAACCGAATGCTCATCTCAAATATTGCAGGAGCTCTATAAGAGCAAGCTGTCTGCTCTCTAGCATCAGTAGCATTACAGCACTTTTACACTTTTCAACCAGAAAACGTCGCTCACCGGGAAGATTGCAATTGTAACTGGTGGTGCCAGAGGTGAGATTAAGAACACGTGATGGTCTTTGCGACAGATAGTGATCTTCGTCTTCAGGTATTGGAGCTGCCATTGTCATGTCACTGGCTTCCGAAGGCGCGAAGGTCAACAGACAACATCTCGGTTATCTGAATTTACGATTGACAGTGTCCCAGGTAGCGTTCAACTACGTTTCTGACAATTCTGGGTTCAAGGCTCAAGAGCTTGTAATATACATCAAGTCAAAAGGTGGCGATGCTGTCTGCGTTCAGGCAGACATGGCAGACCCCGTGGCGCCTCGAAAGATCATAGAGGCGACATTGCATGGATTCAAGACCGACCGGATCGATCTACTAGTCAAGAATGCCGGACTGGGACAGAACACGCCTCTCCAAGATGTAACCATCGAAGAGTATGAGAAGCTGATGAACGTGAATGTTCGCGCTGTCATATTCATGACGCAACACATCCTGCCTTACCTCAAGGGCACCTCAAATCGTATCGTCAATCTATCGTCCATCTCCGCGCGTGGAGGTTTCGCGACACAAACAGTTTACGCTGCGACAAAGGCTGCTGTCGAAAGTTTTACCCGTGTATGGGCGAAAGAGCTGGGTCATTCACACAAAGTCACCGTAAACGCCGTCAATCCCGGACCGGTCGACACGGACATGTATCGGGCAGCTGGCGAGGTTCATCTTGCGATAATGGAGGAGCAGAACAAGACCGTACCGGCCGCACCACGCTGTGGAACAGGAGAAGATGTCGCTGACATTGTCACATTCTTGTGTGGTGAAAAAGCACGTTGGATTACCGGTGATGTCATTTGTGCGAATGGAGGAATGCTTTTCACTTGAGCCGATGGTGATGCGTGTGGTTTGAGGGGTGTTCACAATGAACTGTGCAAGATTTGATTGTGATGAGTGACTGGAACGGGTGTTCGTCTGTATCGGATCGCTGATGCATCAAAGATGTTCCTCGTGTAGATATTCAATCGAAAGTTTGCAGTCGGTTTTGACCGAAGTCTAGCCAGTTCGCCAAGACCACTTCGTTGCCCCTCCACATGCCCCTCATGTTACTGTGGCTTTTGCTTTCTTTCTTGATTCTACTTACATGGCTTCCCAGTTACACTAAATCATCACAAAAGGTAGCTTGGGTTTACACCTGATTAATGGATTCGCAACCTGAAAGAATTCGCAAGACTCGTCGAAACGCTGCTTGCGATGAATGCGAGCGTCGCAAAGTCCGTTGCTCTGCAGAAGAACGATGCTCAAATTGTGTTCGAGATGCAAAGACTTGCGTATATTCATGGCCCAACCATCGCGCGACAGATATGCAGAAGTGATGTTTTACCGACAATGTCGCTCATTGATCGATGCTGATGACAACACAGAAAGATCAAAGGTTACGAAAATCTTGTTGCCGACATCAAACGAGCATGGTCTTCCACGTGCCAAACCTCACCTTGGAGGCCGCTTTGGCAGGACTGAATGATCAGAGCGCACGACAAGCGGATGTCCAGGTGCTATCGCGCCCTCCACCATCTCTAGTCTCGCCTTCAAGTGTCGAGCCACTCGGTCTGCGATCTGAGAGCGTTCATTCAGCGCAAAGCGATCCTGGAGATTACGAGTTTGACGAGTCGCATGGGTTTGACGAATTGATCGATGGCATGGGGTTCTTGACCGCCAAATCTTGCAGATCTGGATATACCGGTCCAACTTCTGGCATCGCAGCCCTGAGGTTTCTGCGATCTTTGCCATCAGAATATCATGCGGATACTGGATTGATCACGAATAACATTGGCCAAACCCCCTTATCTCAAGCACTGACAGATGAGTTTGTTGACGTGGACGACATGATTAATGACTACTTCTTGCTTTACCATCCGGCATATCCATTGTTACATGAAGGTTTGTTCAGAGCACGCGTGCTTGGTACGTTAGATCTGATCGTCTCCCTCTCCCGAAACTGACTGGTGTCGCAGGTGCTGTACCAAAGCCTAGGGACGGGTCGTGGCCTCTATTATACAACATGGTAGTAGCTGTCGGTGCCTTCGTAGGTGGCTTGACAGACACAAACATAGACCTCAGATACTACAAGGTGGCCAAGGAGAGTATCTCATTATCACTCCTGGAAAAGGGATCCATCTGCTATGTCCAAGGTCTGACACTAATGGCAAACTATTTGCAGAAGCGTAACAAGCCCAACGCTGGTTTTGCCATGATTGGCATAGCATGGTCTATGGCTCTTTCAATCGGGCTACATCGAGAGTTCGAAAACTCTTCTACTTCGGCATATACCATGGAGATTCGTCGACGAGCATGGTGGACTTTGTTCGTCTTCGTCTCTGGTCATCAGCTTACGTTTGGGAGACCTCCAGCTTCACTCATTGGCATCAATTTGCGTCCACCATTGAATCTGGATGACAAAGATCTGGCTGTTGACATGATTTCACTACCTTCTGAGAGGGAAGGACCCGCAACAGCAACTTCTTTGATTGCACAGATCAAACTTGCCAGTATTGGAAATGCGGTCCAGGCGGAGCTTCTCACCCACCAAGTACCCGCCTTGGAGACAGCTTTACGCCTTGATGAGGGAATAGCGAAATGGCTTGCGGATCTCCCAAGATTCTATGACCCCGCTGTGTCATTATCAGCACGATTCGACCTTGCTAAGCGAGTTCTTATCTGGAGATCATACCACCTTCGTATCGTGCTTTTTCGGCCGTTCTTGTTCCGTGCAGTAACAAGGAATGCTCCAATTTCTCTGGATGACAATGGTATCCAGACTTGTGTCGACACAGCAAATACGTGTGTGACCTCAGTTCATGAATATGTTATGAACAAGTCTCCTTGTAAACGTGGCTTTGCATGGTATGCCACGTACTGGCTGCTCACTGCGAGCGTTGTTCATGCCACGTGTCTAGCATACGCCCCATATAATCATTCGAATGACGCTTGGAAATCCAAGCTTGAACTTGCTATTGAGGCCTTACAGAAGTTGAGGAATGCCCAGCCCATGGCCGATCAAGCACAGATGGTATTGAGCAGACTCCTCGGTAAGTTATCGTGGCACTTCATCAGAAAACATCGTTCTTCTCGATTGCTGATACGAGTTTTCAGAAAGATACAACTCAACATCATCAGGCTCACTTGCGACTCTTGGTGCCCACGCCACTGATTCTCATTCAAGCGCGCATTGGCAAATTGCGACCGGTTATGTTCCTTTGGATCCCGAGAATCATCGAATTCCAGGTCAAGATATACAGGATATGCTTGACCCTGTTTCTATGAGCGAGAATATGATGGTTCCAGACACAGTCGCAGACATGCTATGGCTTTGGTCCCAAAGCGCAGACACGGAATTTCTTGATGCCGCAGAGAACTTTATGTTGCAAAATAACCAAGATAGTTGGAATGGCTTATGATGGTTGGTAGCAAGAACTGATACATTTGGTAGCCTGTTTCTATCGGCCCGTAGTAACAATCGGTGGTCACGACCCTCTCGTGGTTCTGGGAATCCCTAAATTGAGAAATCTTCTCCTACAAATTATCTTGGCCTTCACTTTCCTTCCTGATCACCAGTTCATGTGCAGATTCGCGACTTGAGAAACATTGCATCGTTTATGCAGATCTTCTTGAGAGAAAGGGTGCACGGAGAGTGCCATGCTCGTCAAACCTCGAGCAATCTCCGAGCTTTACAATCCACCAGAAGTACCCGTGTACTCGCTCGGAGTGGACGCGAAACGTTTAGAGTTTAGTCTGGAAGCTCTCGCAGGGCAGTTGCGGACTGGCCTTCGGATTCGGTCGTTTGATGAGCTAACCTTAGCTAGAGCTTATACCAGTTCGGGGATGTGCCGAGGGGATTCGGAATCGCGACAATGATATGACAACCAGTCTGGGGCCCCTGTGGGGTCTCCACACGATTCAGAGTCTATATGATATGATCTCTTCACCCCAGAAAATAAAATCATCCAGCAAAACTAATCAGCTCCACAATGACTCACAACATGTCGACAAACTCGAAGACTCAGTATGAAGGGTATTAGCTCTGTAGCATATACTTGACTAAAATTTGGACTAAGAGATTGGCGTAGTGTCGAAAAGTTGCATCTCGAGAAAGAGCACAACGAATTGTACGAAACAGCCCTTGACTTTGAGAATAACAAGCCTGGAGAGTAAGAACGTCACCAACTTGCTGAGCGATCTGAAAGGCTGACATGGTTCTAGAGTCAAAAACCCGCTTGCCGGTCTTACGAAGGCTGAGATCTTCCGCAATGTCGAAACCTATGCTCAGAAATACGAGCTGAACGACATTGTTGACCTGCTCAAGAAGGGTGCGCTTGTCGCTCAGAATCCAGGTCATCCAGAAGCAATCGAGGAGCTCTCTGCACGAGAGCTGGAATCGATTCAAGCTGAGAAGACACACCGCTGGCGTCACCCCAAGACCCTGTATGCTATGGTCGCGCTCAACTCGGTCGGTGCTGCGATCCAGGGTACGTCGTTACGCCTTTGCTCGCGTTCATCACACTGATTTATCACAAAGGCTGGGATCAGACAGGCTCCAATGGTGCTAATCTTTCGTTCCCTCAAGAGTTTGGCATCGCAGATACCGGCACTGTTTGCGAAAGCATCGGCAACTGCGAGAGAAACTCTTGGGTTGTCGGTGCAATCAATGCTGCCCCATACATGGCCCTTTGTGTTATGTGAGAGAATTTATCATTTCAGCTCTGGCAAACGCTAATGTTTGCAGCGCATGTTGGCTTCTAGATCCCGTCAACCACTACATTGGCCGCCGAGGTGCAATTTTTGTTGGTGCGATTTTCAGTCTTCTGGCCCCAATTGGTCAAGCACTAGCACAATCCTGGCCCCAAATTCTAATCTGCCGCATCCTCTTGGGCATCGGTATGGGCTTAAAAGAAGTCACAGTACCCATCTTTTCCGCCGAGAACGCCCCTGCTAGCATTCGTGGAGCTCTTGTCATGTCATGGCAGATGTGGGTCACTTTTGGAATGATGCTTGGATTTTCTGCAAACTTGGCTGTCTCGGGCGCTGGCGACATCACTTGGAGACTGCAACTGGGATCTGCCTGTATCCCCGCCATTCCACTTCTTATAGGTATCTATCTTGTGCCCGAATCTGCTCGCTGGCTCATCAAGAAGGGAAGACACCAGGCTGCATACAATTTTACGCAAGGAGGCAATGAGAACGCCTAGGGTGTTCTTACCTAGTTGATGCCCACTTCTCCCAATCAGGTTGAATACATGTCTCTTGTTTTGTCGTACTCTGGTCATGAAACAGTCTTTCTAGAATTGCGAACCCTAACCCGTTCCGTCGGCTAGATTTGCGCTGGAGTCTGCGCCTGCTTGGCTCAGCTAAAGCCACAATATCTCGAATTGTAACGTCCTCGGTTCCAATGCTTTCTTCTACCTAGCCTGGCTGCCCGGATATGAAAACGATCGTTCATGTCACAAGTTCGAGTGAAGTTGAGCCGAAACGCCGATCTTGGTTCAAATGTCACAACATCGAACAAATACCGCTAGGAAGGATACATGAATTTCGATCATCCATGGCTTCTGAGACGTCAACCCTCGCACAATAGCGGCAAGATTGGCGGCAGACTAACGCTGATTCACTTGCCCTCAAGGAAGTCATGCGGGCATGGTCTGCAAAGAAAATTCAGATACCTTTTCGGTCATCGACCCTGAGTATGGTTCTACGGGAACACTTTCTGGCTTCAATTTCGAGATCTTCCAGGAGCATCTTGACTCCTACACCTGCAACCTAGCGATTGAAGGCAACTATGAACACGTTGAACCACGGCAAAGCTATGAGTCGCTGACTGGCATCGACGGCACTTCCTTCGGCCCCAAGGTCTTTCATGACACCAGCGTCCTTGACACCTTCAGATCGATTGTTCTCCAATATCAATCCGTTTCGGACATCGGTGATCATCATCTTGCGATGTGGTACTCAAGCCCACTTGCCTAACAAAGCCATAATCCCAGCTCCCAGTAGAAAACAACCCACCATGAACCCCATCCTCTTGTTGTCTTCTGTCCTGTTTGGGTCAAACAAGAAGTCTCTGGCCAAAAGCTCGACCAAACCAGTAAAGATTAATATGCCAGCGCTGATCGAATCGAGTATACCACTAACCACGTTTGCAGTAAAGGAGTTCGGGTCGTATCTAGTGCGAAGTCCAAGTCCGATGGCAATCGCGATAGGAGTTGTAAGACCGTAGGCAGTACACAAGAACCATGGAAGCCAATTCTTGTACCTAGCAGGGAACGGTATGGCTGACATGCGAGCACCTATACCGAGGCCTTCGAATGATTGGTGGAAGACAAGAACAGGGTATAGAGTGTTGAATTCTGAGCCGACTACACCCAGATTCAATCCAATCACAACCTGCACGACATCATTAGTATGTCTTGTACGCGAAGAAGACTCCTAAAGCTTATCAGGCAAGTGGCATACCGAATGAAATATGACTCCAAATTCCAAGACCAGGAAAGCAGCAAACTGTGTCTGGAAGGCATTCTCCTGAATCAAAGTAGACTTCTCAAGGTCGACGGTCTCTTCAGACATTGCTTGGTAGGGCTCTGTCGCCTTTCTTTCTAGAGCCTGGTCATCATGTAAGATTGGGGTTGGCGTGATAGAGTCATGATGGGTATGCACTCTGCCTGTTGCTATATCTTCCAGATTGCCTTGGTGATGGTGAACGCCATACTTGGCTTCAACATAACGCTCTGCGCCAAGATCGAGCAGGAAGATCACAGTGACAGAAACGAGAACGATAGCTGGAGGCCAAGAGTACTGTGCCCAGCCGCCTGTCATACCGACGCAAGTCTGTGGTCTAGTTTTGAGCTAGTCAGCAGAAGCATCTTGAACGGGGCTACCAGATGAACACACCCGATCTCGCTGTACGCAGGATCCAGCAAGTGAATGAAAGCAGTGGCCACGATCACGCCTGCTCCAAAGTATCTGGCAAAGAGATAAACATACAGCGGAATCTGATTTGGAGAATTAGCGTTCGATCCTGTTCTGATGAGTGGACCGAAAACTGACCTTTAGCCATCTAACGCGTTTCGCAGCAACTGGGAAGAAAGTCACAGCTGTAGACACGATGAGAATGACGAACAGCGCTGAGATCCGAGCACCAAGTCGTCCGTCATAATCGTTTCCGGAAGCATTGAGAGCACAGATGACTTGAGTCGGATCTGCAGTGGTCAGGTTGACCAGTTCCGGGTTGAACGCATTGGCCGCCATTGAAAAGGATGTGTGATTCGAAGCAAGAAGCAGTGAAAATTTACTGCTCTTGTAGGTCCAGCTCATCGTTGGCGTGGTGGTGTCTTTAAGTTCTGAACTTCCACCTTGATGGCCTCCACGCGTCTCCTTGTGCCGGACTTCCGGGTGCAAGCAGCGGTGGAGTCGCTCATATCCAATCGCATCTTCAAAGTGTAGCAGCATTGGCTTTCTGACTATCGGGTAGACTCAATAACAGAGTGATGAGAAAGAGCGGCCATGAAGGATTTGGATGACGCGCCACAATGCCGTATCATCCCAGATGTCCAAAGTTGGTGGGGCTGGCACGATTGTCTTTCATGGCCATTTCCAAACTTCTCCCCCAACCGTGATAGCCTACAGACTCGCCTCAGTTACCTCGACCGAGACCTCTCCTGATTAGGACTGTCCTACAAGCAACTGTATCGCTAGATGACAACTGTATAGCCACCGCCTAGATCCTTTTGCTTGCAACCAGTGGAGATAATCCGGCCATAGTTGCTCATAAACTCCTGCTGGACTAAGATTTCCTACTTTAGGAAAGGTAAATGATGTTGGTCCCAAGTATCCCAAACCAAGCAGCTAATGCTCGTGTTGCCAAAGCCTGGCGGCTCGTTGAGTTGGAACTCATCTTGCAGCTATTCACGGAGCCGATGTTGAGAGCGTTTCCCTATCTATCCATCATGGTATGACTTGTTGGGGAAATGTGCACGTTGTGGGCCCGTCGCCAGACCCGAATCGTGAATGAATGATCTTTGCAGTATTTTATTATTGAGGATTCCTCATTCAAGCCGATGGTAGATTTCAGCTCAGGCCCACTCAGCAAGCGTCACCTGCCACATCATTCTGTTCGTCGTCGCATCTACCTTCTGTTTTACGCTTGTCATCGTCAAGCGCGTCAATCCTGGTATCGGCGTCCTCACAAAGAGCCTTGTAACCCGGCACCTGCATCAGCACGCCAACTTTCTCGCACGTGCCCACCTCTTTTCTTGTGTATATCGAGAATGATCCATTTGCCTCTATAAAGACACATTCTACCTGAGAGATATCGAGTATGTTTTTTTGTCGCAAGGAAGCGTAAAAGTCGCCCAGAGAGATTCGATGTGTAGCCATAACTTTGGACAAAAGACGACCCCGAAAAGCAATGATGATTGGTGGTGAGGACAAAATCCAGCCATGTCGAGCGGGTAGACGAGCTCCAATGAAAGACATGAGGAATTGGAATCCCAGAATGGTGGCAAGTCCAAGCATACCGCGAGCGAGTGAGTTACCATTGACGATGCCTGCCAGAGTACTTCCGATTGCGACGTTTGCTATCCAGTCTGTGACATTCATTGCTGCGATGGAGCGATTGCTGATGAAACGCAGAAAAGTGAATAGAACGATGATCGCAATCGAGCCGATGACCAGTGGGTGTAGAATGGAAGCCTTGACGTAGAAGTCGGCGACCTGAATTGTATCGGGACCTGCTACGACGAGGGTACCGTTGTTGCCTTGAGTTCCGGATGACATTGTGAGTTTGTATGTGTGCGTGACGTTATGGTTGATAGGATGATTTGCGCTCGTAAAGATGCCGAGAAACTGTTGTTGTGCGGATTTCCTACCCTTTTCACTGTCCTTGAAAGAACAAGTCTCGAGTAACATCTTCTCCGCTCCAACGTCATCCATGCTTACCTTTCTGTACCTTTTGCTTATTCATGCAGCATGCTGAAGCCCATGTAGTCATGCCGCTTGTTATCCCCGTGCTTCAAGTGTTCCTGTCCCCACTCCAGTATCTTTTCGTACTGTGTTTACTCACACAGACTTGTTCAATGTTAGTCTTTATCCTTTGACAAACCGGTAAGCTCGTCTGCCAATTCTCAGACGGGCGGGAATTGCTGGAGTGGGTAACTTTCTTGCCGAGCGGTTTTGATTACCCCGCTCCTCCGATTAAACTTCGACTACTGTTTTCGCCGCGGAGTTCAACGACGGGCCAGTTAGATCTTACTGTCTTACTGTAGTGTATATTCAATCCTGGGCTCAACTCCTATACACTCTCAATATGTTCTGTTGTTCGTGTTGCCTATATAATTTGCTCGACCGATTTCCAGCTTAGCGTGATCCAAGATCTCAGGCAAAACACGCAAATCAAGCGTTCAAGAAGATGTTCACAACATTCTCCGGACCTGCGCCCACGCTCAGCATCTCCCACCCCGACTTTTTTCGCTTCCACTCCTCCTGATCACCACTAGCAGTAGGTCGCGTTGGTAGGGCTCTTCACGACGCCAGCATCAATGAGACGGTTGTAGCTCCAGTAGTCGCGCTGAGTACCCTCACCGTCAACCGAGTCAGTGCCATTGAAGATCGCACCCCAGAACGAGCCACCCTGTACATAACGGCTCCATGCATAGCGTTGGGTGTTGAAGATACTCTCGCGAGCTTCGTAAGTGTTGTTGTAAAGGACTTGAAGAGACCATTCTCCGATGAAAACAGGGAACTTGCCATCACCGGGAGCCACGGATGCTTGACCACAAACAGCGCTGTTGACGTACTCGGAGTAGATACCCGAGGCGGCGAAATAGTAGATATGAGTGTCGATGACCAGGTTCGCAGTGGATGCGAAGTAGCTAGACCAGTGTTCCTCACCGAGGAAGCAGTCTTGAAGCATAACCGGTAGCTTGGTAACACTAGACTCGGCAATCAAGTCAAAAACGCCGTTGGTATAATCGACGATCCATTGAGTACCGTTGGTGGTGAGGGTATCTGCAGTGGCAAATGCAGAAGGAGTGTCAGATGCCTCATTGAGGACACTCAGAGTGTATGCCCAAGAGTAAGATGAGGCCTCGACGAAGCTGAGGACAGCAGAGACGGCTTTGTAGGAATATTCAAGGTTGGTCTCATTGTAGAACCATGCGTCATGGCCTGATGCCTCACCAATATCAAGCCCATTGACACCACCAGGAAGCGAATGCAGCCCGATTACGACTCTCATTCCATAAGTGCTGATGGCATAATCGCAGATAGTTTGAGATAGGTTTGTTGATTTCCGTGGTAAAGCTCGGATCCCGGAAGATCGATCCATGCAGCATACGTCGTGGGGATGCGAAGGAAGTTGATCCCAACACCAGCAAGCTTATCAATAGTTTCGGTGGTGACGGCAGACCCGTAGTGTGCTTCAAGAACAGAACCGCACTCGTTGCCGAGGGTCTTGCAGAAGGTCCACTCGTCAGTGACTGCAGAACCATTGACATAGGAATCCCAGAAGTATTGGTTGTTGGATCTTTCAATCTCGAGCCAGTTGCCTAAGTTGACGCCATTGGCGCTATAGATGGTCCAGTCAGTCCATTCACCAGAGGCAAGCGATGTGGTGGAGGCAGGAACGGTAGTGGTACCAGTGCTAGAGACAACCTTGGTAGTGGATGCTCCGGTGGAAGTAGAAGTCACGACAGTGGTGACAGTTGTGCTGCTCTGAGGGTAGGTAGAAGTTGCAGTGTACAGGTCGGTGTTCAATCCAGTTCCAGCTGCTGAAGTGTTGACAGAGACCACACTGCTGGCCGAGGTGTGCGAAGAAGCAGATGAGGCTGACGAGACGGATGGCGAAGTGGAAGCAACCGAGATGGTAGTGACAGGGGCAACACTGGACGAAGTAGAAGTAACTACAGATGTTGCTGTGCTTTGTCCATTGCCATTCTTGACAGTCGAAGTCGATGTTTTAGTCGAAGACTTCGTGACTGAGGTAGTCTTGTACAAAGTGGTGCGCAAATGAGTGGGTGCATTGGTGACTTTGCAAGTGACTCCATTCGTGCTGATGACGGTGTTCTTGTTGATTTGTTGATCAATCACTATGGGAATAGTGGTAATTTCCTTGACCAACACAATGATCTCAGAGATGAGCTTGCCTAGACTGCGCTCCTGAAGATTTTCAGAAGGAACAATGGCAGCAGCATTAGCGACAGCCAAGCTCGCAGTGAGAGCGAAAGAAGGAGAGAAACGCATGACTCTTGCTGGTGAGTGAGACAAGAGAAGTGAAGATGAGGATAAGAAAGAAATTCCAGTGTTGGTTAACAGGGCATATTTATGCCTCTCGAAGACCAGAACAACCATCTTCAAGAGTTGATAATCGATTATTACTTCCCTTGAGTTTACCATGCCCTAAGCTTACGTAGCATGAAGAGTCTAAAGATGTTAGCTCTAGTCATATCCTGAGATACCGGATCACATTGGTGATGTTGGGATCTCCGAGCCGCCCTGAGAGGCACGTCAATACGGTCAAGAAGAGGCGATGGTAGTGCCATGTGTGGGATGGTCTGGGCAAGGTCAATAGGGCTAGCATTCTAGAAGATCGTGAGTTCTGCACGAGATTGATGCGACACGCGTATCTGCATGTGGATCATCGTAACAACGAGTTCGAGACAAACCCAAGTGCTTGCTGTGTACAGATCGCACAATCTGTGCGGTGAGAATATCTGCCTATACGCTCCTGTGGATCTTGGTCTCGCAGTCACACGTCGAGAATTTCTCATGACAAGACTACCCATCATCTGAAAAGTGCTCCTGGCATTCGACTTTGGGTCAGGCCATGAGGATTTGTGTCCTGGTTTGCTGATGTTGCGACGGAGAAAAGTTCTGATGTGGGTAACGCAACGGGCGCTACCCCAGTCTGGTCGTGCCTATAGGGCTGTCACAAGCATGACGCAAGCTCCTGTCAAGTCTCAATGACACCTCCTGGGTATGCTATACAATTGCCGACTATAATGGAAAAGCCTTTGCCTGACATTAGGAATAAGCATATTGCAAAATGGTTGGGCTAGCCGGATTTCTGCTCTCGCTCGTTGCAGTAGTCCATGTGAGCCGATCACGACTCTCACCCAATGCTGACGGAGCAGATTTCATCTAGTAATCGATTCTCCGGCAGAAAGGCTCATGCGGTATTTGGAAGCGTTCTCCAGAGTCAGATGTCTGTCGAGAAAGCCTGCTGCCAGGGCCGTCAAACCTGGCTTCGGTGAGTAACTTGCACTAGACTGCTGGAGCACTCTTGGTGCGTCGCTTTCTTGACGAGTAATGTCGCCAGAGCTAGATTGGTATCTGTGAGCCGAGACACTTGGATTGAGAGATGACGAGCATATCATTGCAGCTTGGACTCCGATGGAAGACATAATTTGGGATCTGATTGGAGATAGTTCTGAGTGATCATACTCTCCCGGACGGTTCAAGACTAAGATTATATTGAATCAATCTTGGAGAATCCCATTATACTTGTCGTTAGCAAGCTCGATCATCTCGTCAATACCTGGATGAGCAACACTCGCAGCAGCCAAATCTCTTGATGTGGTAGGGTAAGTAACACGGACCGAGCGAACATACTCCCCCTCCACAACGACAATCACTCCGGAAGAGGTACGCTCAGATTCGTCGTCCAGGACCAGAAACCATTTAGTGTCAATTTTCGAGCCCGTGTCTTTGACCATCTGCTGTAAAAGTCTTTGTACCTCAGGGTAGTCAAGACCTGCGAAAGGACTCTTCAGGATCTTGTCATCGCTTCGAAGTTCCTTTGTTGTACCATTTAGTCGTGTCTTAAGATCGTGGACCACCGTAAAGATAGGAATCGATCTTTCTTCTTGTTCTTTCTGGTGCACTTCGACTAGAAACTGGTTGATGGCCTTTGCTCAAGTCAGGATTTCTCTGCCACAGGCACGAGGACATCCGAATTTTCTCACTTCGATCTTGAGATCAGCTGTGCAGCAGACGGCATAGGTCTTGACCTGCTGAGTCTCCATCATCGCATTCTCAATCGCCATCTTGTCCAATGATCCTAAGTAAGGAGGCTCGTGAATTCTGGGCGTGAGGTGAGTTGGTGAACGGCGATCAATGGTGAAGGTGTTTGACAGAAGGAGAGAGAAAGTGTGGTGCGCTGGTGGCGTACTTTGATGGTTCGACGTCATATCAGGCGGCAGGGTCCCGCAGGATTGGGTGATCAATCCTTTCACGGACGATCATAACCTTGTTGATCCTTTGCGGCCGCATAGTAGTCGTAGGAACTGGTGTCTATATTTTGGGAGGGTTATACTGCAGGGATTGAGTGACACTGTTTACGTCGTGTATCACACACTGAGGAGAGGGGTCATTCGCCATTCTTACTTTTCTCGCGATAAATCGACGAGCATGTCAAGGGTAATCATTCGAGTAATGCCGAGAGGCGCGACCAATCTACGACAAGACATTGTAGTCGACTGACTAGCCCTGGCAAGGTATTGCCTAACTTGCCCATCGACTTGAGGCTGCCGCTGGAAATCAGTAGTACAGAACTCCATCAACTCATCGCTGCCACCACCATTCTTTCGAAAGTGAGATTGCCCATCTTGAACCAAAAAAAATGGGCAGCGGCGTCATTGAACAATCTTCCGACCTAGTGACGCTCGAAGAGCGAGACAAGATCTTGGTCAAAGACCTTGGTAAGCTTGTAAGAGTGTTGTATCCCACGAAACTATGGCTGAAAATTGAGTCCCATTCTTGCGGGATCTCAAACATCATGGCGAGGAGTGTACATCATCGAGTACGCTGGTAGCCTATTGATACACTCGTCGGTGTATTTCCCTCGACTGGCCCATCCCACATCATCGCAGACACTTCGACTATATCTGTCTCGATTCATTTCGTGGAGCGGGGGCTGGAAATAGTGTTCGTCCATCGGTTCTCAAACGCGACAATGCTCGTCCGGAACATATTCAAGAACAGCTTCCACTACTGGGTATTTTTCGGTGCTTTGCTTGTGTGGGCATTCTACGAGCATATCCCTGGCCGGCGAAGCAGCCAACCTGTACACTCACATCGTGTTACGTCGCCTGAGACCGAAAGTAACCGTTGAAAGACATGTTCCCAAATGTTTCGCATTCAACTGGGTTACTTGCCCTGACTACAAATTCAAGACCTTGTTTGGCTCGGAATCCTCATCATCAGTCGCAATGGGCAGGTAATCTTCTTTATCATGGTTGGCTTGGTTTAGATGTGAGCATGGGTGTGGAAGAAGGAGATGCGGTATAGAAAAGAGTCTCTCATCTTATGCAAGGCTAAGAAATACGAGGTTCTACCCGGGATTTGTTGGAAGCAGTAGTTATTGAACCTCGCCGGAGTGCTCAAGCGTAAAACGAAGAACATTGAACAGGAAGTTTTGTTGACAGCAACGATATGTTCAACCCCATCCTATCTCATTTCCATCGGTATTATATCATAGGAGGACTCTGTGCTGCTACAAGTATTCCTGCGCAACTGCATCCTTCTGCGTTGAGCAGGGACAACATTCTCTCACAAGCGTACTCCTGCTCATCAATCATCTACGCCCAATCATACCCTTACTTACGAATGGCAGTCACAAATGTGGTTGCTTCACGTTTGAGATTGATCGGGATCGTGACCACCCCGGGCAAACCTAATGTGAGACAAACCTGCAGGCCAAGGAGTCCCCTTGAGCAACTGGTACTCAGTTGTGTGGTTGAGATAACTGATGCGGTCGTGATTGGGGCGGAAGTGACGGGTGGAGTGTTTGTCACCTGCGATGTGGTAGGTAATCTGCTAGTTGCTGCCGACGACCCGATAAGGACCGAGCTGGTCATTGCTGATGATACGGTCGGAATTGAGCTGGTCGCTGCTGATGAGCCAGAGAAGATCGAACTGGTCACTTCCGATGTTTCAGGAAGAAGGGTCGCCGACGATCCAGCAAGAGCCGCGCTTGTGCTGCTTGTACTGACAAGTCCGTTGGTAGTAGGTAAGACGCCCGCATCAACGGTGATAGTACCAAGAGGGCCAATACCCACTGTCAGACATACATCGATGAGTGCATCATCACAAGATGTAGACAGAGCAGTAATCGTAGTCCCAGAGATAATTGTGCTAGTAGACATCACAGCAGGACTTGTTATAGTAGAATCAGCGTTCGTGGCAGTTGACGGAGCAGGAAGGAGCGTAGCACCAATGCTAGTATCAATTAGGTCGCCAGAATTGCTCGTTGGAAGAACACCAGCATCAATGCTGATGGTACCGAGAGGACCAAGACCTAAAGTGACACAGAGATCGAGCAGGTCACCGGCACATGAGGTGGAGATTGCGGTGACGGCAGTGCCAGAGATTGTTGTGTCAGTAGCAAGAGCAGCAGAACTCGTAATTGCAGGAGTTGAAGTCGTAGGAGCAGCGGAAGTACCTCCCGTAGGCAGAACACCCACATCAATACTGACAGTACCGAGAGGACCCAGGCCTAGAGTGACACAGAGATCGAGCAGGTCACCGGCACATGAGGTGGAGATTGCGGTGACGGCAGTGCCAGAGATTGTTGTATCGATAGCAAGAGCAGCAGAACTCGTGATTGCAGGAGTCGAAGTCGTGAGAGCAGCACTACTACCTCCCGTAGGGAGTACACCAACATCAATACTAACGGTACCGAGTGGACCCAGGCCTAGAGTGACACAGAGATCAAGCAGATCACCAGAACAAGACGTAGAAATTGCAGTGATGGCAGTACCCGAGATTGTTGCATCAGTAGTAACGACAGCAGCGCTTGTGATTAGAGGAGCAGAATGCGTAGGAGTCGCCGAGTCGCCGTTTCCAGCACCAACAGAACTTGCCTCTGTGCTCAGAGCGCCGGGATTGATTGTGGTGGATGACTCTTTCGTGATTGATTCGCAAGAACCTGCGTCACAAGAGCTTGGAGCAGTCATGATATTGTCTCCAGAACTGGTAGTAGGAATCACTGAAGATGCAGTTGTAGAGGCTGTATCTCCAAGCCCAGCCCCAATTTGCACAATGCTTCCATCTGTATTTATGGCGCCGATCGTGGCAGTGATGGAAGGTCCCACTCCAACTGCAAAACATATGACACCATCGCATTGGGTTTGTGTTGCAGTGAATCCTCCAGAAGCAGAAGATAGAGCAGATACGGTGGCTGTAGGAGTGGCTCCTGCTCCACCGCCAATCCCAAGATTGATTGTGACACCATCCAAGATGCCCAGAGTGACACAAAGATCGATCAGCGCGCCGCCACAGCTCGTGGTAGTCGTCATTACGGCAGGTGAGACGGTAGATAGAATTGAGGTAGGAAGATTGCTGGTGGCCGTGATACCATTCGATGCGTCACCACTTAAGGTGCTCGCTACGACGGGTAGGGATGAGTCGCTTGTGAATAAGTTGCTTGTAGGATTGAGGACATTGCTGGTAGAAGCCCCGATGCCGCTAGTGATGGAAGCATTGGCGCTGGATGCATCTGACGAAATGGCCGTGGAAACACTCAGCACCGTAGATGTGATGCTAGGAAGGAGGGAAGAAACATCGCCAGCAGAAGACTTGGTGATGCTAGACGTATCTGTAGAACTAGGGGGCCTCTCATTGGTAGCCGAGGTGCTTGTAACAGATACAATGATAGTGGTGGAGATTGATGGAGCAGCAGAAGTGAGTTCAGTTGTTTGACTCGAGATAGACCCAAGAGTGTTTGACGGATTGACAGCTGTAGCAGTATCGCTGACATTAGAGACCAAGGAAGAGGCCAGCCCAGATGTTGAAACATTAGTGGGGAAGACAGTGATGTCGCTGGTGGCCGATAGAGCGATGCTCGAAGTCGTAGATCTTGCGCCGGTTGAATCCCCAGCGATGGTTGTAGCGACGGAAGAGAAGCCTGGTGTAGAAAAGCCAGACGTTGTCGCGTTGGCGTTATTGATCAAGGTGGCGGGATTCGTAGTCTCGCTAGAGACTGACGAGATGATTCCCGAGGGATCTACTGCTGTACTCAAACCGCTGGTTCCAACCGCAGTTGTGGAAACCGAACCTAGAGTCAGAGAACTGGTTCGGAGTACGACGCTCTCACTCATGCTTGAGCTGCTCGAGTTTGATCTGGGAGATGTCGCGCTGACCGTAACTCCGATGACAGATGAAGTATTAGACGGGAAAGCCGATGCGACGATCTCGCCGGTCATTGATGTAGCAGTTATTAGCTCAAGGCTTGATGAGCTTGAAGCACTTGTATTCGATCCGCCGACGGTTAAAATCTGCGAGAAGGACGATGAGGGCTGGCTGGCGTAGACCAAAGTCGTGTTGGATCCTGGCAAACGACTGGTGGAAACCCCAGCTCCAGTGGCAGATGACATCCCGGACACAGCTGGCGCTGACCATAAAGTACTGATATTGACCATAGCGGAGGTTATGCTTGTAGACATGAAGGTAGCTATTGGGACCTGTGAGAAAGAGACAAGGGAGCTCGCTGAACCTCCTCCTATCGCGTTATCGGTCGGAAGTTGGGAGGTCGAAGACGAGGAACGACTGCCACGTGAGTTGTAGGCTTCGGAAGTAACGCTTGATCTCGTATTACTGGAACTGCGGGCGGACACGCTTACCGATGTCTCGGTGGTACTTGCAGGTGCGTCGTTAGGGTCCAGAACCGAAGAAGCTGTGTCCAATCGAACAGCGAATTGAATACCGTTTCGAGTGATCCCATCGACGAGCGAGCTATAGAAAGTACAGAAACCGCTGGTTGACTCGTATGAAGTCCCGACACAGCGGGACTCGGGGGCACAGGTGTCGATACAAGAATCGAGGGAATTCGTGGCTTGTCGCTTGAGGACTCTTCCGTCGAGCTCTAGGACTTTGCCACCATAAAATCGATTACAATAGCGCGTGAATCGCGATCCTGAGACGGTAAAGACCGATGTGCTAATGAATGGGCAAGCATTCTGGGATGGCGGCGAGGGTGTTGGAGAAGGCAGGATCTCAGCTGAATTTGACGCAGATGAGGCAGCGTCCAAGACCGAGCTGGTGGAACCATCCCTGAACGTTTCAGTCGCACCAGCGAGGTCAGAAGAGCGAGTTGCAGAAGATGAGGATCCAGCATAGGCAGTGGTGGATACCCAGGGGGCAATCGCAGAGCTTGAAGGTGAACCACCGACGACAGTGACGTGGATTGAGGATAGAGCAGGTGAAGACGTACCGTCAGTAGAGCCTTCATTGCTGCCTCCGGACACATTCTGCCCATCTCCAATGCCATTTCCATCGCCACTGTTCACGACGTTGGTACTTTCAGCTTTGTCAGAAGAGTGTGATAAGGCAAGACTAGTAGGTGAATTGAAGGCAGCAGTCGGGACCGAGGTTGCGAGATTGTCGTCGGCGGACAGTTGAAGGCTCGAAGCTTTGAACGTCGTTGATGCGATAGGAGTGGATGTGTGGATGGAGTTGGGTGTAGAATATAGAATGCCGCTAGCTTTCGACCCGCCATAACCTTCACCATTAACTCCATAAGCAGGCGTGGTAGTCGACAGAGAATAATAAAGAGGAAAAGAGATTATTGTACGTGTGGTAGGGACATTCGTCGAGACGAACGAAGGTGCGTTCATGGCGGCATCGACAAGCGAAGCAACTTCAGTGCTAGGAAGGGCAGCGGTATTGTCGACAATGGACATCAACAATGAAGATATCCCAGGGGCAACCGAAGCTGCAGAGCTTGCCGAAGAGAGAAAGTCCAGTGCTGAGGAAGCAGCAGCTGCGGCTGCTTGTCCAGGTGTTGTATCACCTTTGGTAGTATCGGGAACAGAGGTAGCGGCAGAAGCAACGGCCCCGAGGAGAGACGAGAGTTGGGAGACTACACGGGTAGTGGATGGCAGACCTGACCCACTTCCACCTGGACCGGTTTCGGCGCCCTTTTGGCCAGACTTCGAGCCCGAACCATCAAACTCGGCTGGGAAAGGAACAGAGGGGTTGTCGCATTCTGCAACTGCAGTCGCTTCTGTTGTCAAAGCATCGACTGCCACCTCAAGCAGATCGCCAAGCAAGGTAAGATTGCCGTCGTTTCTGATCTGGGAAACTATATCATCGAGAGTCGAGTCGCCAATGCTATCAATGAGAGCTTGCCGCTTTGTATGTGTTGCCGAGCTGCTGGTCAACAGCAGCCAAACAACGCTGATCGAGAAGCAGGTAAGACGCATGCTGATACAAAGACGCTTGTGCCAAAGAAATTGAATAAAGGTAGAACAGGTAAGCTTCTTCGTGATTGTGACAAACCCTTTGGATGTGGGTGAGCTTTATATGCTACATCTGTGTTTAGGAGTATTCAAATCTCCGCTCGCAATGCATCTTGTTGTTGAGAGTTCAATACTTTTTCGTTCTGACTGTTGCTTCCTGTGATAAGTTGTCTTAGACAAATGCAATGTTTATCCTCTCTTTTGGCATTGCTATGTTGAGTCGGCAAATTTGAGTTCACAACAAGGATGGGACTTTCTTGATAGACTTATCAGGAATGCATAGGATTGGACTGCGGCACGTGGCACACACACACACACAAGACAAGAGCAATCTTGATGCACGACTTCTGGTGCTCGCCTAGAAGGTTCGCGACACAACGGAACTTTTGGCAAGGGTCCTCTTCTGCTTCGGCTACTCAGAGCCGTCTTTGGGCTCCATTCCGATGTCCCATTGGCTTACCAAGCCCAATAACGGAGAGAAGGTCGGCTCTCATGGCCGAAATCCTACAAGAGAGGTTTGTAACGGGCAACGTAGGATCACTCAAGAGCTGGGAGAGAAGGATCTCTGCGGAAGACGTTGAGTATCTGTGTCGTCCGGTCCCGGAGTGGAGAATTTGAAACCTGATATATAATACTGTGGTGTAGGATAGCGAGGTGACGATATGGATTGCAGCAAATGAATTCAGGTGCTGATGTAGTGGATTCAGAACCCTATCTACCATATAAGCTTGATCAAGGTGGACGGTGTTGAATACATGTGTCTAACCTGGAATCATGTATATCCATTGGCAGACGAAATGATGATACTTAGGGTACCTTTTCATGTGACACTTGCATTCCACGTGCTATGGATGAATTGAAGTCACTTTGGTGAGGGTACAGGAAAGTGAATGTTGTAGTGCCAAGTCACTGCATCCGTAGTTCGGCGGATTCATGTCTATAAGGAATCCCTCGCAAAACGGGCGCTAGCCCACACCAAATCTGTGTCAGACAGGGCTGTCTGGTGAAATGCATGCGTGGACGCCCATCCACAGAACTTGTAGACATTGGCTCGCGAAATCTTAATCCAGAACGGTATATCCACATGTGTTTCTGTCTCAGGATTTTCGGATCCCGCCCCATCCGAATCAGAGCGTTTCATGAACCACCCGGAGTCAGCACCGCTTGTGCGCAAGTGGTTATGAACGATTCTAGTGTGTTTACCGAATCGAGAAAGCTTTACATGGAGTCTCGTTCTGAATGTGAAGGGCCATGAAGCAGGCAAAGACTTGACGTGGTGTCAGAACATTGAGTCGTCATTGGCGAGGAAAGCGAGCGAAGACAGTGAGAGGAGACATCAAAGGATGAAAAACAAGAGTGAGGGAGCTATAAACGACGAAAGCGTTAGGTGATTTGCGGAGTAAATGGATGATCAAAACTTTGAGTTGAGTCAGTCTCCTCTTACTCGAGTCGATTGACTTTCAATCATTCATGCTGGATATCGGAAGCTTGACTTGGGGCTGCAGTCCGACCAGTCTAGCAGAATACTTCACTGTCTCTGCCCTACGGCTTCAAGGCGGTATGTACCTGTCGATTGGCAACATTACGCTCAGCCACTTGTGCCAATTGCACCGGTCTGGACGACATCATCCATACCTCGTGGCCACGGAATACCACAATTTGAACTCGTGATCGGAGAGCTACACGTGGATTTCGTCGAAAGACACACAAATTGCAAGGTTCGAACATGTAGAGCCACGATTGACTCCTGTGAACTGAACGTTAAGCCCTGCTACAAGACTCCACAAGTAGGAGCTACATGCTCGGCTCTAACGATGGGCTTACGTGCGAAAGCTCTTCATTCCTCAACGTCTACATGAATATGGAGACCGATGAACCAGACTGTCTTGAAGAACCGAGTACGAGAACTGACCGATGGCGCGTCTGGTTTTTCGACACCGATGCGCGTTGATGGCGATTAAGCATTATCTGGTTTTGAAATCATCCATGGCTCTGCAAGATGTGCGTCAACATCTCCCTGGGCATCGGAGCATACTCGGGCCGACGCGATACTTCGAGATGGATTCGCCGGACACTTTCCGAGAGGACATTGACGACGCGTATCATTATCTATCCTCCTTTGTCCCATTGCCTCAGGTATGTGCGGCAGACCGGACCGTGACAGCGCCGACGACGTGATGTGATTTGGGCTCTCGCTCTGCTATCGAACGGCCTTGGAGACGAGGCGAAGCTGGAAGAATGGAGTCGTTTGTTCGCTGTCTAGAGTGGACTCGCTCGGTATCCGATTCGGCAGTGGTGTGGAAAAAGTATCGTGACCCTGGATTGCATCGCCCATGTCGACTACACCGCGTGGGGACCACATCTTCGAGGTTAAAGGTTTGCTGCTGCATGAGGAGATCTCTAACTTCTAAGGCGACAGTAGTTGATGCTGCGCTAGCTTACGACAGACAAAGTCCACAGATACCTACATTGTTGTTGTCTCGCTTTGTTGATCAGAATATGCCCGAGGTCGAGCGTTCATTACCGAGGCCGAAGTGTCAAGGGAGCTTGAGCTAAAACCAAACTGCAGTCGGTGCACTCGGACATCCTTCCGCCGAACTTGCGACAAGTTCAGATGTCTTTCGCGACCGTGTTCTTCTCTTGTCCACGGACGCTACAAGGTTCACCTTCCACTTTGCAACGCGTCACCTGGTCAGTATCACAATGTCTGCAGAAGGTGTATCATGTTCGTATGCTGGGTATATCTACAAATCTCTTCGCTCCGCGAGGACAAGCACGACATATTTTGTCCGGCCTTCTTCGTCCTTACAAGGTGTCCAGTGACTAATCAACCGTTCTTCTGTCTTGCCTCCAGGCCCTGTCGGCATCAGATTCCGAGCTTTTTCCTCGACTACCAGCTCAATGTCCACGCTTACTGCTTTTCCCTCAGCCAAGAGATCTGTCACTGTTTTCTTGTATGATTTCATGACAGACGAGGATGAGGGTGAGCGTTCGGCCAGAAGTTTGAAGATGTCTTCGTTCACGATCCGTTCAGATGTGCCATGCGTTCGACTTGAGCGTAGCAAGTCGCCCGCGGAACTCGAATAGTGCGCAATGCTGAGACCTGTACGATCTTTCATCTTGAGCACAACGTACTGCATACACATGTCAGGAACTTGGAACTGCGCGTGTGGGTATAGGGAAAACCTCACCTTGGAGTATGCCGTCTGAAACATCTGCATCTGCGTCTCGAGTTTCATGTTCCCAAGCCGTCCAATCAGATCATTTTCCATGCCCGGTCCTTGTCTAACTTGTGTGGTCACGCTTGATGTTGACTTAAACATAGAACGATGCCGTTTCATATGCTCTCTTGGTGATGTGGCGGTCAAGTTTGACGTGTCTTCCACTGCCAAATTGCCGCGGGTTGACTCGAAGGATCTCCTGCCATCTAGCTTCAAGATCCTCATCACGTCGGGTTTGCCATGAACAGTTGTCGAACAGTCGATTTGGCCACCGAGGAAGAAAGCTATGTTTCCGGCTTCATCGCGAAGCGGAGCGACGTATAGTAAGTTCCAAAACGGAGTGCCGTCCTTGCGGTAGTTGAGGAGAAGTTGAACATTCTCTTGACCATTGTCGATGGCAGACTTCAGACGAGTCACTGACGAACGCTCGGTCCTTGCGCCCTGCAGAAAGCGACAATTACGTGGGATGATTTCACGGCGACTGTAGCCTGTAACATCAAGGAAGCCATCAGAAGCGTACAATATTGCGTTATCTGCAACTCTGTTTTGTGTTAACTTATGCTGAGCTATCCAGTGAGGGATGCCCTACTTAGGATCTGTAAGACAGAAGCAGTCACCAAGTCCTTGATAAGTCTTGCGGTCATGAGCTAACGCCATCGCCGCGCTTGCCGTCAATTGGTGTGTCACGAATCGAGGATAGATATCATCGCGAATCAAACCCTCTACATCTTTCCGGGCAGGGGTAAATATATCCTGCATCGCACAGAATGTGACGCTAGTGGCAGAATTGACGGCGGAATTCAAGTCCTTTGAGATGGTCTCCGAGATGTTGACTGGTTCGGTTGCATTGGGAGAAGTGTAGGTGGCATGAATGTCAAGCAACAGCTCTCGTGCTTTGGTCAGAAGCCGGCTGTACTGCTCGATCTAGGCTTGTGGTTGGTGTCTTTGTCGGCTAAATTTGAGTTTCCAAACATACCTTCTCTAAGAAGACAATGTTTTCGTCACAAGCGGTGGATTCGCAGAAAGATTTGAGCCGGATGGCAGTGGCGGGATCACTCAGGACGGCTTGGAAAACATCGGGCGCGAAGAAGTCAGCCATACCGCTGCGAGGCCGTGAACCTGTCGCCGAGGTTTCCATGGTACTTTGTTCTTGGGAGTCTGAGTGTGGCATCTCAATGGTCGCAACTTGCGGTATTGCCAGGAAAGTGATGATTGTCGCGAAAAGAGCGACAAGAATTGTCTCAATAAAAGGAAGTGCGACGAAGGATGACGTTTCAAAACAGTTCACGGATGAGACTAGTAGAGTTGATATCGACAACGGTTGGTCTCGAATGGGATTTGAGCTTACATTATGATTTGATAGACCTATAGATTATAGATCACAGCCGACGAGTGTAATGGTCAGCAAACGTCCATAATACCTCGATGGCAAAAGCTGTATTCGCGTGTAAATTGTTCCCGTGCCATCAGGTCGCATAAACAATGTACCTCAATGATTGATTCGTCGCAGAACGAGCGGTGCTTGTCTCATCTCTACTTGGCATCTCGTAGGATTGTAATTGGAGGAATGTAGGCGCATCGACATTGCCTGACGAACAGCGACTGGCCAGTAGTGCACCAATACTCGAACGACTGTTGACACAGATTTGACAGGTTCGAGGGCAGGCGGATAATCGGAGCGCCAAGAGAAGCTTTTCAACGGTCCTCGGTCGCGGGAAGAACATGTTCTGGACTCGGAGTTTGTTTGTCCATCGTCGCTCCGGTAAACTGTGAAGTACACAACGCTGGTCCCTCGATGAACTTCCACTCTTTCATGCTTCTCGCGCGCCTTTGGTAATTCGGCAGATTCAACATATCAGGCCTTTGACTAACTACACAGACTCCAAAGTGGCCTCAACGATATCCATCTATTTCGACAATGACTCAATCATATATAGCATGGTTATGTCAGGTCATGCGTCAATTCTTGGTAATTCAGGAGCTACTCTAGCCCAACATACGTCTTGATGCCGGCACAAATTAACGTTAAGCCTGAGATGACCGTTGAAGCTTTCATCAAAGGTCGCGCGACGGCACTGCGCGAGCTTATACCGAATTCGATCTTCTTGCAGTACGGTCTGACAAGCATTGCCGCCACAAGCAGCGCAGCTCAAGATGCTGTCTACTTCCAGAGCGCCCTCAATATCGTGCCTCCGCAGTCAACAATGTTGACTACCACGTAAGAAAAAGAGGAATCAGGTTCCATTCGTCTTGAGCCTGTTATTTCGAATTGTCGTGTTGGCCTTCCTTTGAAGCTGTACTGCCGCCTTATGGGTGGAGGCATGAAGCTTTGCGCATAGTTCCAGGTCGAACGAAACCCCTCAAGGTTGCGACAACATACCTGATATTGTTTGGCAAGCGACGATGTGCCAGGGGTATGGCGCGTAGTTAGCTCACTACCTTGGATGCAGGACGCTGCTCGAGATAGACAAGCAGTCCTGCTCTGGCTCAAAGAGATCAAACGAAAGGCCGTTTGATCAGGTGATGCGGTTGCTTCTGTATCCAACCGCAAGACCCGTGTCGCTTATTGTCCAGCAATAAAAGTCGCTAATTGTGGTCTTGGATGTATTATTGCATCACTTGGGTCTCGTGGACCACACGGACTCCAGATCACGCCAGAAACGATCGATCATAGACCAAGCCATCTGTTGCAACCGTTGTTGCATGTCTCGACGAACCAGTGCAATGTCCTCATCCGAGCGCATGAAGAAGCCAAGAACATAAAGAGGGTAGTTGGGAAGATGACTTCTGCCCCATCTCTGATCTCCAGCGCGGCGTTTTAGTATCGACTTTGCCTGCAAAAGTCGCGAGTCATCGATGACAAAAGGTAAAGGTATTGCTCCTTTGATTGAACCAGGTAACTGGGAGACAAGCAAAGAGGCACCGATGACGAAAAGTGCGGTCGCATCTTGGGTGACGCTCAATATTTCAGTGTCTCCTTCGATGCAGTGCTTTCCTTGCATGCCTACTGTTAGCTCCCATGGTGTGATTTTTGTCTTGAGCTGGTGTACTGCTCTCTTGAAATCGACAGTCGACCGATCGCTGTCCCAGAGTTTTCTTATCATCAAGAAGACCTTGTACAGTTCGAATTCCACACCAAGTACCGGGCTGTTCCACGTTCTGGGGCTTCCTGGGAATGGTGTGGATCGGAGTAACAAAGCTTCACAGTTTAACCAGAACATAGGGTCAAACTCCAGACGCTGACCTTCCTCTGGGGGCTTGGACCAGAGTCCCATACGGACAAGGAAGACTTGATAAATAACACTTTCGACTGTCACCAACTGAGAGGGCATCAAAGTCGGAGCAGAATCTGCTTGGAAGAATTGTTGATCAAGAAGTCGAATGGCGGCGCTGAGATGAACGGGAATATCGTCGTAGGTTCCATGTCCCATACAGCCATTGAGATAGAGAAACACAACACTCGTAAGGATATCATTGCGACGATTTGGGTCGTCCCGACAAGGCAGTGCGATGATTTGACTCAGGTCGCGGAGTGAATGAGAATAATATGCAAGTGCTCTCTGCTCCATCTGAGTAGTCCGATCAGATATAAAGAGGTGAGAGGCAGAGTTGGCGAGCACAGAGTAGTAAAGGCTCGTACAAGCCAGCATGGAGTCTTGGATGTTTGCCGACCAGTCGTCGTGAAAGCTTGGATGACTATCTGAGTTGATGAGAAGAGAATAGCAGTGTTCGATGAAGTGGCGGCCCACAACCATCTGTAAGCATTCTTCCGAGACAGTGTTGCTCAGATCGACCTCGCTTCTCGCAATACGAGGTATGAGCTCGATGGCCTCATCTTCACGATTGTCGTTCTCGATGAGCGTGCTCTCCAAGGTCCTACGCGTGAGATTTCGACGATCTTTCAATTGTGCAGACGATGGCCAAATACAGTCTCGCTGGGCGCTGATACATCGAACGCATGCAGGATGCGCTTCGTCGCATTTCTTCCGTCTTTGGCGGCAAGTGAGGCAGCCGCTTTTCGTTCGCAGGGTAGGTCCGCGTTTGCTGAAGGCGCTCATACTTGGCGAACTCGGGATGCGTATGAGCCTGAGGTTTAGGGGACATATTTTGACATGTAAGCTTCCATGATACCTCCTACGATTCAATCAAGCATGCGAGCTGCATGGTCAGCCTCGAGGACGTTATCGATCTGGACCTCGTCATCTCAAATCATCACGTCACAGGCTGAAATTATGCTTTCGGCATGGCGGGTGCACGCCATGCTCAGCGCAACACAACTCAAGTATTCTCCGAGTAGTCTTGCACCGCAAGCATGTGATGCAAGATGCACGTTGATGAATGATGCGGTGTTTGCTGAATCAGCGAACATTACGCAAGATGAAGACATGAAAAGGGAGTTGAGGTCAAAGTCCTTGTGTAGAAGACAAGACGCGGTGGTCAGTAGACGCAGCAATCCTGGGTAGACCTGCAGATGGTTGGCGATGAGTATGGAAAAATTGGAAGCTTCTTGCGACGAAGATACGAAGATCAATCTATTCAAGATTGTCGTCAAAATAAGCAGTCACGATTGACAAGTGTAGCGCCAATGCAAAAAACCGGGTCATTACTCGAGTACGATCGGAGCTGGAAGCCGAGATGACCATGTCGATCCTGCATTCTTACCAAGGATGAAATTATAAAGGCAGATGGATGTTTGTTGACTTTCGACAAAGAGGAAGGAAGCCTGCAAGGCCGGGCGCAGTCGCCAACCCTTGCCTCAGAATTTCAAGCGGAGCTGGACAACGCGACCGACGGCCTTTCGAACCCGAATTTTACTTCTTCCATCCTCCATTCTAGCCACGACAACATGCGCCCGGGCAAAGCGGTCATTCTCATTCGACTGGCCTCCTCGAATCATTCAAATTGACGACCGTCACCACCTCCGAGCCTCTCAGCAACTTTGCGCTTCTCTGGCAGTCATGTCTGCTCGCCTCTCTAGCGCTCACCATGACAGGGCCTGAGTCCAACCGGGATGATACTTCAACAGCATCCACTGCTTGATTGAGAAAAGAGATGGATATGGGCATACCGCGCGGTGCACTCGCCACCTCGACAAAGTCGCGACGCAAGACGCATCTCCGCTGGACAACGACCTTCATCGTGACACCCCAGATGCAAGCAGACACGGTCATAGTTGTGTCTGTTCCCCGTCCACACTCTTTTGCCACCCGTATGTCATTCGGAAGAACTTCTGCTCAAGAAGACCGCGAGGGTAGGTCAAGTCACTCTAGTGAGACATCTCTATGCGCCTCTAGTGGTTGGTTTCGCCAGTCCCGACCTTCGACTCTGCTGTTCTGTACACCCAGGGTGATTTTCCTAGGATGAGATAGCTCGGTTAGAGCTACTCGGACAGGCAGCTGTTTCTAAAAGCTCGTCGAATGTCTTAGACGCTACGCGATGTTCACACTATTGGTCGCTGGGGTGAGCTTGTTCTTATTTTCTCAATCGCCATTTCACAACGTAAGTGTCTTTCATGAAGCATAAAACAATATGATGACTGGTCATTAAAGGTGTCAAAGCGAGATTGGGGCAAGACTCGGATGAGCCTAGTCGTATAAACGATGTCCCAGGGAGCAATTATTTGCCAGTCTTCAATTCCGTAGCTACTTCAAAAAATTACACATGCATCGATTTATTGAGTCTTCGGCTTGAAACTCTTCCACTGTATTCCGAAGCTGGCAAAACAAGCCGCCACTGCAAGACCCGCTCCGAGATAGAAGGTGCTCGTCACACCCTGGTTGTAAGCATTCAGCACCCGCGCCAGATCTTCCTTTGGTACAAGCTGTCTGTATTCTGCAGGAGCGGCGTGGACAATGGCTGACAGATCAAGCCCGACAATATCAGAAGACTTGAGAGCAGCATAGAATATGCTTGAGAAGACTGCCTGCGCCAAAGCCAGGAACAATGCCGCTCCAAAAGACTGGAAGAATTGAAGCAGAGCGGTGGCAACAGGTATGTCTTCTGCTTTCAGCACAGTCTGAATGGCGACATATGGCATCCAAAGTGTGATCCCAGCTCCCATGCCAGGGAGGATTTGATAAGGGATCCAGTATTTGCCACCAGAGGACGTGTTGAGAGTCGACAAAAGACCAGATCCAACAGCGAGCAAGGTCGTACCGGTCAAGATGAATGGATTGGTAAGCCCGACATACGGAAGTAGTACACCAACCACCAAGGCGGAGGCGACGTCTGACATCGACAATGGTAGATACATGACTCCAGACCTGGTGGGCGAGACACCCTTGACAATCTGGAACCATTGAGGGAGGTAGAAGATGGCAATGTAGACGGTACCCATGGCAAATAGCTCGGTGAGGCAAGCGAAGAACACCACACGCTTCGTGAATAGTCTTGGCGGGATCATAGCATCATCACCTTTGTAGGCCTGCCAGAGAGCAAACACTGAGACCAATACTGCTGAGCCGACAAAAAGCCCGATGATAGTCGCACTTCCCCAAGCATATTCCAATCCACCCCACTGAAGAGCGAGGAGCATCATAATCGTGGCTGGAGCAAACAACAATAGTCCAACCATATCCAGGCTCGCCATTTTCTGCATGGCAGTATTGTTTCCGTTGCTCTTTGGTGGGTGGAAGAATAGGACTAGGAACAACACAGTTATCGCACCAATTGGGAGATTGATGTAGAAGCACCATCTCCAGGTAGCGCGTTGTGTCAAGACTCCGCCGAGCAATGGTCCAAGCATAATACCAATGCCGAAGGTTGACTGTAGAACACTGAGATAGGTCGTTCTCCTTGGAAGGCGGACAGACACGGCAACGATTGAGAAGCCGCCAGTGGTACATCCAGCAGCTCCAGCTCCAGCAATTGCTCTTCCGACAATCAAACCGATGGCGTTGGGAGCAGTCGCGCACACTAGAGATCCGATTTCGAAGATGGCCATGAATATCAGGAACATCGTCTTTAATTTAAGAGTCAGCATGACTTCGGGCGGCTAAAATGATTGATTTACCTTGATTGGGAATTTGGCATACAGCTTTCCAGCAATGGGCTGAAGAGCGCAAGTAGCAAGAGTGTATGCACTTCCATACCAAGCGGTGTCGCCCGCAGATTTGAACTCTGCCGTCACATATGGAACAGCAGTGGCGACGATTGCTGAGTCGAATGAGACCAGAAAGATTGCAAGAACAAGACCTGACACAACAGTGATCAGGCCAAGTCCTGTCAATTCGAATTCGTGTGGATCTTCTTCAACGGCGAGTTGTTCAATGGGCTGTGTCGATTGCTGGTCGTCGCGCAATGCGACTTGTGATTGATCAAGACTCATTTCGTCGGTGATGAATGCTAGAATTGAGTGATGATAATACTGATAGAGCAAAGAAGGTTGCTTATTTGGCTTTGTCTAGAGTAGACAAGCCATTTTGCGGAGGTCGGCCAGAAAGGGTAATCGCGGTGTCATGCGGGGTCGGGGGAAAGCGGGCGGGTCGGATTATGAGCCGACAGGGAGACACAGGGGTCCAGGTCGTTGGGAATGTTCTTGATCACTTGCATTCACTCGTATTTGACGGTGTGTAAAAGCATAGAACGCAGACACATGCGGTCGACTCCTTGTTGAGAAAACATGCCGTGTCTGCTTCCACGACCAAGCCAGCTTCTCCAAAGCTCTCCAGCAAATCGGGCATTGTGATACCAGGTACTTCCCAGATGATTGTGTTCGAATGCACCGAAGACGGAAAAAGCATTGCCACCAGAAGAACCATGTTTGCCAGCATTGAAGATCTTGTCAGCGGTCGAAACAGGCCATTTGCGGTCGTAGTAAACGGGATGCGGTGCATAAACAGCCTTCAGTCCGTAATGTAGAGCGATACTGGGTGCCCACATCTCTGTCCACATGGAGCGCCTATATTGAAGAGTTTCTTCATGCATCAGATGTAACAAGCCGCGGGACATACGCGAAGCAGCGATGATCGCGACACGACGAGGTGGTAGAGGCGAATCCGAGGGATATCCAGTGATGTCCGTATCAAAGTACCACCCTGATTCGTTCGGGTCGAATAGCGGACTTAGTGTTATCAAGTCGGCGTCCTTATCATCTTCTACGCTTGAAGACAGCCAAGATGCTCGTTGAAACTTGAGTGCTTGGGAACTAGGGAACTTCACCGGCCCAAAGATGGTGTTAGGATTCTCCTGATGAACAAGATCGGAAAACTGTTTCCAAGTTCCATGCATCTTCTCCAGGTAGTACTTTGCACTACGCTCCCATAATCCGTGCCTCGGTTGGGCGTTTGCCCAATGTCCCAATCGGTCCAGAAGCTCATAGTAATGGCCAGTGTATCGCATATCCATCTCCCAGTTCCAAAAATGCTCATACTGAGCATTGTTTTGCGCAAAGTATTGGAGAGGCATGTGAGAGCTCCTGTAGACCCCGTGTATAGACTTTCCAGACTTGTTGAGCGTGTTGTTGAGAAATGGCCCAGGATAAACCATCTCCATCTGACTCTCTGACCAAAAAGTGGCTAGACCGCGGAACTCCTTTGGAACATTTGCGTGCAGTATCTCACGGTATAGATCTTGAGATTCCCAAAATTGCGCTGAATTGTTTTTGACGTGCACAAGTAAATGGACATCATACTCTGCGCCAGAGCCTAGTGATAATTCGCTGATGAGAGCTCGAATGTTCATCATGACGTGAGGCGTGTAGTGATATCCTGTCCACGTCCTCAAGACAAGAGCTTGTCTTGGAGTAGATCGATGGTCGCCAGAACTCAAACTTTGTACAAATCGGTGTTTGTTGGTATCATGACATCTGTGCTGCGCGGCACTCCAGTCAATAGATTGCCAGTTGATCGACTTGCTGCGGGGGGTGGACGTGATGCTTCCATCGGGCGAGTGGTGTTCCTGGATTGTCGCATTTTCATCGAGTCCATAAGCACCAAGTCTTCCATAGCGGTCGAAGCAAATGTCGTCTCGGAGGCCTAAAGCATCATAAGATCCATGTAGAGGCTCTGGATGATACTGGGGAATGCCTTGATAAGAGTAAAGAGCGGGTATGTCGACAGTGCCTTTGTCATCTAGAAAGCATCGTCGTGTGTTGTTGTGGGGGTACGGATTGTATGCTATTATCCGAGTTCGGATATCATCCTCGCTCAATAAGTCGGTGTTGGCAGTCTTTGACCACAAATCTTGAACTCCTTCTTCGACATGCTGCGAGATCGGTACAAGATTGCTCAAACCAGCATAGTAGCCATTCAATCTACACAGATAGGTTTAGCAAGCGTAATAAACTGGTCTTTCGGTACTCACCTAGGAAATCTCTCCCAGTGCGCACCAAAGACGAGCAGATTTGCACCTCTCCATGTCCGATCGGGGATATGGTAAAGGATAAGAAACAATATTAAGATAGCTGCTGTGACGTTCCGAGTCCATCTTAGTTGTCTAGAGCAGAAAGGTGACTGGTGCAATTGCGGCATTGTGGTTGTAAGTCGTATGCCTACCATCGTTCATGATTGAGAAATTCACGTGCAAACGCTGTACAAACAAGAGACTTGAAGAAGTAGCATGTCGCGTGATACCTATTGGATTTTGAATGCAGTGGTCAGTAAACAAAAAGTACGCGTGGCCGGCTAGCAACATGAATACGAGACAGGGGTCAGCAGCACGATGCTTCATTCACCTAGCTGAAGCGACTAAAGGCGCAGGCACCAGAATTTGGATCAGATTCACCCGTTCTCACCCTTCTTCCAGGTATAAAAATACACTCGTGGCTGAAGTCGCTGTGTTTGGCGGACCCGCGGGTCGCGAAGCCTTTAAACCTTATGACGATCCAGACACATGATTTCCGGACGGTTGGAGAAGGTGTACACAAGCTCCTCATGCAGCACAGAAGCATTGCCAAGGATACCAGTCCATGGCCATGGCCCCTTCGAGTTCTTAGGGCATCCCACATTTGCAAGGCTGTTGAATCTCAGCGACGCGACTGTCTTAGACGAAACGGAGAAGGACTGTAGAAGGCGGCCGTGGGAACATCGAAGGAACCAATAGTCCGAATTATGATAGACAGGACCGCCAATGACAGGAAGAGGTCTTGCCATGCCATTGGAGGTTTTTGGTATAATCAGCACGTGTGCAGGGTTGCTTCTGATGGAGACGGGAAAAGAAGAAACACGTGCGGAAAAGACAAGCTCTGCTTGGCTTCTTGGCTTGGTGTTTTCCCCACATGACGGAGGTGGTATGCAGACATCGACAAACATGCTCTCGGAGGATCCTTGTTCAACATTTTGACGCGTCTTTGTCGGCAATGGACGTCGCGAACTTCCCAATGTGGCCCTTGTGTGGTTCACTCGATGGGCCGTAGATCCCGAGAGCATGAAGATGCGAGGAATACAAATGCCAGGTCGGTGGCACCTGGTTCAATGCTGCTGACAATTGAGATTGTACCATTTTGACCAAGATGCTTTCTTCCTTGTTCAATGCTGTCGCATTGGCTCTCGTAGCTGATGTCGCATCTGCTGCTGCCGTCAGTAACGTCGCCAACTCGAAGACTGCTGGCTCTACGGCTTCGGATGTCTTCCCTCCTGCAAGCAGTGAGCAGTGCATGATCTTGTTCTTGAAGCGATTGACTAAGTTTATTCAGCCAAAGCGAACACCTCCCTGTTCCCCGATGAGTCAGTTGTTGGCTTCCCTGGACCTACCCCGACCGGAAAAGAGGCAGCCGCTGCCCAAACTGCACCTCTGTACCCATACAACTCAGGCGCTGCACAGTCGTTCCCTCTGGCTGTCCCTCAGCCTCATGGTTCTTCTGCTTTCGGCGACAAGTTCGACATCACCAAGTACTGGGGTAATCTTAGTCCTTGGTACTCGGTCTCATCTGCCGACTATGGTCTGCCAGAAGCCAACCCCTTGATCCCTGAGGGTTGCACCATCAACCAGATGTTGTTGCTATACCGTCACGGTGCCCGTTACCCTACCAGTGGTGCTGGTCCTTCCACTTTTGCGCAAAAGGTGCACAATGCCACTGTCGCTGGCTTCAATGTCACAGGAGACTTGACATTCTTGGCCGATTGGACCTACAAGCTCGGTGCTGAGCTTCTTACTCCCTTTGGTCGCAGTCAAAACTTCCAACTCGGTGTTGAGTACCGTCAGCTGTACGGTGAGCTTCTCAACAACTTCACCGAGCAGGATGCTCTGCCCGTCTTCCGTACTCAATCGCAGGACCGTATGGTCAAGACTGCTGAGAACTTTGCTGCCGGTTTCTTCGGTGTGCCCGAGTACTTGAACCAGGTCAACATCGAGATTCTCGTGGAAAACTCGACTGTAAATAACTCCGGTGCCCCTTACGAGGTCTGCCCTAACTCCAACATTGCCACTCGTGGTAGCATCGGTAGCGCTTTGGCCGCCAAGTTTGCCAACAATGCTTTCAACGCTACTCTCGCCAGACTGAATGCTCAAGTCTCTGGTGCTCTCAACTTCACTGCCACAGACGCCATCGAGATGCTCCAGCTCTGCTCTTATGAGACCAATGCTTTGGGCTACTCCAAGTTCTGCGGCCTTTTCTCCGAAGAGGACTTCATCAACTACGAGTACTACTACGATCTGGTATGTCTTGCGATGGTCGTCTTGCAATCACACACTGACCATTTGCTAGTCTTTCTACTACAACAACGGACCTGGTTCGCCAGTTGCTGCCGCCCAGGGCAAGGGTTTCCTGCAAGAGTGGCTTGCTCGCTTCACCCACACCTACCCCGATGCGACCTCCGCTCTGAACAAGACTTTCGACAACTCATCAACCTATTTCCCTCTGAACCAGTCCATCTACGCTGATGCCACCCACGAGGTCGTCGTTCTCGACACTCTTACCGCCTTCAACCTAACCGCCCTGTTCAACGGCCCTGCCCTCAGCCCCACCGGCAACCAAGGAACCAACTCCTTTGTCGCAAGCAAGCTCGTTCCCTTCGCCACCCACTTCACCACTCAAATCATGACCTGCCCTTCCAGGAACCAGACCAAGCAGATTCGTTTCTTGGTCAATGATGCTGTGGTTCCTGTTTCGGATTCCCACCCTGGCTGTCCCGTTGACAAGGATGGCCTTTGTGGTTTCGACACCATGGTCAGCATTTTGCAGAAGAGAGTTCAGGAGATCAACTACAACTACGACTGCTTTGCCAACTACACTGCTACTCCTGGTGTCAACTACAATGGTCGCGCTCCTGCTATGTAAATTCGCGATCTGGGCATCGTTCTTCATATCATGTATATAATCAGACATGAGCTTTCTGAAAAAGCGTCCTTACACTACTCACCCATTCAGTCTCCTACTTGCATGTAGTCAGGAATGATGATGCCAAACTTTCGGCTATTAGTTGGTGGAACAATCATCGACCTGCAAGCAGAATCCACGAAATGATAGACCCCATGATTGCTGTGTAGACGAGTATGATGGTAAAGGTAAACTCGACCAAGAGGAGATAGAGGAACAATATATGCTGCCCAAGACGAACGACTCGGATTCGGAGTCGGAACATGCAAGGGCATCATGTCGCGTATGGCCTAAGTTAAGACAAAAGATTGGACGAAAGAATGGCATTGTTTTCCACTAGCGGAGTGTTGTTAAGTTGTATCTGGGAACGTCGATGGATAAACAACCTTCGACTGCACTTTAAGTCTTCCACCTTGTCCATTTCAAACCCTTCACCACCCTTCACCAATGCCCAGTCAACAATTCGATCGCTCGTTTCATAGCGCGTAGCTCCTCCATCACGACCAGATGATTTTTGGGACCGTCGTCGTCCAACATCATTGGAACCGCATGTCTTCCTACGAATCTCTTTATAAGAATTTTCGACTCATCGTAGTGCCTTCTAGATAGAAATCTAGCATGGCCGATAGAACGGGCATTGTTGATCATCTGGAGAATTGTTCTTGAGAGGTCGATATGCTCCGATGAATTCAGATCACCATGGTCGCTTTGTGGGGGTTGGACTCTTCTGTTGTTGCTCAAGCGTTGGGATGGTTCGGTAATTCGAGGTCTTTTTGGGGCGGGAGAGGTGTCTCTGGTGGTTGTATCCGGGGTAGGAGATTGCGTCGTATTGCCATCGTCGAAAACCTCCCATGACTGCTCGGAAATCCAGGTCTGGTTGTTCAAGCAAGTGGTCTGGTCGGCTTGTTTCTCGGCGTGAGGCTGACCAGTTGTTTGTGGCTGAACGGTGGGTTGTGTATCTCCACTATCATTAGTACCCTCCCGTGTTTGCTCTGTGGTCCTGTTCGCACGATCCAACCGGTCTGATACCATGCGAGTGTCGCCCTCTATCGATAATCGCCCATGCAGCTCAGTCGAACAATAGATGTCGCTATCGGCAAAGTCTCCGCAAGTCGGCTCATCAGAACCAATAGGAATGGCGTCAATTTCAAGGGCACTAGAGCCACTCTTTGAAGCGCTGTTCGGGATGAGAAGAGCTTTAGATCCAGGATCCAGATCTGAGCTCTCATTGGCGAGCACTTGGGTTGATCGCTGATCCCTTCCAGTGTCGAAACAATGAGCGGCTGCGTTTTGCACAGAGTAGACCATGGATGGATTGGACTGGATTGACCCTCTAATCCAATCTAGTCTAGTCGGCCTTGGCATCTAGTCTAATCTAGTAGATCTAATCTATGGAGTCAAGTGGATTAGTATAGACTATAGACCACCGTTCGAGCCTTAGTCGTAATGGTTAATTATTCTTTTTGCACTCTCTTAGAAATGGTCTAATTCGTTTAAAAACGCGATAAAACATAGAACTAGCAGATAGTTTGACGTTTGCTTTGTTTATTTAGTACATCTACGCCTCTGGCGCTTCCTCTAGTGCCTATGCTATTAACTTAAATGTTGCTCCGAGATTAGTTATAATACTATGCCTTATCTAACTCTTAATGCATTATACTTCCTCTATTGCCTCGCTAGTAAGCTTTCCCCTCTAGGGTGTTACTATGTTTCCGTAGCTTAAAAACACCCGCTCTAGCTCATTAGACATAGCTAGTATTATAAAAAGATCGCGGGCTATACGAGAGAGCCTAGGATAGGAGTGTTTAATGCGTAGTTTTAACTAGAATTTAAGAGGATAGTAGACGTTAGGGACACGCCCTTTAACGCACTATCTAGCGTATTTATTAGTCTTAGGGCTACTAGTGTTAGTGTCCTCCTCATCTAAGGTAAGTATAGCGTCTATCTATGCTATTATATCGGGCGTACGATCGTCCTTAAGAGAGGTAGTCTCTACGATAAGTTAAGAGTAGGAGGATAGCTAGAAGTTATATACTAACTTCTCTAACATTGCAAGCTAATCCTATCGCCCTCTCTACTTTAATCTTAACTATCTCTAGGTATAAGCCGGATGAAGCATAACTGCCGCGACGTATATAGGCGACTAATTAGTTATCTAATAGTATTCGTTTAATTTTTTCTAAGCTAAGTTAACCCTAGTAGCTAATATGCAATATTCTAGAGTCTGCTCGGTAGGCACGGCGGGTACTAGTATCGACGATAGGAGAGGGGTAATAGGTAGTAGCATTAGCGAGGATACTAAAGCGATGTTAGCTCGTCGTCCTCGAGTAGTCTTAACGGCCTTACGTAGGGGTCGGGAAATAGGAAGGTCGTCGTTAAGGTCGATGTTTTAGGACTATAATTACAATATTACTATACTCTAAGAAGTAGGGACTTAACTAGTTAGTAAAGGGACGGCAGAGTAGTTCTATATAGGCTTAATAATGGTATACTAATTTTTAAGCTTCTTAAAGTGCAAGAATAAGCGCTCTATTACTAGTATTACCTACTAGACTACCCTATAGCTAGCACCGGTGCCTCGACCCTTAAGGCGCTAGGTAAATTGCTATACTAGCTCGAGGATCTCGTAATATTAAGTTAGTAATGCCTAGTCGTCTTAGGTAATGCAGTCGTTTAGTATTACTAGTTTCTTGCGCATCTTCTTAGGGCATAGCTTAGTCCTAAAATTAGTCTTAATATTAACATAATCCTACTAATCCTTTATGGTTTTTAAATAGAAATCATCGATAGTAGGGCGTACTAAGATAAAGACTTAGAGCGCATTAAATACCGAGTTCTAGCGAGTGTCGTTAAACGCATAGAGCTCGGTAATCTTAGTAAGTAGTAGGTAAGCCTTCTAAGCCTTCTTAAATTCCTCATTTCGCTAAGGCGAGGCGCGGATATAAATAATAGTGTTTCTAACTTTACTAATAGGTCCTCGATATCGCTAGCACTCGAGCTCTTACTCTATTACCTCTACGCTAGCTAGCTCTATAAGGAAGGCGTCCTCGTTAATACCCTAGAGTAATGCGCGCGTAATAAGGTTAAAGATGTGTCTAGCGTAGCATAGTCGTCTTTAAATAGCATTAAAGTAGAACTCATTAGTAAGGGCGGAGATGTAGGTGTTATTATTCGATACGTTATTAGCAATAAAGAACCTAATCTTCTTATTAAGTAAGAAGCGACTAATGATCTTAGCAATAGTATTAGTAATATTAGTACCTATATGCTTGCCTTCCTACTATAGAAGGGCTAGAAGGAAGGTCTTAAGGTTGCTGTATTTATCTGCAAAGTGAACATTAATGCCGTAGAGTGCCTTAAGATTACGAGACGTCTAAAGGTCGAAGGAAAAGTAGATAGTAGAGGACGCTAAGTGCAGTGTTTCGGTCACTACTCTAAGGTAACTGTTATAGACTTAAGAAATCTACTAGCGTATAGTCCTATGCTATAGGAGACATCCCCTTAAGTCTACTACTAGATTAAGCATTATTAGATAGTTCTATATATATAGGGACTTAAGAAGACGGAAGGTAAGGTTCTTATAAATAATTAGCGTAGTAACTACTCCCTTCTACGTAGCTTCGTTAAAGACCGTCCTATATCGCTCTATGTCTTAACTATGTAAAGATAAGGCGGGTTAACTTAAGACCTAGTCTATAATACTTTAAGGGCGCTTCCTTAGGCTATCCTTACCGATGTCGTAAACTACTAAGAGGTAGTTAGCGGCGCTATCCGTGCCATTAGTAATGTTATAGATATAGGTACGATAAGCACGAGACTTATAGTAGTTAGTATAGACCTAGAAGAATTTTATAGGAACCGTAGCTTTTTTCTAAATACGCTAACTATACTTCTAGATAGGGCTCTTGCTTGTACCCTTACCGTTAGGTACGCCCTCGTACTATAAGAGGTAGGACTAGTCGACATATTTATAGTACTCGGTGTCGGTACCTTCTACTTCGCGCGCCTTAGGGGTAGTACTTCTAAAGTCGTCGGTTCGTTAGAGGTAGGTAGGTACGTTAATTACGGAGGTATTTAGTATAGAAGATAGTACGTTAGATGCGGTGTCGTTCATAATAATTAAAATTATTAGGGTAGTAATGTAAAAAGTTAGGAGACGCGCCTAGCTCTACACTCGCAAGGATTTTTGTTAACGTTAGAGTTAACTAATTAGAGGCCTTATAGGCCGCCGGGGACCTCCGTAAGCTAATTAGAAGGCGGCTTAGTATAGGGCTAAGAATCCACTAGAGTACTGGATTAGGGGCCAACCTAATCTAGTCTAGTCTAATGCCTATACTAATCCAATCTAGTCTAATCTAGTACTAGATTATCTAGTAGATTGGATTATCAATCCATCTATAGTCTACTCTAGTTTTGCAGCTATGATCGAGTTGTCTAGTCGCTCTCATGATCTTAAGTAGAAGCAATAGAGATCTCGGCAGGTTGGGTGAAACCATTACTTGCTATACCACGGATGGATGACTCTCCCTTCCAGCGGATCTCAGTACGCTTTATCAGACCATTACGTTTGACTGGTTGAGATAAGTGATGCAGTTTCGCATTCCATGTGCCTGGAGCAAGTGTCATTCTCAAATTAAAAGGATAATTTGGATCCTCGAAGATGCCGAGACGATAATTGGCTTCATCCGGTGGTACTCCCTTGTCGACATGGAATTCGAAAGACATCCGCCGAAAATGGACTCTTGCGTTGGTCACGCCTGAGTGATCATAGTTCATCTCTGGATACAATGGTTCGGTCAAGACTTCTTCGATGACTGCATCGAAGAAGGGATGGACAAGGTGTTGATACCATTCAGGACACTCGTCTTCTAAACTGATCACAAAGCGTAAAACCTTGCGTCTAGACTTCCACATGGCGGGAGGTGCTATGTCTTCGAAGACCAAAAACTCGAGATCTGTCACGGGGTCACTGCATTCGCATACGAGGCTACTGTCCAGCCATTGAATAAAGTATTCGTCGCCAACGGATCCAATGCATCCGAGATAAAAAGCGCGGCCTGGTGTGATCCATTGTGGAATACTTTCGACGCGAGCGTTTATCGCCATGTTGTTGAATCTGAAGTCGATTGCTCCAAAACTTCCAGAATCTGTCCAAGGCGTGGAAGCTTAGGTCGCAATGTGATAACGACCTAGACAGTACGGTCGCAACAGAAGACTGTCGAGTTCCAGGCTAACTCGGACCCTTGTGACCCAAAGCTCGTTCAAAGTAGAGACTGAGAGAAGTGAAGACTTGGTTGAGCGGCGAAAGATAAGTTATATCACATCTAGAGATCTGAGCTCTCGAAATATCAATGTTCAATAGCGTTTGCGGTCTGAAATTAACTTTTGAAGAAGGTAAGCACTAGAATATATAAGTGGCACTCAGTGTCGGCGTTTGAGCAGCTTGGCCAACTTTGAATCCTTGTTAACTTGTGTTTGACCAAGGGTTACTCTACAAACGCGACGATTCATTTGATGAGAAGTTGTATTAATATCAAGACAATTACTCAATTAACATCGCACTTCGATCTTAGAAAGATCAGTAGTGGTGTTGTAAATGAGGGACGAGGTGGAAGATCAGCTGCAGTTACTAAGTGCCAGTGTGCCACTTATTCTGGCGCGACTATATGGAACTTTGAGGAGAGATCCACGTACTGGGGAAGGTCCGCGCGATGACATAGAGAGGTGAGACTACTTACGGTGTTTGCCTTAGCTTCTCCTAGGGTCCTGCGTGCCTTCCGGAACCGTGCGATATTTCTGTGTTTTGCTCATTGACACCATCACTCCATGACCTCTATCATCACAAAAATGGTGCTGACACGCTCACAAACACGATCCCAAGTACCTGGTTTCAGCATGGACTTTGCGCCACTGCCACAGTCTACGCTAGATCCGCGAGCTGGAGACGTCCCAAGAAGCGAAGTTGTCAGACCTTCGCCATGCCACGCTGGAGCGAAACGCCAAAAGACACCCGCCACAGATGTTCACAACTCTGTGAGCCGGTCTCCATTCCCTTTCCATCTCGGCATCGTACAGAATGAGGTACGCTGGAGCAAGTCAGAAGGGCGAAACAGGAGCCAATGTGACACTGGACGTCGGATCAGGTGGTTGGTCCTGTAAGGTGAGCTTTCAGAGCGACAACAACACACCATCCGCTTGAAAGTTGGACCAGTGCATGACCAACAAGACTGGAAGCTCAAGAGGCACGTCGTGGATCTGGTCTTCAGCGACAAGGCTAGCCCTCCATGTCTGGATGCACGGCAAGCTCGAGAAGTCAGACACCTTGCTAGCTTGATGAAAGACAAAGACAACATCTCCTGCCTTGATCGCCGTGAACTATTGGTTAAAGGTCCGGTGAAAGAAATTGGGACATACTGGGAGGTCGATTCTGATATAAAGATGGAATACGTATCTCTCGACGAGAAACACTTCGTGAGCATCTATCTCCTAAAAGCAGGCGAGACTCACTGGGGCAAGACTCCTGGCATCCTTACAACGAGCGAAGATGGTGAGATGAGACAATCTTACTAGAAGAAACAACCGCTAACATGATCAGTCAAATCATGTGAGATCGACTTACGAAGCCAAAGCTGGCATCCCGAACGAGAGCGACCGATGCAATCATTGAAGATCCAAGTCCAGATTTCGAAGGTTTCTGATGTTCAATGTTCTGCCATGTCAGCAATACAGTACCTTAACATCTCGACCACGAAACACAAAGGCGCCTTCGGATCTCCGTCAGGGGTCCTCTGCTACCATGCTAGGTACCATCAAAACTCACCAGCTCGACTCAAGTGAGGCTGCTCTCTCAAAAGACAACAAGACTACAAGGGGTAGGCCGCGAAAGACCAGCGAACAGTCCGACAAACCTAAAGAGATCGATCGTGAAAGGTTCTTAGTAGTGATGGAGGAGTTGCGTGCCACGAGGCAGCGGATAGAGGACATGGACAGCCATATATCACAAGACATGAGTGAGATGGAGAATAATTACTCGATTCGCCACAGATAGTAGGCAGATGTAAGAGGCTTACTTTGCGTATCGCATGACCATAGCAGATGTTCTTCCTTTGCGGCGAACAGTGGCTAGTTGTCTCTTTCCAGGAAGCTTAGAGTAGGTTAGATCTACCAAACACTGCAATTGCGTATCCACCGATCAACCTATCTATCACCATCAACCCGAACCGTCCGCACACGCACAAACCACGGTCGGAAATCATATCTTTAGAATGGGGGAGCGCTTAAGGACCTACGTCTTAGTCTCTTCTTCTTCTTCTTCGAAGATCGGTCTCGACTGCTAAGGCGTAGTTTCGTTCGTGGTTGTGCGCAGGATATATTGTGCTGTGAGGCTTTACTGTTTGCTAAAAAGTTTGGCTTATGATGAGGACAGGACAGAGACGGAATATAGGTGGAAAAGTCAAGGTGTCGTGTAAGAGTGCATTAAAGGACATGTCACGCTTTTAACCATGACAAGCAGAGAAACTCGAACAAGGAAGCTGCGAGAGTGCAGGAGACGGAAAAGCTTTACAAGAGGATTGCAAATTGGGCCATCTCTAATGTCTTTGCTGCTGCTAGTCAGGGCATGGTAAACAAAGTTTTCCCTATACATGTACCGCAGACATCGCCCTACGCTCACTCACCCCCTTTGCCTCGGCTTGTTGATATGTATCTGTTTCCTCCCGGCCGAGTTGGAATCGACATGCGAAAGAGATTCTACTGTCCGCAAACGCCCTTGCCACATCCATCAGCTCTATCACTGACACAGATGTACAGAATTCCACCATCGGCCATCGACGTCTTGAATTCCGAACTGCCACCCTGCAAAGCGCATTGAGTGGAATAATAAGTGATATCACCACTTTCCCCACCCTTCAATCCGGACCCGGTGTACGTGGCCCAACTCACACAAAGGTTTTTGCCGTCGCGAGTGAGACACACCGAGCGTGGGTTCTTATTGTCTCGGCCTCCGGAAAAGGCTTCGGATAGCAGGGTTCCGACATAACTGCCCATGGCTGCGGAACCGGTGGCCGAAACGAAGCCGCCGAGAGCGTGGCCGGAATTGCAACCAAAGGTTTGGAGATTGCTCAGGTGTTTGCAGTTGTACCAGTCGCGCTTGGACAAGATGGTTGTGTTGTCGGAGTATGCGGCCATGTAGCTGGCGAAGGCTGCAGTGTCATCGATGGAGTCGTCATGAGCGTAGAGTTCAAAGGCGTAGCCGGTGGTGTCGTCGTAGTGTTCTCCTTTGTAGAAGATGTCGAGGGCGGGAAGGGCATCCCGGGTGGAGAGCTCAAGGGTGGGAGCGGCGTTGGCGCCCATGAAGCGAGGGAGGAAGGACGCTCCGAAGCCTACGGCGAAAAACCAGGCAAGACGTTGGAGGTTCTGCATGTTGAAGAAAACTCTTGGTCGGTTCGTCTCACAATCAGGAGAAGGAGTTTCGACAGAGGTGGTGGTGGATTTTGCAAAGGACTTGGAAGGAGGAGTAGACTGGTTGGTTGAAGACATGCTGAGATGTCGAGGGAGCAAAGAGCAGCTACTTATGCATCGACGTCGTTGATGTTGACTCTTGCAGAATGAGAATGCGTCCAGATAAGGATCAAGGAAGGATCCTGTTGCGACTCCTTTCCACTTGCACCAAGAAGACAAGACAGACAATGGCAACCTTGCGTAAGCTTTCGAAGGATCCGAGGTCGATGTGGCCGAGCTGAGGCATAGACTATTAAGTGGTCAACATGGACAATCATCAAGGTGGAAGGAATGATACCCAAAAACGACCGTGCATCCATATCCAACATTGATATGGTGCAGATTCAGTTGTATATCGCGAGTAGGAGCACTAAAAGCCTATATCACTCGGAGTTTTGCTTGTATCAGGAAGGTCAAAGGTCTCGACTTGTTACGGCCGAAGGGTTAGTGTCAGTTGAGTTCGTGTTCAAGATCTAGTTGCAAGCGACAATAAGCTTTTGCTGGAGGGAAGCTTTTCGGAAGCATTGCGGTAGGAATCTATGAGAACAACTCGGTACAGATGTTCTGCAATTTCAGTTGATCAGGTAATCCTTCGGAAGTGTATAACACAACGGCGGGCACAGCGAAGCGAGGTAGCAGAGTCGTGTGGTAGATTTCGAGACCTTGTTACATCCTGATCGACAGGTTATGAAAGTGATTGACCATCAGACCACCCCCATAAACTACGTTGAAACCTCAATAAACTGTCGAGAGCAGGATTTAATGTGGTTCGGACCCTCGGACCCTGTTGTCCAAGAATGAAGAAGCTTCGACACAATCTGCAAAGCTTGTCAATGCTTGTACATCATTAAACCTTCTGGCTTCGACTTGAGCTGTCGTCTCGCTGTGTATGTAGACAATGTTAAGATTGGGTTTATGAAGAAAGTATGCTTTGGGTATATACCAACATGTACAATGCCTTGTCAAAATGGTAGCAGATCAAGCCTTCTTGCTTCTTCTACTACCGGTCTTTTTCTCCTCTGGCTTCTTGGGTTCGGCAGGCTTCATCTTTTCTTCAGCCTTTGCCTTTGCTCTTGCAGCAGCACCTCTCTTTTCAGCTTCTTGGATCATGTTTTCCGAGTATTCCCAAAGCTGTTTTTGCAACTCTTCATCCAAGGTTTCTCTTCTCACGGGAGCAATCTCGCGACACTCCTTGATCAACCAACCACCGTTTCCACGACCCCATTGAGCTTCCATGGCTGCGTACAGGAAGGACTGGGCGCCTTGTGCGGGAGACTTGAGAATGATGTACCAGAGAGGATAGCAGAGGAGGTAAAGCACAAGACCAGTAAGGGAACCCCAAGTGAGGTAGCGGCGCATACCAGGAGTACGGGTTTGACCAGGGTCCACAATGATGACATGAGCGTTCATTGGGTTCTTGTCAGGACGAGCATAAGCGGAAAGGTGCTTCTGGAAGCTTTGAGCGAAAGTCATGAGGGCGAGCTTGGACGATGCGTAGGCGGAGTATGGGTCGAATCTCTCAGCTCTTTCCTTCTTTCTGATCTTTGCTTCCTTGACGCCAGTGACTGGGAGGGAGCCGCCGATGTAGGAACTGCAGGTTGCCATGATGATACGGACGTCGCGGTCTGGCGGCTGGGCGCGGATGGCAGGAGACAGGATGCTGAGGAGGTGGAAGTTGGCGAGGTAGTTCAAGCCCCAATTGATCTCGACGTCGTCATTTGTGGTCTCAATGTTTCCGCCCTTGGGGGTCATTGTGTTTGCGCAGAGGATGATCATGTCGAGACGGCGCGGCGGAGCATTGTCGACCCATTTTGTGGCAAACTGACGGATCGAGTGGAGGGAGCTGAGGTCGACGTGGGCGGCGGTGATGAGTTCGTTGTTTGTGCGATCGCGCAATTCTTCAATGTACGAGACGAGGAAGAAGTCGTCCAGGGCGTGTTGGGTGAGGAGGACGAGTTGAGCGCCTCTTGTCGCTAAGTCGCGGGCTACTTCGGCGCCTATACCGGATGTGCCGCCCGTGATCATGACGACCTTGCCGTGCATGGTTCGCTCGGAAGTGTTGGAGGCTCCTTGAAACCATCTCCTGATCAGGTACAGCACCAGCAGTACAGGCAGAAGCTTGAGAAGGACCGCCGAGTTGGGCACCGTCTCCAGTCCATCCAGAATCGCCTTTTGTATCAGTGGGACAGGCATCTCGGTGTCGTGTGTGAAGGAAGAAGGAGCGAGGCTGAAACAGGTGACAATCAACTTCGTCGGAAATGTCGCCGTACATTAAATCCACAATCTCCGCTTGGAATTCCACCCTCGGCCGCGTCATTGTCGTCGTCGCACTTGCCATCTACAACTTTCCACACGACAATGTCGGACAGCGATGAAGATTATTACACAGTCCCCTTGAAAGATCAGCGATATTTTGGAGCCGGCATCAAACGACAGCGCGTCCGTTTCGTCCCCTCGTCGACGACCGAGTCTGCGACACCCGCCGGCGCATCCACTCCTTCAGCCCTCTCAGCCAGCGAACGCTACCTTTCCATTGTCTTTCCCAAAGCCTCCTCCGAGCCACCGCCATCCACCGAGTCTGTGTCAGAAGAGAAAGAGCCAAAGACATGCGACGTCTGTAAATCACAATATGAAGGCGACGAGGCCGCACACTGCACTTCGCTAGTCCACCAGATCGCTGTACCACACTCACATCCTCCTTCCGCTCTGGACAGAAAGAGAAAAGGCTTGTCCATCTTGCAATCATATGGCTGGAATCCAGATGAGAGACTAGGTCTGGGCGCGCAAAGAGAGGGCATTCTACACCCCGTCAAGGCGAAAGAGAAGCGTGACACTGTCGGCTTGGGCGTCAACCTCCATGACGATGAGCCGACCCTGAAGAAGAAGAGAAAGACTGCAGAGAAACCAAGACCTGTCGAAAGGCTGGATGCTGGGAAGGTCAGGAAACTGGAAATGGTCAACAAGAAGAAGCATCAATCCTTGCAGAACATGTTTTACGCCAACGATGATGTTGCCAAATACCTCGGTCATGGTTGAGACGTGTTTCTTATCACTGTCCGTCAATACACTCCCTCACCTGCTCTCAAGTCATCATGGAATAACTCACACCATATCCACGGCATGACACAACTCTCGCCAGTACCAACTTACAGCAACCATCCACTTGTCAGATTGTCCGCAACATGACCGACTAAGGCATGCAGCACGGAGCGTACGCACATAACTATCTGGCTGCCTGCCTGGCTGCCTTGCTCCGCCTCCGACTACCGAGTCGTAGTCTGACCCTCAGCCTCGGACCATCCTCAGCCTCGGACTCTCATAGTAAGGCTCGTCGCGCTCACCTCGACGGACTTGAACAAGCCCCCGGCGAAAACCCATCCTCGAGGGTGTCTTTGCACATGAATCGATGCCAGTGAGCACACGCGTTCGACCTTGTACCTAGACTTCAAGAGCCACAGATGGGTAACACAGTCTCGGCACGTGGGAACCTCTCTCATCTCCCGTAGGTTACATACGCTCGTGATCTCTTTCCGGGTCCTATACTCCAGTCTTCGTGTCTACAGGACATTTGACTCGTATCGAGACCCAAATAGACTCATCACGCTTACCTCGGTGGCCTTCAAAAGTGCTGAGAAAATGGTTCAACGCTCGGAGGTGCTTCACATGTCTTTGTGTCAGTGACAGTCCACATTTGTCCCTATACCCTTGCTTTGATGTTGCAGATGGACCTAGCATTACCGGGTACATGAAAATTCTTCTGATCTCCTGGAGGTCATTCAAGCTCGTGATACATATCCAAGTTCATGTCTCCAGAATATCAAACTCATGTCGGAACCCAAGTAGAATCAAGGATCACGGCACAGGTTCCGTAACGATTATTTCCATCACTCGTTACTGTCGACACCTCAGCCCACCCATCTCATCCTTTCCTTCCATCTTTGAGCCCTCCCAACCAACGAACCACGGAATCATAGACCACACACCTCGGCATCTGCTACAAAAAATACCCTCCATCCTCTAATCTTCGCCTCGTCATCCGAATAAATCCTTCTCCACCACACCCTCATCTTTCAGCCTCTGCAAATATCGACGGCGCTTTCCATCCACGTGGTCAAACAGTGACATGAAAAGGTTTAATCTAAACCCCGCATGAATGCATCAATCCCATGACCGGTTATTTTTTCGACCAATGAGTATGGAAATCTAACGACTACAGAGTAGGAATGTATTATACATGGACTTAAGGATTTGGAAATACAGTCATATAGATTATTTTCTTTTCCATCCTGTGTAGAGTAGGCTGTGGATAAAAGGAAAAATAGTGCAAAAAGGATATTTATATAATGATTAGAGTAGTGAATGAAGTTTTTTTTCCGAAATCAAACTATGATGATTGATAGAAATCACTACGTAAAAAGGGGCAAAACAACCTAATAGCCGTGAGGCAAGTAAAAATGGCTATTTAATCAAAACAAAAAAATTGCTTCTACCAATCCCCAGAAATACGAAAGCGCTTTTTCCCCATTCGCTGATATATCCCCCCCTTTCCAGTAAATGTTCCTCCAAAAGAAGTGCCCCAGTGAAAACGATAGCCAGAACAAAAGAATCGACAGAAGAAGAAATAAGAGGGAAAAAGGAAAAGCCAGAGACGGGAAAAGTAATGCGCCTTTTGCTGGGTAAAAAGATGTTGGGTATCGTAGAAAGGAGAGACCGGTGATTCCGACGCCAAAGGTATGGTGGAGAGGCAAAATAAAGCAATGGTATCTCTTCGCGGAAAGCATGTTGGAATGTCCTGCGCCCGTGTGCTGGTAAACAGATCTGCTGTTGAAAAGGTCTTGTTGTTGGTGATGGTGATGTAGGCGATGCTGTTGGTGGTATTGTTGTAGATGTTGTTTGTTGTTGGTGATGTTGCTGTTGGTGATGCGGCGTAGATGATGTTGGCGTTGGTAATAGTGTTATAGATTGAGGCGATGCATAAGTAAGTTGAGTTCTGATAATGAAGGGCGTGTTTGTGGGAATTGCTGGTTGTAGATGGCTGGACGTAGGTTGAGAGGCGGCGGATGTTGGATGTTCCATGAGTTAATGCTCTGCATTTTGCTCGGAGGCAAGGTCGAATCTCGAGGTGAATCCAAGGCCTGAGTTGTCGTGTGGAGCTCATGGAGCATATTCCAGTGAACTTCGTGAGGGTGTCATCGAGAGTTGTTCTTCCCTCTTCAACGAGAAGACCTCAAAACCTCCTCACAATTGGCATCAAACCTCATACCCCAAAGTCTGACCCCTGTCATCAATTTCTCCGTCCTCTCCAATTCTCTGTCCCTTCCAAAGATGGTCTCCACAAACTCTCTTCCAGAATTGTTGCCCATGTACAATTTTTCACTTCCACGATCTCGCTTCGCGGTCTTGAGCATGTGTTTCTCGCAAACCTTCAGAAGCTTGTTGAATCTTTCCCAAAGACGTTCGCCAGAGTCGAGGAAATCGTCGATCAATTCGCGGTCGTCGCGACGACGAATACGGGGGAGACACTCCTCGGCGCGCTTGATTTTACCGGCAAGTTGGATGAGGGAAAGCCAGAGGTCGCCGGCCATTTCTGTGATGGGTGTGGAAGGGCCGTGGAAGGCGACTGTCCAGTCGTAAATCCATTTTCCCAAACTGTTTGCGTCAAAGACACTGCCGAGGAGAAGAATGGGCTCTTCATTCGGATCCCAGTTCTTGAAGTTGTAGCCTGCGGGTATACCAGCAGCTCTTGCATCGCGATCGGTGGCAGTGGCGCGTTTAGGTGGTGGTGCTTGTTGTTGGCGAGGTTTGGGTGGTGGGTCGCGAGGTGCTGATTGTTTGGGTGTCGAGTATGAAGTAGCTCTTCTTCTTGATTGAGGCTCTGGTCGAGGCTGAGGGGTGGATTGATGATACTGGTAGTAAGGGTGTTCATCAGCCTCGGAGTATTGCGGTGGTGGCGTATGCTTGCGTGGGTCGCGCGAGTATGCCGGAGGGATTTCGTCTTCGGTCACGTATGCGTAGTACCGTCCGTCCGAGTAGACATAGGTTGTTGATGCACGTCTTGCGCCTGACTCCGTCTTCCCTTGCCGAGTGTATCGTTCATTCGGACTTACATATTCAGGCTTGCGCGTGTGTCCAGAGTAATTGTATGAGTCGGGATAATGATATGATGTTGTCCGCGCCGAGGGATATGAATAGTCTTGCGTGGCTCGTCGTGTATGTTGCTTTGCCGATGTCTTTGGTGGAGATGTCGTGTACACATTGTATCGTGGTGAATAATATCCATAACCAGGCGGCGGTGGTGTAGTGGAAGATGTGTGATATTCGTAACCCATACCGCCGCAAGGAGTTGAACCAGGATATTGTGAATAAGATGAATACATGTCGAAGTGTAAAAGAAAAAGGAAGAAAACAGAGAGATATAAAACTCGTCAAGGGATGGATGATCAATCAACCTGTCGAATCTCGTGGTGGACTGTCGAAATCACTGGCCACTTCTGCTGCTGCTTCTGAACTCGAACGATTCCTTTGTTCTTGTGCACACAACATTTGCAAGATTTGGAAGATGAGAAGAAGGGACGGTGGTTTCCAAGAAAGAGAAAGTCCCCCAGTAAAACGCGGATCGTTATTGTCGCGTCGTAGGTCCGGCGCAAAGAATATATCAGAACAGGCAAGGATTGGCTGACGTTATACTGTAAAGCAGGAAATGAACCGGGCTCGAGGGAAGACAAGACTCGACTTGTTGCAAGAGAAAAGAGAATGGCTGGGTTGCAGGCCCCTCTCCCAGCACACAAAAGAACGATGCGTGAACCGTTCCTCAATCTCGCGAGGTGCGGGAATTTGTTGTGGCTGAAGATGTCTGTGCGTAGCTTCCGTTCGCGATTTCATCAAACTTGATATCGATCCGAAGATAGGTACCCTCTTCTTTCTATCACCGAGAATAACGGACAGATTGTTTTCTGGTGATGAGAGGATCCTGCCTTTCGACGAGTAAGAAAAAGGGGCTGCGATCGACTCTTGTCTCTAGTTGCTGCTGCCGTGTGGGAATTCTCTTGCATTAAAGCAAGAGCAAGACCCGGCATCGTGCAGCTGCAGCCCAAGGATTCAAAACCCTTGCACTTTTTCCTTTATTACCTCCTCCCACTAAGCTGATGCACCATGCATGCTTGAGCTCCCGCCAATCCATTCTTGCGGCACCCCATCATCTTTTTTGATCCTGCCGAGAAGGTGACCTTTCTGAGCAACACCTTGGCTTCCGGTAGGTTGGTTTTGTGATGGGAGGTACCACCACAACTCAAATCCCGTAAGCGAATCACTTTGACCTGCTCCTTGCCTTCCAATGAGTGGAAGAGGTCCATCATGCTGCCTAGAATCATCTTGTTCGAATCATTTTCAGACCATAAAAGCAGGCAGAGCATAAGTATCAGAAGACCCCACGCGCGGCTAGCCGTAACGCTACAGGTTCGTGTTTCTTGTTCTGCCCTGTGAGAAACATGGTCGGCAGCCGTGGCTTGCAGGACGAGACGATGATGCAAAAGCCACAACGCATTTGGTGACAGCCCAATATGGCAGCCAGCGCATTTCTTTCCGCCCATCGCTGAAGGAACTCTCTCGCGGCGCTCGCTTGCATGCCTATCTTCTCTGATAGGGGTTCGTGTTCATGCGAGGTCCCTATTGTAATTGCGAAGATCTGGCCTCTGCCGAACACTTGCTGCCCTACAAGTCTCTTCCCGTATAATCTTACTGATGACTCCTATTCTCCATTTTATCTCCTCCATCTCGAGCGCACGTTTGATCAAGGACGATGTTTTCAACTTCCGGGGGCGGGAGGGTCAACGGCCCCATCCTGTCATATAACGTGCACCAGCCTCTTTTTTTCCACTTTCCCCCCCAAGGTTTCACCTTTCTTTAGACCTCTCTTGCTGATGTGTCTACCAGCATTTCTCGAGCAAATTGCGGTGATGAAGCGCTTGACCGCTTATTTTCCCAGCGCGCAACTTCGCCAATAATAAACAACAACAAGCAAGCCAGCAAACTCCCAACAACAGCAAGAAAGTATGCACTCGACTGGTTGAATATTCTTGGGCATCAAAAAAGTTCTCTTCAAAAAAAAATTGCTAGAACCGTTGGTTGTACATATGGGCTGGTAAGGTACTGCACAGTACATCACATTGCGTCGGCGCGTGGAAGGGGGGTACTTGGAAGTTGGAATGGCCAGATTGACATTGATTGGATGCCCGGTACAATCAGTTCCGACTTCCCCTATCCACAGGCCATACTATCGGGACGTCCTCTACTCTCGCGTGCCGTGATTGGCGTTTCGATCCCAGTAAGTTGCATGGAACCAGGGTCATGCTCGGCTGGTTTCGCTTCCAGCATCTTCTGAGGATATGCGTCCGAGCCCAAAGGAAATTTGGGACAAAACAATCAAGGTCCTTTCTGTTCGTTTGCAAAAGCCAACCTACTACTCACCGCCGCCAACATCTCGCATTCACCAACAGTCGGTGAGAAGGAAATCTGAGAAGTAATCCTGGCGAAGAAGAAGGCAAACAGATTAAAAATGGCATGGTTGCGTGAAACATACATACATGCAGATACTGCGAGATATCGTCAATTCTGTCGTACGGCTTTATATGCATGTGTCATGACCAGAGGAAAATGCCGCGCCTTCCAGACCTTTCACGAGAGGGTGTGAGCGGCTATTTCTGACAAGCAAGGGATAGGACAAACCACGGTCGCACGGGAAGAGGAAAGAAACGTCTCTTTCAGCTTTGATAAGCTTCTTACTGCACGCGTACATGCATGTTCTTCGAAGGCGCAAGGCAAGAATCGACTGGACAGGTCGAGAGTACACCAGAGAAAGAGGGGTTGAAATGCAAAGAGGAGTTTCAACGACCCTCGAGAGTACTCGTGTTTGGATGACCCGGCACTTCGGAAGAAGACCTCTCGAGATTGCGCAAACAAATACACAAGATGCATGGTATGTTGGAGGATTGAGCGACCCCAGAATTGATCAACAGTCACCCTCGTGATGTTGATTGAGGAAGTCACAGGAATGACATGCATGGAGGAAGCCTCATGAAGGATTGGCCGAGGCGCGTGGTCAAGTCGCACAAACTTCATCCTAGTGCAGGAACAGGAGAGATTTGTTGATCAATCCTGGAAGATCACTTTCCCCAGACTGAAACGAAGAGCATTTGTGGGGTTTGCTGTATGCACGAAACTTGACCAGTCGGCGAGATTGATCAGGTGAAAACGGGTAGCAAACCTGTCGTATGCAGAATGACATGCATTGGCTTTCCAGCCTCTCGACTGGAGGGTTATCTCCTGTCACGGCCATTGGCTTCCAACGGAGATGCTTCTGAAACAGGCTGCAAGACAAGACCTGGTCCTTCTGCCCTTGCATGTGGGCGCCGGTTTTGACACGTCGTATGTCATGTGGAGAGGCTCATTGAGAAAGGTAAAAGGCATGATATTTCCGAACGGGTATACGCATAAGTAGGTCATTTCATCATAAGTCATTCAGCAAACTCCTCACAGCTTTGTTCTGCCTTCATCGGTTGTGCGCCTGACTGGCATGCGCGGGATGATCCTTGAGTGATCGCTGGGACCTTGATCGTCCTGGTTGGTGGTGGATATAATGTTTGGTTGAACAGACTGCAGGCGTGCGTTTGTCAACCAGCCGACCTGTCGCATGAGAGCGCTAAGCTGAGCGCCCTGGTAGGCCAATTCGTCCTTGAGACGCATGTTCTCATTCAGCAGCATCATGCTAAGGCGGGTATCGACCTCATGGATAGTGTTTGCCTGACGCGAGACCTCTTCGCGGAGGTTCTCATGCAAAGAGAGCAGGTGTTGAGTTGGCGAAGCATGAGGCTGGAAATCCTCAAAGTCTGCTAGGTCGAAGTCTGCGAGGTTGTTTGCAAAGTACGACGTATCCTCAGGTGGAGCAGGCGGTCTGCTTGTTTGTTGTGATGTGCCTGACATGCTTCTGTATGTAGAGACTTCTTGTTGTAGTATTCCCAGCCTCTTCTCAAGCGATTGGCGGGCTTGGTCTTGTTCGTCTTGACGTTCCTGTTGAGCAGCGAGATATGGGGCGAGTTTGGCGAGGGAGCACATCAGAGAATGACTCGGCAAGTGTTTTCGCTTGGTGTTGAACGGACAGCCGAATTGACGAGCGGGACAGGCAGCGTTGGTCTCGGGACAGTGAAGGGCAAGGTGGGTTTGCTGGTAGCGGTACGGAATCGAGGCGGCGCAGGACGGGCAGGGTATATCATGGTCGGCGCATTCATTCTGCCAGTGGGACTGTTGCGCTTAAAGTCAGTACAGTTCGGTAGAGTGACCGAGGATGTTCTCACATCGAGTTCCTGCACTGTCATGGACTGGCGACAAGCGAGGCACGATACGGGCTGATGCAGGCATTGTGCTGCGTCCTTGCGTGGTGCCCTCTGGTCGCAGCCATCTTCCGGACATTCGACCAAGGTACAAGGGCAGTAGATGTTGAGGTGGTCGGGCAGATGGCCTCTCTTGACTTGTTTGTCGCATCCATCGGACTGGTTGGGGCACTTGACGACGAGATCATCCAGGATGTTGAGTAGAAGCTTCGAGGCAGAGCCGGAACCATTAAGTCTTCCAGGACGGCGACATGTTGGACAAGTGCCTGAATACTGGTTCCAGCTAGTCGTGTAATCGAGGCAGTCGCGGCAGAAATGATGGTCGCAGTCGGTCACGACGACAGGGTCCACGAAGGCGCTCCGGCAGATGGGACATTCAAGGTTGCTGTCGTATGTCGACACATAGTCAAGCGCTCGAAAGTCGACTTCTCGTTCCTCCATGTTGCTGGTCTTGATTCGAATCTAGACTCTTGTCGAAGGGAAGAAGGAACAAACACTCGGAACAAGGGAAGGTGCCTGCATGATCCTCCCCCATGTTTGGCCAAAGTCGCCCCGCTTTTGACCCTCTGCCGATCCCGACAAGCCCGTCATCGCCAATCTTTCTCGACCCAATTGGTCAAACATGAAATCGCTTTGAACCAAATAAGAAGATGATTTCATAAGACCAATGCTTCATACCAATACAAGACATTACTTCTGCTGCTTCTTCAACATCTCATCTACCTCCTCCCTCGTCGCAGGCATCAATGCACCCTCTGGCGGCGAGTTCTTCTTCTTGAATTCATCACTCATCTCCCCCATCGTAACCCACTCCACACCCTCATGCTTGTTGATATGTTCAATGATCCTCTCATGCATCAACAACACATGTGGTCTTCCACTAACATCTGGATGAATCGTCATGGGAAAAACAAATTCATCATGTTCGCGGTAAAAGTAGTCGAAATGATCCATCCAGAGTTGTTCGACGTCTTTTGCGCTGACCCAGCCATGACTATTGGGTGCTTTTTTGATGAACATCATGGGTGGTAGGTCGTCAATGTACCAATTCGCTGGGATTTCGACTATGCCTGTGGTTTCGCCTTTGACGAGGGGTTTCATCCATTCTTCGGCCTTCTTGCTGTAGTCGATTTTGGTCCATGAGTCGCCTGTGTTGAGGTGTCAGCGGTATATTTGCGGCGATGGATGGTAGAATCCAACATACCAGTTCTTAGCCAGTACATTTGGCAATCTTCGTGGCTCATTGAGTGATCGTATTCAATGCCGTATGAAAGCAAAAGTTCTGCTCCTTCACGACTAGTCTCCCACCACCTGTCATGAGAATCAGTATGGGTCAGTCTACCCAAAGCAGCAATCGGGTACTCACGGAGCAACGCTCCCCTTCGGCGGCTTCCCACAAAACTCCGTCAACATCTTATACGTCTTATCCAACACATCCCTCTGCTGTTCGATAGTCATATCCGCCGGGTTCTCATGACTGTATCCATGCAGACCAATCTCATGGTCTTTATCTCTAATCGCCGCGCAGTCTTCAGGGAATGTTTCGAGCGTGTGGCCGGGGATGAACCAAGTGGCTTTGATCTTGTACTTGTCGAAGAGTTTGAGTAGACGTTGGACACCCACTGTGCCGGCGAACAGACCGCGGGATATGTCACTGGTTGAATCTTCACCACCGTAGGACCCTAGCCAGCCTGCTACTGCATCAATGTCGACGCCTGTTGGTTCGAGTCAGCGACATGGAGTTTCAATGGGAAGTAGGTGATTGTTACCATAGCTGACCAAAACTCTCTTCTTGCCCATGATTGCAGTGCTATTACTTTCAGATGTCCTTGAGATTGAGGAAAAGAGTGAAAGACTTCAGAAGATAGCTCGAGGTTCCCGAGGTCTTATTTGCTGATACCTTTGCGGCTCATCTCTTGATAAGAAATATATTGAGGGGTTGTGTCTGCGTCATACTCCGCTCTCGGCCAGCGGGGTAGTTGAGGCAGGGTTCGTGGGTATATTCTCGCATTCAGGTTCCTCTGGAATTTGGGGTAACTTGGCGTGCCGGACCCCTCTGGGCATGGTTTCTGAGCGATAGTTAGCCATTATACACGTATCTGACGTCGCCTACCACCTTTTGAAGCTCTGAAAACTGCTATATAGTCGTCGCCGAGGTGTAAGTCGTTACTGCTCGAATATTGATGGATTCTGACGGTTGTTGTGGCCAGGTAGTCGTCCTTACCGCTCCCGACGCACCTATAGGCTATCTTAATGAAATCGACGACAAGTAGCTAGAAGAGGTGTTTAAAAGAGGAGGATCTATTAAGGCCGCTTAGCATATGTTTCCTAAGGCGCCTTAGTCGACACTGTATGCGAAACATGCTAATTAGCGCGCGTACGGCACCATTACCCGCCCTACTAGCGTACGGATAATACTAGGTACTAAGAAGCTCATTACTCTAGTAATAAGTAAGTGGTTAGTAGATAAGATCGCGTAGACGAACGATGTCTAGTAGGAGGAGCTTATCTTTAACCTCTTTATTAAGTTTAATGTCGCTATAAGCTAGTCTACAATGTCGAGGTTTATAATAGACGAAGGGTTATCGAAGAAGGTGTCGATAAGGATAGTAGCACAATAAGACTAAGTAATGCGCGCAATCTTTAAGATAGAGGTCTAGAAGGTGCTAGCGGAAGATCTAGTATACGTTAATGAGTCCTATACGAGTAAGAAGACTCTATATAGACGACAAAGTTAGTTAGTAATCGGTCTACCTACCTTTATAACATTAGTTCTTAGGTATGCTACTCGGCTAAGTGTCTTACTAGCCCTTACGATCGAGGGGTTCCTACCTACTTCTACTCTTATTATCGAGGGCTCGGTTACCGGAGCTATCTTTAAACACTAGCTAGAGCATATATTGCTTCCCTAGCTAGGTCCTAGTAAGGTTCTAGTTATAGATAACTACTCTACCTACTATAGCGAGAGGGTCCGCGAGCTATATCGAGTAGCTAGAATACGCCTTCTCTATCTTCCGCTCTATTTGCTAGATTATAATTATAAAGGGCGAGCCTTAGGATAGGACGCGGGTATGCGCCCGTACGTTCTTAGCGTCCGTACATTCTTTATCGGATTCTATACATTTATAGACTCCTTCCTACTTTTATTGAACCTATTAAATCTTAACCTACCCTAAACCTCTATATATACGTAGTTTACCCGTAACATTAGGTTCGATCTAAAAACATAGATAAGTCCCCTATTAACTTTACTCTAGAGTCCCCTATATACTAACCGGAGGCTAGAAACACTAAATAGGAACCGTCGATTAAAGTAATGCGACAAGTAGTAGAAGAACTATATAACTAATAGCACGTAATAGAAGCTAAGCTCCGTAACGAACGCGTAGCCTACTATAACGCGGAGGCCGCCCGTAATTAAGAGGCCTCCGACACTAATTAGCTAGGAGAACCCCCCCTTTCGGTGCTCGTTAAACCGCTAATAGAGGCTCTCTCTACTACGAACGTCTCTCGTCCTACTAGAGAGCTATTAGGACCTAGAGACTAGAAGCCTCCCTCCTAGGATAGTAGAGCTAAGACATTTAGAGATTACCTCCTAAGGCTAAAAAGCTCTTATCGAGTACGCTCTACCCTAAAACTAGCGCTCTCCGAGGAATACTACTAGAACGTCGTCTATAATACCTTCCCCTCCCGCGAAAGGGCCCGTATATGCTACTTCTAGGAGAAAGGAAGCGCCTTAAAAGGAAAGGACCTTAAAGCTTTCTTTACGTAGCTTAAATACGTATTCGCGGACGGTAACGAATAAGTAAAAGCTCTCGAGCAGCTTACTAGCCTACAATATAGCTTAGGCTAACCTTAGCACGAACACTAGCTAGAATTTAACGGACTCCTACTTAGCGCCGGCGGGGATAGCTAGCCTAATTCTACTAAGATAGGGTACCTAAAGAATACCTTTTCTAACTCTGCTAAGATATATATAGCGACTATCCTAAAGAGTACGGACTACTACTCCTTCTCGAAGGAGGTAGAACGCATTATAACTAACTTAGAAATAGTTAAAAAGTATCGCCTAGTAGTTAGAAGCTAGAGCTCTAAGGGGGAATAGTCATTAAGGGGTAGAACTAATACGTATATTATAATTAAGTTAGTTATTTACTATTATAGTATAGAAGTCTTTGTGTTATAGCTTCTCCGTATTACCTAACTTCCTCTTACTACATCTGTTACCCTAACTACTATATTATAACACTCCTCCTTAGTCTAGACGGCGGATGTTAGTAAGACCTAGCTAGTTAATGAATCTTACAAAGTCCGGCTTAGGCAACGGCTTTATAAAGCTATCTACAACTATGTCTCTTATTCCTATAAACTCGACATTAATCCTGTTCCTCTAGTGCAAGTCTCTAACATAATGGTATATAACATTAATGTGCTTTAACCTCTCGTAAGTATAGGCATCTCTAGCTAATGATAGAGAAGCTTAATTGTTACCGAACAGTTTAACTAGTAATCTAATAACGAAGCTTTGCTCTTCTCTTATAGTTAGCTAATATTGGTTGCAACTAATGTACTTACTATAGCCTATGTCTCTTAGAAGTTAAGCTAGCTATTATAACTGCTTTGTAGCCTAACATATAGCTATGTATTTAGCTTCTATAGTTAAGGTTGCAACTGACTTCTACTTCTTGCTAGACTAGCTAATAGGGCAGTTGCCCATTATAAATACACTTCCTAAAATGGATATCCTGTCTATCTTGTCCATTGCGTAGTCTAAATTAGAGTAGCCGATAAGTTGTTATATGCCTTCTACATTAAATTCTAGGCTAAGGTCTATTATTGAACGTAGGTACCTTATAAGGGATTTTAAAAGTTTAAAGTGCCCTTCTAATAGATCCGACAGATATTAGCTTAGCCTTCTAATCGCAAATGCAATATTAGGTCTCGTTAGAATTGCTAGGTAGATAAGGCCGCTAATAATCTTTTAATACTCCTTCTAGTCTACTCTCTTGTCTTATAGACTAGCTAGTTTTAGTAGATCATATCCATTTAGTGGAATACTAATTAGATTAGCCTTCTCCTTGTCCATTCTATGCCTTAATAGAAGATCCTTAGTGTAGTAAGACTAATCTAGGGTAATCGTTCTGTTCTTTCTATTATAGATGACTTAAACTCCTAGAATCTTGCTTACTTCTCCTAGGTCTTTAATCTTGTAGATCTCTCTAAAGTGTTTCTTAAACTAGTTAATGTTATCTATTTGTTTAGCTCTAATTAGGATGTCATTAACATAGACTAGAATAAGGATCTCTTTCTCTAGATGTCTTAAAAGGCATAGGTCGGCGTCTGTTTAGATAAAGCCTATCTTCTACAACGATTTAATGCAGCTCTAATTCTAATCTCTTATAGCTTGTTTTAGCCTATAGAGCGATCTTAGTACCCTTAGTACATAACCTAGTAGGATGTTCATTCTAGGTAGTGCTACTATATAAATCTCCTCCTTTAATGTTAACTTAGTGAAGGCATTATTAACATTAACAGCATAGCACTTAAGATTCTCTAGTGCAACAATTGCAAAGAATACCCGTAGTGTATTATAGCGGAGGGTAGGCGTAAAGGTATAGTTAAAATTAACTCTAAATTTCTAGGTAAACCTTCTTGTAACAAGGCGTGCCTTTAGCTTCTATAACGAGCTATCTAGGTTATGTTTTGTAGCAAGTACCTATCTACTTATAATAATATTTGCCCCTATAGGTAGCTTAGTGATTTTAAAGGTCCCGTTTGCCTATAAGGCATCTGTTTTAAGCCTAAATGCCTCTTGCTATAATGGTCCCTATGTAGGATCATTAATTGCAGCTTAATATGACTTTAGAATCGGCACTTCTTCCTTTACTAAGAATGCTACTATAAAAGCATAATGCAGGATGTTAAGTTGATCATTGTCTTCTAAGTCAATTCCTAGACTTAGAAGGTTAATTGCTAGCATTGCCTTATGCAGCTTAAAATTAGGTTGTCCTTCTAGTATGCTATACTCTTCTCTTATCCTCTTTAATACTTAAGGAATTTCAATATAAGAGAGAACCTTTCTTCCTATAGTTATAGCTGCTAGTATTGTTATTACAGCTATTACTAATAAAGATGGCCGTAGCTCCTCCTAAAACTTAACATTACTTTCTTCTAATAGCTCTAAATCGCGCTCCTCCTATAAGTTAGCGCTATTTCCTAGTTATAGCTATCTAGATTCTTGTGTAAAGTCCTAATAGAGATGTCTTTTATGCTCTAGGAATGCTAGGATCTCGACTTGTAGTTTAGTTCTCTTTAATGTAGTAGTTACAGCTAGTAGAACGGTTGTTACATCTATTGTAGGAGTCTATTATAAGGGCGGCTAGCCTCTAAGATTCCTTAGGGGAGCTATATTTAGTGCAGCTCGTCTAGGAATACCTAGTTGTAGGTCTCCTCCTTGCTTATTCTTAAAGAAGTCTACTCTGTATGATTTGATCACTTTTCTTATGTCTAGAGCCTAAAAAAGCTACTGCTTTATAGTCCCTTTAACGTATCCGAGGAACATATAGTGTCTACCTCTATCTATGAACTTATCTTTCCTAGTACTCTATAGTAGGGAGTCTAGATTCATGTATGAAACTGCTTAACAGCCCTAAACTCTTAAATGGTTAATAGATGGTTTAATCCTAGTAAACGCTTCTTCTAGACTAACTTATACTCTATCAATGATTAGGCTATTCGAAACTCTATTCCTAATGTAGACGTCTACTTATGTAGCTTCGATCTATAGCTCTACTAGCAGATTTGCATCCTTTAACATAGCTCTAGTGCTATTCTAAATTGTCTAGTGTAATCTTTTAACTAGTCCATTTTGACTTAACATATAGTGGATAGTTAACTCGTATTGCACACCTAATTCTTGTTTCTAAGATCTAAAGAGGTTCTCTAGTTCTAGTGCATTGT